CGGCGTGGCACAGCCTACGGGTTGATACGGCACTAGGTACTCTACTCATCCATGCTTTCCCACGATGCTCCGTCCCGACTCCCAGGTGGCTTAGACCTCGCCATCCGTTTCGACCGTGCACGGGCACGATCCAGCAACATCCAGCACCAGACAACCAGACAACTAGACAACCAGACAATGAAACATCTAATCAATGAAACTGGTGATCGCCGACAGGGAGCCGGTATGTCGTCGTCGTCGTCGTCGTCGCTGTGGTGGTGGTGGTGGTGGTGGTGGTGGTGGTGGTTGTCCTCCAGACACTGGTGGTGGTGCCTGGTGGTGAGCCACTTTCTTTCTTTCTCCCTTCCTCTCTTCCTTCCTACATACAGTACTCACGGACCACATGTTCCCGACGGCGGCGGCAGGTTGGCAGGTTGGCAGGTTGATAGTTAGTGATAGGCCTCGCCTATCCTATATCCTATATCCTATCGAGAAAGAGAAACGCACGCACAGAGTTGCCACATCATCCATCGTTGACTAACTGACCTACCGACTGACTGACTGACTGACTGACTGACTGACTGACTGAGTGAGCGAACACGTACTGCGTTTCGGTTGAACGCCGCAGTGCCCAGTGCCATAGAGTACCGACCGACTGGCTGGCTTGATCACACTGCCGCACTCGCACTCGAATCGAATCCGGGCGGGTTTTTCCCTGGGATGGCACAAAACTATTCGCCATAGTCTAGATAGGCTGCATGCGAAATAAAACAGGAAGATTTCTCTCTCTCTCCTAGGATAGCACGGGGAATTCAGTCTCGGGGCTACCCCCGAAAGTATGCATCATGTAAGTAAGTAAGTAGAGTATGAAGAGTAGATGTATACTAGGAATATACTAGGAATGCTGGCGGCGCGCGGGGGATTTCGTGCAGGGCCCGATAGTATGGTAGGTAGTATGGGATCGCCAGTAGCATCGCCAGCAGCATCCCCCGGCGAAACAGATCTAGAATCCATAGAATCCATCCGTGGCGGGTTTCGCGATGTATGGGGGCGGGGCTCCACTATTGGCTGGTTTGAACATACGTCGATCGTTCTCTTGTCTCTTCGGGCAGGGCGTGATTGGTCGTGCTTGCGTGATTTGGGTGGTTTGGGTGGCTTGGGTCGTGCTGTGCAGACTGACGAGCTGGGGAGTGTCGATACACGCGGAAACTTCATCCATAACCACAATTTTCACATTCTGACTTTTGCTCTGGATACACTACGGAGTTCTCGCTCTATCTCCCGCAGGAGTACAACACTCTTAACGACCACGGAGAGCGAGGCATCCAGGGCTATCACTGCGAAAGGTCTCACGAGCTTTATCCTCCGCAAATCATGCGAACCTTCTCACATCAGAGTAGTTACTGTACAGTCAAGGGGGTAAAACAAAATGGTAGTGCTCACGTATCTTTAAGAAAATGCTAGTGATATCGTATCAGTACGGTCAAATACGTTTTTTTATGCCGTGATACGATATCAATATGCGTCCAGCGGGAAACAACTGGCGGAGAAACGGGGGGGGGGGGGGGGGTGTGAACGGGTAGACATTGCCATGATCTAGATAGGTCGCACGCAATCAATGAACGAACGAGAAAAAAAAGAACAGCGGGAAACAACGTTTTTCTTACCTCCCCGCCTTGAACTATACAGTCCACCAGCCACGGTACAGTTTCTCCTTTCCTATCCCTTTCGAAACATACAAAAAAAAGATGGAAGTCAAAATATCCGCCGATGATCCTTCCCCGCGGGAAGACTTCTCCCTCATCATCTGTCCCCTATCATCTGCCTCCTCCTCCCCCCTCCCCTATTCCCTAGATGTACACAGTATCTACCACAAGAGACGAGCAAGAACACGACACGTCCTCTCCGCACACTCCACGTTCCCCGTGGCATTAATCACCTTCGCATCTCTCACCTCTCACTCCACCAGCAGTATACTGCGCGGTTTCCTGACCAAACCCAGGACGTTCCGCCTTTCCCTCCAGCGGTGGTCAGTGGTCAGTGGTCGGAAAACCGCAACCATACGCAGCCACAGTAACAGCAGGCGGCCATAGGTGATATTAAACATAAGGCTACGTATCCGCCTACGCCACGCTTCGGAATATAGACTATAGTAGTTAGTAGTTATTAATTGCCGGCGGCAAGCCACTGGATGGTTGGCCCCTATGTACCTATGATGGAGCTATGATGGAGCTACCTATAGTATGGAGCTACCCAGCTATGGAGCTATGGAGCTATGGCTCGAACACCACCATCACTCGCTCGCGGGCGAGCGGGCGAGTCGACGGATACACGTTGCAACATTCAATATAAGGAATATAAGGAGGCGAGAAGGCGAGAAGGCGACAAGAAAAGAATCCAAAGCTGGTCATCAGATACTAGCCATATTTTCTGCGCGAATTGAGGACGACAGGCAGCCAATAGACACCAGTAGAGATACTGGTACTAGTAGAGTGTGGCTCTCGCACCGGCACGCGGGGGAGACGCTTGACGTCGTGGTCCAAGGCGCCGTTCGGAAAAAAATAATGATTCTATGTATTCTGTGGCAGAAGGCTATGGGGTACCGCAATGTCGGGACCACTAGCACTGGGGTTTTAATCATGTAGGTACTTGTGAGAGGAACATATGAGTGGTTACTTGTTAGCTGGTGGGGACACCTCTTGTTATGCATGGGAATTACGGCAAGCACGTACCACCGCCCACCGTTTTTTTGAGCTTTTTTGCGCCTTCATGTGGACAATTGTGATTAATTGGAGTACTGGGCTCACCACCTGTGGCTACATGTATCTTTCGATTTTAAAAAATTTGTTTTTGCAAATCGGGTTTCAAAGTACTCCACTATGTAGGCGCGACGAAATCTAGGTACTCTGACGGACGACTATTGAGCTTCATATTTTATATCTGTTTTTATTTCTTTATTTTTCCTCACCGGGGATTTGGGAAAGATGATGGACGTCATACTCCACTTCTACTATACATCGCATCACGATCACATGCAGTCATGCTTGTCAGAGATACAGTAGAGTAGATATAGTAGATAGAGATTGGTCTCTCCAGACAGTTGGACAGTTGGACAGTTGTGGGGTCCGAGGGGCCAGCGAGCGACTTCGCAGCATACTGCATGTACAAGTTAACGACAAAAAACACCAAAAAAACTGGATCCGGCCGAATTACGACGGTAAAGAAATCCTTTATAATAGGTGTGCCTGTAATTGGTTAAAAAACTGAGGTACCCACGGACCCACTCACCAACCCTCCCCCCCCAGATTAATCCAGAAATCGCGGTACACATATCCAGGTCTACTAGTCGTTACTACGCCGTGCGTGAGTCGTGGCCATGATCGATAGTCAACCCATCAACCATGGCCCCGGGTGCACTGGGTAGGATGCACTGGGGTGGGCCAGAAAGAAAAAAACTGCCGGCATGCAGGTGGCTTTTTTTCTCCGAGTGTGTAAGTGGATGGGGGGTGGTGGGCGGTCGTGGCTGCGAGGTATCGATCGCCGCCGCCGCCGTCGACCGTGAATAGAGTAGATACTGAGTACTTGGATAGCACCACCACCACACCCGGTGGGCCGGAGGTTCAACTCAACTCAACTCAACTCATTGACGAGGTTTACTCAATGCGGATACACAAAATAGAGTAGAGTAGAGGTGTTGGGTATTGGGTATTGGCTGTTGGGGCGTCCTTTCACCGGTATCCACATCGCCTGCACATACGCACGCCGCACGTACGCACGATAGAGTGAATAGTACAGGACGAACATAGTAGGATGGATGACGTTCAACGTCCAAAGTTTCGTAGTGGAAATACCGCCCAACCGATAGATTCCCCACTCACACCATCACACGGGGAAAGGCTGATTACGGTACTTTACGGAGCGGGCCGCTGGGGGGGGGGGGGGGGGGGGGGGGACTGCGTGTGTGATGTGTCCACTGGTGTGATCGTGACTTTGGTTTCTTCTTGGTGGGCGAAATCGAGGGCGAGAGGCACTGGGACAGTCCCGGATAGATATAGTAGATGCTGAGTACCTACCTCGTACATACTGGAGTAGCTCGGAGGACCAATATTTACTATACATTATACATACCTCATACGGGAGTGGATGACATGCCACCGCATAGCTTCCTACATACCTCCGAGTACATACCTCCGAGCGAGCATCCTGCTCAGCAAAAAAAAATACAGAGCATCTGCTTAATGTCAGAGACAAAACTGAAACGGTACATACGGAACACGGATGACATCCAGTCCCAGTCCGCACACTCCTCCAGCCCTCCAGCCTCCTTTCTTATATGTAGGGGGGAGAGAGAATCACTTCGACGCAAGCTGCACTGCTGCAGGAAATAAACGTGGTAGGCATGTAGATAATTGGATATTTTATGCCTATCATATGTGCCAGTGGCCACTGGCCACCACCTAGTTAACTCACCTCGCATGCGCCAGATGCAAGGTACTAGCGGTCTAGCAACCCTACGTGGGCGTCCCGGAAAGGCTGTACTCTAGTTAACCAGTTAGCGCAGGAGCGCATCTACATACACAACTAACGCGCAGACGAGACGAGACTTCTGACCGGCCGACCTTTTTCCCCCTTGGGGTCGCCGGTCTAGATCTGTATCTGCGGGCCCTCCCTGCAGCGACGGTTCGTCCAGTTGGGAGCTGCGAGGGAGCTTTTCGACGTATGTATGGTATAGACCACCCCCCGGTACGTATCGTAACGACTTCGATATACTCCGCTCCAGATCTCCAACGAGCCGACACGATTCCGCATATGTACCATGTACATATATACGAGTAGGTAGGGAGGTTGGGAGGTACTCTACGTGGTGCCGTACCGGTCGCAAAGTCGTATGTACTCTACGTCAGCTGGCCTGGACAGTGGAGGACGCCTGTGTACCGGGGGGTAAGGGCGAGGTAAGGTGTGGTCCGTGCTGGAGCCCTTTCCGCCTTTTCCGCCTTGCTGTTTCACGATTGGCCGGTCGGTCGGAGTTTTACAAACACTTCGTTCTCTACATAGAGTCTACATAACCGTTCACATGTCCACTACGTACCTAAATAGGCACCTAATAGAGACCATCCCCACACCCGCCCTCAGCCGCGTGATCATGGCTCGCGAACTTCCCGTGCGTTCCCTCGGTCCACTCCGCCGCCGCCCACCTATCCCTCTCCCTCGGCAGCGTCCTCCTCGGAAATCCCTCCAGACTCCTACCATACTTCGCGACCAGCCACGCAATGGCCTTAGTATTTTCCACCAGTGCTCCAAGGTCCAGATTCCTAACGGTATCGCCAGGCTGGTGATAGTTAGCATCATACGGCTCGCCGGCCTTTCCGCCAAAGAGCGCCGCCTCTTCGCGCGTCTTGATGCCTTCGGCGCCGGTGAATAGCCCGCCCGACGGGATGTTCGCAGTCAGGAACGGGCCGTAGTCGCTACGCCCCGTGAACGCGGTTGGGACAGAGGGCCGCCCCACTGAGGTGAAGTATGAGGTCAGCGTGTCCTCGATCTCGGCGCTTCCGGCAGGCCCGGAAAGGTTGAAGGCGCTGCCGTCGCCGTCGTATACGCTAAGTACGTAGTTGGGAGAGCCGATCCTAGGTGGCGGCGGTTAGTTGCGGTGATTTAGAGGGTGAGAGGGCGAGGGGTAGTTACATGTCGGAGTTTATGTACATGGCAATCTTGAGATTTTCCTCTGGCGTCAGGTTCTCAACGTAGCGGTGCGCGCCGAGTAGGCCAAATTCTTCGGCAGAGAACCAGCAGAACCGTACAGCATTTTTGCTGTGCGCCCAATCAGCCGAGTGATACTCTATGAATAAGTACATAAGTACTCACAGTTTGAAATCCTTCAACTTAAGCAGCAGCTCCAAAATACCAATCGTTCCACTTCCGTTATCATTTATGCCTACCGGGCTGTCAATACATGTATGCGTACCTACCTATATCCGCCGGCGAAGTAAACTCACCAGGGCCCAGCGGCACCGAATCCGAATGCGCGCCTACGACGACGACCTTGTTGGGATCTCCGCTCTTAGTCTGGGCGATGACATTGTACGAGACACGGTCCTCGGCGAACGAGTCGATATCCAGCTCGCCGACCAGCTTCTCCCCCGCTGCCAGTTGCTCAATCAGCTCCAGGCCGTCGGAAAGCGAGATCGCCCCCGTCGGCACGATGTTGGGCACAGAAAGGAGGCGGCCATCGAGGACGGTGCCGGGGACGCTCTATAGCAGCGGGGAGTCAGCACCGCACCGGACTAAGGGGGAGGGGACGGACGTTGTAGATGATACAGCCCACGGCGCCGGCCTGGAACGCCAAGTTGCTCTTCTGGGTGACCGTGCAATTCCCGCGCATGAACAGCACGATCTTCCCCTCAACATCGGGCGGATAATCATCGGCAGTACACCCCTCGCCTCGCACTTGCGCCAGCAGCGCCTTCATCCCTCGAGCCCTCGGCGAGCCGCGGGATGGATAGAACAGCACGTCCTCGCCGTCGACAGCGAAGGACCCATTCGCCGCCGCGTACCGCTCCGCGAACGGCTGCAGGTACACGTCATATGCGCCGGTGGCGGCGACGAGGTCGTGCACGTAGTTGATCGTTGCGTTGTGTCCCGGCCCGCCGAAGCCGCGGTTGCCGCCCGCGCCGCGCGCGAAGGCGAAGGAGCTGAGCTTGTGCGCGTGTGAGAGGAGCGCACTGCGAGTCAGCTGCCGCCGGAGCTTGGAGGAGTCGACGAGCGGCCGGGGATCCTTTTGTCCCAGGGCCGCTGGGAAGGCGGAAAGCAGCAGCAGCAGCTGGAGGAGCGGGAGCGCGGGCAAGATCATGGTGGCTTCAAACTTGAGGTGGAGGGAATGGGAAAATCGCAGCTGGACGGGGTTATAGCCGTCTGTTTATCTACATACAATTGTTCATCGGAGGGGAAAAGGACCGGCTGGGTGCGCGGGAACACACCAGCTGGATGGCCCGTATTCATGCAAGTAAACGTTGATCTCAATCGCACTTGCTCCCATACGGCGGCCAAGATACAATGGCCGGTTCCGCATCTTGATATGGCGAATTGGAAGGGAGCCTGCACTTGATACACGGATCCTGTGTAACATATAACGGCCATGTCAGGCACGAGCCAGTCGGAGATCTGCCGAATCTGGAAGCTGTGGTCAACATCCTAGAAGGGCCCAAGAAATGTACGTCGGCTGCGGGCAGGGCCACTGCAAGACGAGATAGGGTCTGGACCGGCGGATGCGGTCGCGGCTGTGGCTGGGCGAAAGCGTGGGGGAGTGAGATCGCTGATAGCCGGACTTATTGATCTTCCGTAGCCATAGTGATCTTCTTGATATGCAATCAATTATCGGCGGTGGTCGCATGGGCACCGGCGCCATGCCACTCCGAGTGACGGAGGCACAAAATCAGCATGGGTATTGGAAAGACAATCAAATCGGTAAGTACGGGTAGACACGGCTCGGCTTTGTTTAATTCCTAAGTCCCTATGCAGCTGAATGGGATGCTCGTGCTCATTCCACCCCGAGCTCACTCTTCTTCGATATCATCATCATCGAGGTCCATCTCCTCGCCCACCCATAGCGTTCCCTCGCTAACCACGGTAATCTCCCACGGCTCACCGCCCTTGCTCCCCAGCCGCTCCAGAACAATTATATACCCGCCATCAATCCATTCCAGATGCGTCTTTGTCGTCCTGACCCCCATTGGTAGATCCACAAACGCGCCGCCTCCACTCTGTGCCACGAGAGCATCCGCCTCCACCTCATGCGGCTGGCGAATAGCTCCAAACACCGTCAATTTAATAGCAGCAACACTCCTCGCTTTCACCCACAGCCCCATGAACCGCCCCACATCCATGGGCCAGACCAGTTTGGTCCTTCCGGGCGGCCATACTCCCTTAACCACTGTTTCGAAGCACCCGGCAGTTTCGGAAGGGAGCTCACTAAATGTGGCGGTCGAAGCTGTGGTGAGAAGAGTGATCTTAAATGCGCCGAGCTGTCCCGACTCGAAGGTACTCGCGACGACGGTGTATTTTCCCGGGGGCAGGTCGGATGTCGTGGCGAGAGCGGTGGAGCGCTTGTATTCTCCGCTCTCGGCCACGATTTCGCGAGTGGTCACCGCGGCCACTCGCTCACCCTTGGAGTACACCAGTTTCACGTGTACTGGGTGTGGCGAGGGTGTTTCGAGGAGCAGGGCAAGGCTGGCAGCTTGCGTAGGTAGCGTGATCACGAACTGTGGGTTCTTCGGGTATTCCGGAGAGTGGGCGTTTCCGCCGGCCGTGGAATCGGTCCATGCTGAAGAAAGCACCAGTGAATATGGGTATGTTTCGGCAACGGGATTGATGGTGAGCGTGGACAATGAGTATATCATCAGGGAGAAACTGTGGGTGGTGGGTGAGAGGTCTTGTGATGATACCGCGAGTGTATAGTTTTCGCCTGCCGGGAAATTGTCGAGCGACAGGAGAGTCTGTGGCGAGTCGACGTACGGAGTACGATGAATACTAGGAGAGGATAGGTAAACCCGTCGTCCAGCTGCATCGAAAAGGTAGAGCGAAATGAAGCCGTTATTAATCACTCCTTCGTCGGCAGTATTCGATAGACCCAAGTGGCGCGAGAGAATGATCCATACCGGCCCAGCAGTGGACGAAGGATTCGAGATGGAAAACTGTGGGTTTTGGCCAAACGAAGTTTCGGATACCTTTGTGGAGAGATCCCACGAGAAATGTGATTCATAGAGCCTGGTGAAGAGCGTCGGGTTCCAGTTCAGATATAAGCTTGCGAAGTTTCGAAAAACATTTTCCAAAGATATCCAAAAGACGCCGGGTTGCAGTGGTTCCCTAGAAGGCAATGCATCTTTGACGTCTTTCATATCCAGCCCATCCTCCGACGAACATGGACTCGGTGCATCGAAGTCATAAGGCTCATCTTTTTCATCGTCGTCATCCGTGGGCGCACCCCTCCAGACCGTTCCCTCGGACCACGGATTCTTGACCAGCATGAACCTATCACCATCTTCTTCCTTCATATCAAGGACAGCATAATCGTGTTCACCAATCAAACCCAGCTCCGTTTCCTCTCGCGTCGTCAAACGGCCGGTCCCCAATGTTATCAAAACGTCACCAGTAGTCCAAGCACCCACCATCCGTCGCCACAACGCACTGAGTACCACTTCATCTGACTGGAGGAACACATGCTCCGGAATCCATCCCGTTAAAGCCAGTAGATCAGTGCCTGAATTTGAGCCTGGAAAATCATAGCCTCCCATGATTTTAAGGTATGCCTTTTCGATGAGAGCGGCAGCGAACACCGTAGGGTTTCTACGACAGGTAACGTATAAGGATCGGTCGGACTTGGAGACGGGGAGATAGTCGTCTATTATGACCTACACCAGTATGAGTTATATGATTTCCGCAGTGTTGGATAAAGCCCGACCGACCTTGCGGTAACACCCATTGAAGAAGAGCTTCACTATGTACTTTCCGGAGGGGCTGACCACCGGCCGTCCTTTATCGTCTTGGGGGTACAATATATTAATAATTGTCTGTCAACTGTCAGCACTCCCATCCAATTCTCCAATAGCGAGAATAACACGCCTGTCCGAACCCCTTCTCTTCCCTCCGAACGCCGGAGCACAAGCTCGCAACAACCGAGCAGTCGGTGATAACATCCTGCGTAAGATCTACGATTTCATCTTCCCCGGGCAGTATCCTCGCATTCTCACAAATCTCATGTGGCCGCTTCCAATCGTCGAGTATAGTCTTTTGCAAATCTGATAACTGCAGCATTCCTGCCGGGTCTCTCCGCACAGTCAGCCACATCCGCCCACTCCACCGCCGCCTCGAATCTCGACTTACTGAAACGGCGCACCCGCAAACTCTGCTGGCGCCGGTGGTCCCTTCCACGGCGGAAACACCCCGCCGTTGATTTTACTCGACTTGAGCAGCACCGTCTGCTCCTTGACGCTTAACGCCCTGGTCACCTTCGGCGTCGGCCGCTTCCGCGGGGGTCTGCTCGGTGGCTGCGACGGCGAAGCTGCTAGGCCCACTTTTGGCTGTAGCTCCTCCCCCTTCGACTTCTCCCCCGCGATCACCTTCTTCCACCCCTCCGCCTTTGCCAGCACCGCGGAACACTTCCGATCCAGCAGCTGCTTGTCTGACTGCTGCGAGGTCTCGCGCCCCGCGCGGATGTAGAGCTCGGCCGCTTGGATCGCTGCTTGTAGTGCTGCGGAGCAGTTGCCGTCTGCGTGGAACGCGTCGGCGCGGGATTCTGCGGCCTGGACTCCGTTAGGCGTGAATGGCGGTGGTAGAGTAACGCGTGCTGGGAATTACTCACAGCTGCAAGACGAGCTATAGAGCTATTGTGCGCGGTCGTCTCTTTTCCCGGAGCGGATTTCTGGACGGAGGCCATGGTGGGAAAACTCGAGTTCAAAGGCTGTATCTAGGTGCGGAATGCGGGGAGTGGGGAAGGCTTGGGAACTTGGGCAGTATGTAGGTTTATGACGCTCGTGGTTAAACTCTATTTGGACCCGTGCACACATGGTAATACCCGTTGTTACGCCCAGTAACTACGGTAGCTACGAGCCGGCCCGGCGCAGGACAAGGGAAGGTCACGTCGCGCCCCCGCTTTCGTAGGTACGGCAGTGGGGAGGGCCTGGATTGATTTATCAAGGTAGAATGCTATGATCAAACAAAAAGAGGCCCGATGTGCGAGTCTTCTGCAACCCTCTCTGCGGAGTTGATCATCAATATATTGCCAGTATAATCTTGCACACGACCAGATTCTCCACTCTCATCCATATCTTCAGGCAATGGACATACAGCAACAACACCAAGCATCCTCAAAGCCTTAAAACTACCATTATATAAAGTTGCATACACTGATACCATGTGACGAGAGCACAATAATCTTTAGTGAGAGCAAAAGGTCAGAAGTAAGTCTGAAGAAAGAAGTTCAGAAAACGCCTTACGTTTGAATATCAGGAACCGGCACGGCGTCATGATTCATCAACTTGAGGTAACCAAGTACATCCGCATCTCTTGTGTTCAAACCTCAACCTCGGTTCCTGTCCATGTGGGTGAGGGCGTTGCATTGCGTTGGGAGTCGCTTCCTTGCATTGGATGAATGAATCATGATGATCGTCACGATTGGCTGCTTCTGGTCCACCTATTGTAGTGGTCGCCCACGATGTTGCGCAGCATCGTCGAGAATAGATCTGCGATCACCTCTTCCTCAGGACCGCGCTCACGAACCGGGTTGGATTGCTTCGGTCCCACTTCTCCGGCCCGACGTAGCGTTCGCCGAGAATGTGTTTGATAGAAATGTGCCACCGAGGGCTGAGGTTGTGATGTGCCATTGTAGTTGTCGTTGTCAAGTAGTGTGAAATCTACGGGAGGAGTTGCAGACTTATAGTCGTCGGGATTGAAACATCAAACGTTCCAAGAAGTGCAAAGATAATCACGGAATCGGATGGAAGCTCGAGCAAGTTGAGATGGTCAAGATACCTAGTGGATGCTTGGACTCTGCTCATAGTGAAGCACATGAGAGCACTAAATCGTAATGCTGGCCTTTGACCTCAAGTGGGCAAGTTGTGGATCAAATCATCCTTTAGCACTCGCCGCGAACTTCCAAATCCCAGCATGCATAGTCCAGTGCTCCCACAGAGCCACTGCAAACCTGGAAGCCGTTGAGACACTCCGTTTCACCGTGACTGAGTTCAGTCACGCTCCCAAGGCTGAGCGGCGACACTTCACGTATTCTCCATCTCACTCTCTTCCTTACACGGAAATGATGATGATCCTTGCATGCCCCAAAACCTAGATTCCAACATCCTCTACAGTCTGTATTTCGTGTATCTATCGTTCTAACCGTCGAATCGGCCCGGGCCATCGCTCTGCAATCAACGGCTACGCGCACCTCGCGCGCGTCGAGTCGGCGCCTCTATGATGCAGCCCAGTTGCAAAGACACCCGGGAGTGTAGTAAGAGTGCCGCGCATGCCAGCCCGGGTGTCCGAGACTGGCCAACTTCTTTGTGTTCCGTTCCGACTACGCAGCCATCTCGCTCACCCCTTCAATAGTCTCTCCCTCAGCACGCCCTTCTCCATCTCCATCTGCTGCTCCGCCCAACCCTTGCCCATCATCAGCCAAGTTCCGTCTCTCCGCTGAGGGAATGGAATACTCACAATCGCCTCCTTCGCACTCTTCAGATCCCCCACCACGCTCTCGAACAGAGCCTCGACTTCAAACACATTCCGTCCCGGCTCCAAGTCTGGCGGGGGCTCGGCCCCGTCGCTCTCGCTTGCCCGCCGGCCGTCGATATTCCTAATCACCGACTTTGCCTCGCGCAGGGCACGCAGGGCGGCAAGCGACTGCCGCAGCGATTCCTTCAGCAGCTCTTCTGGATCGGGCCAGTGCGCGTCGGTTGCCACGACGGGATGCAGCGAGAGGAGTGTCTGTTGCGCCGTGTTAGTTGGCAATTGATGGGCGGACGGGGAGAGTGCTCGCTTGAGAGAGAGGGGGGAGGGGCTGCGTTACCATCGCCTGGGCAATGCTGTCGAACGTCTCCGTCGTGTCGTTGTGGTCGGGCTCGGCGACGATCGCGGCAGCCTGAGACATCACCTCGTCTTCGTCACGTACTGCGGAGTCCATGTGTGTTGTGGTTATTGTGGTTGTGGTGGTTGGGGGATGTGTGGATATGGTGGGGTAATGGTTGTTGCTGTTGTTGTTGTGGTGGTGGTCGGGGCCGGGGTCGGTGACAACACGCTGTAGCAGCGACGCTGCCCCAACAACGCCGGTTGTTGTACCTGCGGGTGACGCCATGATGAGGCTGCGACGGCGGCGGGCCAGGGACGAGGTCGGCTTCATGGGACTAGTCGGTGACGAGACGGGATTTGTAAATGCCGACGACGAGGAGGACGCTGGCGACGGTGGAATGCTGTACTGTTGCGGATACGGGGTGTGTATGGACCGTCGCTTAAGACGGGGCGTGACGGGGGCGGGTACGCGGAATTCGAAGGTCGGTGGGCTAGCAGGAGGGTCCATTGTTTGATAGAGGACAGTGGGATCAAGAGGATTCTGAAGAAGTAGTTGTGGATTTGTATGGAAGGTTGCGGTTGTGGACACGGATGGAGAAGAAGCTGGGAGCTGGGGAGCTGGTGGAAAGCTGGTTGGAGGGGGAAAGAGGTGATGCCGGCCGGCGGCTAGCCTGGAGGCGATCCAGGGCGCTCGATTGGAGATGTGTGAGCTATGGCCTGCAGCATGGCGAATATGGAATCTCTACTCGGAGGTCCCTGTTGGCCGGTGCGGCACAGCATCATGATTTCACGTAAAGAAGTGCAGTTTGTTGGGCTTGCCCAAGGGCGATTTCGAAATCAGGCGGGCGTTTGGAGTAGGTACTATTAGAGTGCCTGCCAATCGTAGGACCTTTGACTCCGATTCTCAACGGATTTCTTCAGCTCAGCATAGGTGGTCTTCTTCACGAGAGGCCGTGACGAAGGTGAGAAGCCGGTCAGCAGAGCTCTGTTTAGCATTTGCACTTTCTACCTCCGCTCTCCGACTCCGGAGGGCAGAAAGCGGAACGCCGTCGGGCACACTGGACCTGAATGATGTACCGTATCACCCAAAGAATTATGCCCCCGCTCTGTCTGTCTCAACAGCAAATCCGACTCGGCCGTATATAGTTTATCGACTCCAGGCATGAGACTCGGGCAGCTCGACATGGAGTACTCTATACCCCACCGAACGAGAAATATCCCATCAAAATCACAGGATCCCCTCGCAAATGCAAAACTCCCACTCTACATCCCAGTAATCGAAAAGGCCTCCCTTCTACTTGTTCTTCATCTCCGTAAATTCGTCCACACTCACCTCGCTCCTCCTCACCTCCGCATCCCTCCCTCTCTCCCTCGCAATATCGATCTCTTTCATCAGCACCTGTTGAGCCTCCTCAATCCTCTTCCTCATCTGCCTCAGGATATCCTCCCTATCCTCCCTATTCTCCCCCTTCTTCGGTCCCTCCTCCACATACTGCTTCAACTGCTTCTCGATATCTGCCGCATCCTTCCCGGTAGCCAGATGTTTCCGATACGTCTCCTCGCTGCCAAAACACATACCGTATCCGTCGCAGTAGCAAGCGTACTCGCTCGGGCAAACCGTGGTGGTTCTGTTGTCTCTATCCGAGAACATGTAATGCCAGAGATACTCCATAATCCTGCCGGAGTACCGATCGACCAGGTCTGTATGCAGCAGCCACTCGCGCCATTGAACATACTCCTCGCGGGTATTCCCCCGGATCCTGTCGCGGGCAACAACAAACTGAGCGCAGCACGCGCTCGCCAGGGTTTCGGGCAACCTCACGCCGGGGAAAAGCTTCCTGAACTCGCGGTGGAAGTACATTTCCTCGCCCTTGTCAGGGGTGTAGCGGCTGTTGTGGGGCTTGATCCACGAGGGACAGCCGGGGTCCCAGTGGCACCGCAGGTTCATGAACCCGAGCCGCGCTGCCCGGTGGTAGTTCAGCTCCCGCAGCATCAGCGCCGTGCTGAGCATGTGCATGTCGTTGTTGTGCCAGGCGATGTTGGACGCGTGCGTGAACACTACGAGGTCCGGCAGCGTGTCGTAGTGGTTGATCAGGTACGTCAGGTAGGTCATGGCTTCGTTGCCTTTGTTTTTGGGGACGGTGAGCGCGCCCGGCGGGAGCGTGGATGAGGAGGTCGTGGGGACGTGGTAGACCTTGGGGGTGAGTTTGAGCCATGGCGGGAGCGCGGAGAGCCACGAGATGTCGTCTTGTGGCGTGCACGGGAGGACCAGGTGCTTAGTGTAGTTGTCCGGTTGGAAGATGCTGATCCCCCGTGTGAAGCCAAAGTATTTGTATGCTTCATCGATCGTTTCTTCGTGAACAGTAGTGCGGGGCGAAGGCGTAGGTGGTGGGCGCGCGGGAAGGTGATAGAAGAGGTAGAATGTTGCCGCTAGGAAGAGGATGAGCGAGAGAGTGCGCCGGCGGGGGGGCATCGTTATGGAAGCTGCCGTACGCGGCTGGGTTCGGATCGGAGACGACAGGCTATCGACAATTCGCTGTGAGAGACATTGGTCGGTATATAGTAAGTCAGGCAAGCTTCAGGCCGGGAGCATATCTCGTGTTCCAATCGCGCCGGCGCAAGGTAGGATGACGCACAATTGCTCAACGTTTCGTGGATGGCGTGTTACGTTTGCTTGCCTGGTCGGAAGCTGGTGAAACGAACGCGGGGACCGGAGCAGCCAATCTATTACGCGCTGCATGCGTAGAAGTAAGAATGGCTCTCCGAGCACGTGTAATGGTTGTTTACGAGTGATAGCAGTGCTTTTGTGACCGCGACACACGACGAAACATTCTCTACGCAGATCTGTATCCCTTATCCTGTCCAAACTGTCAAATTCTACAAGATCGACCAGTCTATATAAATAGAGTATTGAAATGTAGATTCTCCGAGACTATCAAAAACAACCCCCCCCCCCCCCCCCAAGAAAACAGAAACGTGAAGAAAAAAAAACAGAACGAAAAGGTATATGCATAGTCTACAGCTTAGATAAGAAGGAGGGAATAGGATAAAAACGCAAGCAAAGGTGGAATGCCGTCTCTGTACCCATTAGTCGGTCCATCATACACTGTCGACAGTGCTCTTAACCAAGAGCGCCGCCTTCTCGGCAATCTGCTTCTCCCGCATTTTCAGCAGTCCCCGGTACATCAACAAAAAGCTCAGCTCCATCCTCTCCTTCGTCATCATGAGGAGGCCTTGCACCATAAGTCCCTTCATAAGTTGCGGGCCGATACCCTTGAAGAGACCCAGCGCGCCCTCGTGCTCGATGATGAACTTCATCACCTCAATGAACCCCTTGAAGGGCTTTCCCTTCCTCTCCGGTGGTGGCCGAGACTGCAGTCCCACCTTGGCGACGATGAGTGGCTGCGTAGCGCAAGTTGCGACAGCCTTCGACATAGCGCCCAGCAGGAACGATTCGAAAGGCGACAACCGGGCCTTGTTGGGGTAGAGGACCTCCTTGAAGCGCTGGTAGGAGCCGTAGGTGATGGCGGGGTTCACAACGAGCACCAGGGACGCCTTCAGTCCTCGCCAGAGGCCCGACATTCCATCCTCGGCGATCACCTCTCGGGCCGTATCCATCAGGCCGACGTACGGCGCATTGATCGGACGGGTCTGCTGCCTGGTGGTGACCACAGCAACGGGGATGGTGAACAGCTGTGCGAGCGCGCCCGCCACAGCGCCGAGCAGGAGCTCCGTAGCGGTGCCGAGATTCGACGTCGCGTTGGTGCGCTTGATGTACCAATTCCGCACAAACGTGTACCAGTAGAAGTAGGCAAAGTTTGTGGAGGCCACACCCAGGAGCGAGCCCGCCATACCCGAGTATAGCCCGGGAATACCCGCTTTCGCGACGATCTTGAGGATCGCGTCGAGCGTCGAGTCGTAATGCTCGTGTTGTTCTTCGACGATGACGGCGGCGGCATCGGTCTTGTCCACCGTGGCGTCCGTGTCCGCGTTTGCACCTGCTTCTGCATCTTTGGCGACGCCGTTGGTGGCCGCGCTCGGGGACTTGCGTTTCTTGACTTGGACTTGGAGCTTGGTTTTCACACTGTGAATATTAGCTGTGTCTGTTGCGGGAATGGAGTGGGGAGAAGAATAGCTCACATGTCCAGCGGGTAGACAGCGGCGTTCGCCAGCACTGCGCCAGTCGCGCCGGCGACGGCATATCCCCACGGGGGAAGAGCAGCGTGTGATGACATTTTTCGCTGTCCGTCGAAGAAGGATGAGGAGGAGTGGAGGAGAGGGTGATATGAACCGGAGTTATAGAAGAGGTAGAGGTGAGAGTAAGTGATGGCAGGTGCGTAGATCGATGGCTATGGGTGGGTACTGACAGAAAGTATAGACGCCACGCAGTCCGGAAACAAGGAAGAACTTCGCGCTCTCTTTCTGTTTTTTTTTTATAGATATGATTATGCCGATACTCATCACGGTTCCTGGGGGAGGGGGGGGGGGTGGTATTGCATCACTATCATTTTTGGGTGCTTTCTTCGGTGGTGGATGGGAGCCGACTGTGCCGAGGCTCCACACGGTAATGAGGGATACACAGGCTTTCACCCACTGCCATCTGAAAGGCCATGGCACTGGCACGCTGCACGCATGATGCCAGCAGTGATTATCAGTGGCTTGAATGCCGCGCCACACGCACAGACTCAGATTGATTGATTGATTGATTGTTCATACAGCATGGAACCTGAAGGTTATGGCCGATAGAGATATCTACAATACAACATTTTGACAAAGAAATTCCACCACCAAATCCATACAGAAATGACAAGCCAAATCCCTTCGTCTCGCAATATTTTGAAAGTGGGCCTCCGAAGAGGCTCGGGTTGTCGGTTTTGCGCTGTAGCGGCGTTTCGTAGCCCTCCTCTTCTCCAAAAGATACCTCCACTCTGTACTACCCTCAACATAACCAGTCTAGCGCACACGGCATGGTGCTCGAAAGGAATCGTCGTCTCGGGGTTTGCGTAGCTGTCAAGGCCGGGGCCCGATGAATAGCAGCGAAGATATTTGGATCGAAGGCGGGACTGGCAAAATGCCGCTTGTCATGGTCGACGTTGTCCTGGGCCAAGCCCTGAGCTCTCCCCCTGGAGTTCACTCTCCTCCCCGCCGTCGCCGTATCGCCTGCTAAACAGGCTCTCCTAGAGTGATAAAATCGATGATGATGTGCGGGGAAGCGATGGCGAGACTTCTTCAGAGGTTTGGACGTAGCACCCGTGGTGGTGCAGTTCTCCGGCCAGGGACCGAGGCTCGATTGATCTCTATCGCTTCATGCTCATCGTCGTCGAATTCGTCGGTCGGGGTACTCAGTCCGCGGTCGGAAAGAGTGCACAGACTCAGAGGCTTTACCCCACCTCCGCCTTCGGTGCATGGCATGCATGCCACCCAAGGCCGCGTTGCGAGCTCAGCCCAGGAGCTGGCGCGTGCCTACAGCTAGAAGCGTCTCCTGCCCAGCAATGAAGAAGCCGAGAAAACCCGCCGCTGCAGTGGCTATCAGGCCGATAAGGTATCGCGATTCGTGAACGCTGAAAGTCAGAGTTGCCCCGAGGATTTTGCAGCTGGGAATAACAGGAGCTCAACATCGGATTGGGGCTAGATAGCGGACACGTGATAGGTGCGACGCGGTTGTGGTCGGAGTAGCTCCCCCCAGGGCCCCCACATCTTCTCTCCGCACTGTCGGTAACCTCTTGAACTCCTGCTATGGCTTCTTCTCACAACGCATTGACCGATAACAATAACAGGAAGACAGCAAAAGAACACGATATCTCCGCCCTACACCGATCCTAAATAGCTGCAAAGTTGCAAACACGTCTCAGAGAGAAGCACCGAAACCACTTCCAAAGTAACCCCGCGCTCCTGCAATGCCTTCCCAAGCCCAGCAAGCATCACGGAGAGCACCAGTGCTGTGCCTCCTGCCGCAACCGCCTGCTTCGCGAACCCGCGAACCCGCGTGCGCCATAGCTCCGCAGGAAAGCAAACAGCGCCCTTTCCGAGACATTACCGATGCGAGCCTGGAGCATTGCCGCGGCGGAGCCTGGATACCTGCGTCAGTGACGGGGCTAAAGGATTCGGGATACGCGTGCAAACCAGCAACGATGCCGGCCTCGCCGAAGCCGAGCAACATAAGCAAAGCGTTCAACGCGGAAACCGCCAGAGGGAGTAGCACCCAAGGATTCCTAACTGCATGGTCGAGCACCGACGGGAGAAATCCGACTGCCCTGGTAACGAGAGATTAGAGATCCTAGTCGTCGTGCTCCTGTATCTGCTTGTTCTGCGTCATGGTGTGCGCTTGGTTTGCAAAGTAGACGGTTTCCACCGCGGGCCGAACAGCGATATCGATGTATGCTTTCCCAGCGGAAGTGACATCTTCCAATGCAGGCTGAAGGGTGCTCTGGTAGTAGGCTCCTCCGGCAGCAATCGCGGAGGCGATGCCGTCAATCACCCTTCCGAATGCGGATTGGAAGTCGATATCAATCGCTACGGCGGCCCCGCACGCAAGGGAGATAAGTAGGAAGGGGCGCATAGGTACTATGGAAGCGTGGGATTGTTTGGTTGAAGATATGAAGGGTTGGAGTCGAGTTAAGGAATGTGTTGTCCACGAACTGCGTCAGTACGCAGGTGGAGACACTGCAGCAAAGTCTTTCGGTGGGTAAAGGAACAAGCAGACGGGGATGGAATGAGGTTCCAGCGGCACAGTTTGTGCTAGAGATTCAAAGAGAATGTTCAACGAGGTGGAAAAGGCAGCGGTACTGCCAAATCAGGATTCCGGAGGAGGAGAAGCCAGCGAGCTTTCTGAACTGGCGGGCGGGGCAGGCCAACAGAAAATCCCGGAAACAGGAATGGGCTCCATACCGGCGACCCAACATGAAGGAAGGCCCGCCGGGACGAGGAATCCAACCAATGCAGCGACCAAGCTACATAGCACTTGATCTCCTCACGGATACGGATATCGGCAAATCGGTCCCGCTGTGAGGCTTTTTGTTTAATCGTGTTTTCATTCGGACCTTCGGAAGGCGGTAGGGCTACATACATAAGTGTCGGAGTGTGTTGTCGGAGTAATGAAATGACGATGATGATCCATTATTGCGTACATACATCTCATATCCTTCGCATATTCGCCAATTTCAATGCAGTGGCTACTTCTTGAATTCTTAGTTATACACCTTCACAGCATAGCACTCAACGATATGTTGAATGTGCACCACAGCCCCTTGGCTTATGCAGCTGAAGAATGGTGTCAATCTCTCGACCCCTCGCCTGGGGGTTCTGACGGCTGGATCGACCTTCTCTCTCCAGACCTAGGGACAGCGGAATGACCTAGGCCTCACTTATGCTTAGGAATTCACGGATGCGATTTCAATCCGGTGGAATAATGGTTGGAGGAATGGGATCCATTCTTCGATCGTGACAAGTACGCGGCCATAAAGTACGCCTTTGGTTACACGCGCTGCTCAGGAACGCTCATTCATAATTCCACTCCTCCATCTAGTATTCTGTTGCCACCCTTTTCTCCTGGCATTGTCTCTATGATATGTATTTGCCCACGAGACTTACCTATCCCGATCTTGTTCAATTATGACGGAAGGAAGTCAATTGCTGCTGGTGCACACACCTGGAGGATGCGGTATATGGATGTGCTTTCCCGCATGCCCGCAACTTTTCTCCCTCGCCAAAGAGCTATCCTGCCTATTTTTTTCTGCCTGTGGTGCGATCTTTGGCCGTCCTCTCGGTCACTAGCAAGGAGAAAACAAAAGAACTCTGAGAGCAAGCACACTAGGTATGATGATCTAAAACCCCCAATGACAATAGTTAGAGAGGGAGGGAATGATTAACATAATGGTGACATAAAGGTCTTTGCGAGGCAGGCACGGCTTCCGCCACCCGTTGCTAGTCGGAGAATCTCTTCCCAGTGCCTCTGGGCCTTGATTGGCCCGCCATAAGGTCCTTCGGCGGTGTTCAGTCGCGGAAAAACAGAACAGTTTTCACAGCTTCCACTGATTCTATTTGTTCCACTGGTTTCACTGTTTAACCTGCTTCCTACGGCGGTCAAGACTCAAGACCGTCCGTAGAAAGAGGGGAAGTGTTGTAAGCCACATTAGGCGGTAGAGAAGTCGAGGTACCTATATTAAACCACAGAGTTGAAGCGTGCAAGGAAAGGACTAACAATACGGCATAGATTTCTTCGAAAGACAGGCTCTGCTTCCACACCCAGTGCACAGTTTGGATAGGGATCGGTGGCCGCACACTGACGTTCGAGTACTGAATCCTGCCCGGACCGTTTCTCGGCATCGACTATGGACATGTCGGATCGCAATCGGATATCCGTTTCTGGGAACGAGACGAGAATGCCGCCGTTCGTTGACTCAATCGTTCTGACGCCCCCCGAAGCTGCTTCTTCAATCAGCGCTATCTACGGATTTACGGCGCACGGGCAACCTTCAGGAAGCTTTGTGGATCCGACATCAACCCCCAGGCTTCATCTGGAATATCGGCGAAGACAGCCAGCGCGCGTCCTGATTCGGCTTGACCACCCACATGGCGCACTATTGGGTGTTGTCGTCATCCTAGAGCGGATTTTACTTCCTACAGGCGTCTTCAACACCGGCAAGGAACCGCCGTCGACTAGGCGGAAGAATGATCAGCAGCCACCTGATCCCTCTGGAGAGTACGTTGATTCGGTATGGTACCTGTTTGCGAAACGTAGCGATACTGCTCCGTACTGACAAGTATCGAAGGTGTTGGATAGAAAGCGGATCTCAGTGCTCGTACTGTTCATCTCTGGACCGGAGGTCCTATATATATACAGAATCTCGAGTCTCTCCCATAGGTCATGGTATAGCATACCGATGACGATGCGTGCTGGTACATTGTTGCCGTCTACCAGCATTGCTGCAACCGTCATCGACCCATTCCGAACGCCCAACTCTGACAGAAGGAACCGCCGCCGACCAGGCGTCGCCTTCACGGCCGTTATCGTGGACCCAGCTGTGACCGAGCACCGCTCCCGAAACGGAATCCACGAACTGTACGCCGCGTTCGGCCCAGCAGCGACCCAGACTTTCACCAATGTCGGCAGTCCCACCCTGCTGGCTTTCTTGAAACGGTAACGAGACCCTCGCTGGCCGGGAGTCCGCACGATTTTTAGGTGCCTAGTTCGACCCAAGACGCAATCAACGTTGGACACGGACAGCGAGTGAGATCCCGTTCACACGGGGTGTTACTAAGACAAGGGCAGACAACACAACTCTCCTGTGGTCCGACCGACTACGAGGTGATCTTTCGATCCGGTTTAAAGGCCGCCCTGGGTCCTTATCCTCCCCGGTCAGGCTGCCGTTACTAGACTCTTTACACCTTCAACGAGGGCAACGAAATCCCTACGAACATCTCGAGTGGCAAAACAACCTGCCAGATGAACTCACCGAGTCTACTGTACACTCACAGTCACCAGCCGCTATAACTTCAGGTTAGGCTGTGCGAGTGAGTATTACGGTGCCACTATTACTCGAAACACCGCTCGCATGAGTGAGTAGGTACCGTGCCACTATTACTCGGATCGCCGCTCGCATGCCTGGCGTACGGAGGAACAGAGCACCGAAACCGACGGGCAACAGTCCGGTTACTGCCTGTCGGAGTGGGGGGGAGGGGGCGGTGGTTATATCGTGCTGCTGGTACATACAATAACCGTTAGCCCTTTGTAAGCTCCCCCAGTTGATGTGCAGGCCGCAGTGCGTGCACTCGAGTGGAAGCCTGGGAGGGGTGTTGCGGTCAGCGAATAGATAGATATGAGAGTCTCACCGCTGAACCTACGCACTTTCACTATGACGTCGCCGTCCGGGCCTTTTCCGGGCCTTTTATAGTTCTCGTCAGAATCTCGTGAAAGGCCTCAGCTGTGACTTCAGGCCCTGCGACTTTACTGCTGATAGTAGGTAAGCAGTTACTAACCACGGTGCGGTGACAGTCCACAGTCCAGTCCACAGTCAGCACTGCGCGCACACACGTCCGATCAACATACCAGCTAGGTAGGTACTTACCTGCTTACCAAGTACTTACTCACTTATGCAGCACCAGTCACTTTGTGCGAACCGGAGTGACAGTTCGAGATCCCCAGTGCCCAACCGCATTCCATTTATGGATCCTCCGACTAGTCACCCGGATAAACGACTTCCGGCCCCAGCTCTTAGTCACCGCACTCACGCACTCACGCAATATATACCAGTATGTAGGCCTCCCATACTCGAGCGCGCGCACACACGGAGCGCAAACCTCATGGGGTCACGGACAGCCGAGCGAGCGAGAGTGTCGAAGGGTTATTAATCATCATTCACGTGCCAACTCGTACCATCTTAACTATCGATGCAGCTGCCATCAGGTCTCTATTTTAGAGTTTCGCTACAGGATGCAAAACAAGGTGCTGGGCCTGACGTTACTATAACTACTCTACTCTACTGCGCAGGCAGATGGCCGGGGTGGTGCGCGGGGGGGGTGGGTTTTTTTTATACAGTTATTTACGATTATGCAGGCCATTCAGCCATTGCGTGGGGCGTGGGGTTGAGCGCCGTCCGCAACTGGGGGTATGCGGCTAGTACCCTGCGGATTTGAACTGGTGTAACCATCACTGATACTCACCACCACAGCAGAGGATGATGGAATGGCGTCAAGAGAGATGGAAACAACCAGAGATTCATGCTGTGAAGTCATGGGGAAGTTGGAACGAAGCCTCTCCATTCTCCATTCTTGCCACTGCCAATTGCGCGATCGCAACATTAGGGGATCGTCGAGATGGTGAAATCACTTTCCGGTAGAGTTTGTGGAATGTGGCCGTACCGGGTATATAGTAGCACCTGCTAGCGCCTGCGCCTTGTCGAGTGATAGCTCATATGTGGCGGTGCAGGTACTTTTTCCATGTAGCCGCTCGAACACAGTGAGAATAGCAACAACACCACCGTGAACACCCCTCACTAAGCCCTTTGCTCCATGTTGCTCCTCATACCGCGCACATACCCACACCACCACGCCGTCATATCCAGTGGACGGAAAAAAAACCAAGCCCCACCGCCTGTTCGGCCATGTGAACATTCCCATCATCCCTTGTATGATGCCTACTATCCTGATTCCTGCTGGCCAGTTATCGCGTCCCCGCCCCTTGCAGCTATGTATGTATGTATGTATGTAGCTGGCAGTTCGGCTCGGCCCGCTGCTGCTGCAGTGCTGCTTGCCGGGTCCCGTGCTACCTACGGACGCAGCTACGCTCACTTACACCTCCACCTGCACTTGCGGTTGGTGGGCGGTTGGTGGGCGGTTGGTTGAAGGGCGGGGAGCCTTGAGAGTCTAGTCTCAGTTGAGACGGACTGCTCTACTAACGGGGACGAGAGGGGGGTACAGTTATGGCATGCTGTGTGGCACAGTGGCAGCGCTTAGGTTTTTAATGTAGGTTTGTATGATACTCGCTTGGTGGTGTTGGTGGTGGTGGTGGTGGTGGCTTGGTAGCGAACCGGCGACGGGAGAGGTAGGTACTACTTAGTACTAGGCACTCCTAGGTGAAGGATTGGATGTGTGTGCGTGTGCAAGTGAATCACCACTCACCGGGCGGAACATCGCCTCGCCCCGTGCTCGTGGTCCTGGTCCCGACGTCGTGGTTGTGCGTGTAGGAGTTAACTAGTTTGCGTACCCAGTTGCGGGCAGCACATACTATACATACTTGGTTTTGGTACATGATACATAGTACATACCGCTGGTCCATAGACCCATAGAACATGTTGCTATGTCATCGCGCGGGGAATGCGCCGACTCCGAGTAGCAGCAGCAGCAGCAGGATTATGGATGGATTATGGATTATGGATCCCCCACTTCCCGCCGGTGCGCACTGCGTCGATAGAGTACCTTGGTGCTAGGTAAGCAGAAGCCACCCCCCCCCCCCCCCCCCCCTCCCCCCCCAATATCCAATATCCATTCCGTGCGCAAAGGATTAGATGTAATCCGGATTCCTCAAGCCCCGAGAATTCCCCGAGCCCCCCGTCATATCTACTGTATCATACGGACCAATACTTGAATCGGGCTCCGTTATCTGAGTGCTTACTACGCTGGTGTCGACTTGCGAACACTCTGAAGATCCCAACACTATCGGACACCACTGTGAGGATTGTGAGGATTGTGCTTGGTGTTGGTGGTGCGCCTGTACGACCTCTCCTAACTAAGCCTTCGTTCCAGAGGTCGGGTGCGGTGAGTCTGCAGTGGTAGTGGTAGAATGGGAATAAGTACTTCTGCCTACATATATACATACAACCGCCACTGTCCAGTGTGTGCTTAAAGACTTCTGCCTGCCCAGTCATCAGTGGTTACAATTTACACAAGGCTCCAGACAACCAACCAACCGTATATACACACAACTGAATCTGCATCTTCATTCATCAGCCAGCCTCGTCCTCGTTAGTCATCGTCTTCACCGCCCCCAAATCTCCATATACAAATAGCCCACGCCAATATGGACACCTTCTTCGCCGGCCTTGGCTTCCCGCTTCTGGACCGCACCATTCACCCACACACGCACTTCCAGCGCCTAATCCAGCAGCGCGGCTGGGCCGTCGGCTCGCGGAACCACCGCCGAGCGACCGCCGCATTCAACGAGGCATTGCTGGCCACGTTCGCGGAGCGCTTCGGCAACGACGCGAGTCCGCCCGTCGAGGTGTGGCAGCGGCTGTGTGCGGCGCTCGGCGCTCGGACCCTGCCTGAGACGGTGACGCAGTGTAAGAAGGTACGTGCGTTCGCGTGAGAAGGTGTGTCTGAGTTTGTGTGGGCTAACGCGGTCTGGTGGGTGCACCAGTTCATCAAGCGCACGCACGTAAACCTGGTGGACCTAATGGCTGGGGCGGATATCCACGTGTTTAGGAGTAAAGAGGAGCTCATTGAGTATACGAGAGCCACTGAGAGGTACTTTCCGCGGAAGATGGCGAAGGAGCGCGGTGGTGGGCTGCTCAGGTGTCTGCTGAGGGAGATGCCCGCGGCGGTGCTGGAGCAGACTGCGGCAGAGGAGGAGGTGGAAGAGGTGGGAGAGGTGAAAGAGATGATGATGCTGGTGGTCGGGGAGGCGTTGGAGGGGCTCAAGATGTGAACGGATATGGGCTTGGGCTGAAGCTGTGGTGGAAATGTTTTGTCCGAATCATCGGGGGTGAGGGATGAGGGGCTGGGTGATGGGCTGTGACCTCTGCTCTTGTTTTTGTTTTTGTTCTTGTTCTTATTTTTGCTCTTGTTTTTTTTTGCTTTTTTCGTCGTTGTTTTCTTTTCTTCGGCAGCGGAGTTTTTGGCTGTTGTAAAAAGGTTTCCTATGTAGAATGATTTTTGGGGATTTTGCGGTTATAAACTATGGTCTTTTCCTAGGTACGTTGAATATACTCGTTTGGCCGCACTGGTTCGGGTTTCTTTTTTGTGTTTCAATCGTCTGTATTCGGCCGTTCGGGGCCGTTCAAGGCCATAACTGTGGGTGTATTCCGCGCTGATCGATGTTTGTTTTTGGTTTCATCATCATAGCATTCGACCTTATCAGATCATGGCTGTACTCGCGCTGATGGGTCGTACCAATGGCAACCGAATTAGAGTACTTAGGTATAAGCTTGAGTACTATCCAGTGATGCTGCTATGCCGAGGCAAGGCTCGAACTCCAAGAGCAGTTTTACTCCTTGAGGGGAGGAGCCACAGTATCGCTATGACTAAGGAAACCCAGTCGCATAGGTACTTCTCAGAAGAATTCCGGAGAGCTATGTATGTACCGACTTCGGTGACGCTCTGCCTTCACTGGCTGAACCATACCGTACACTGGGGTGGAACTGGACGTGTGTACAGCCATGATCTGATAAGGTCGAATGCTATGATGATTAAACAAAAAACAAAAAAACCGATGACTTTTCGTGGTGACTTTGAAGTTGCGAGGGAAATTTGTGACCGGCTCCCGGTGGAATGTGCAGAGTGGCACACCAGCACGGGCACGGGCACGGGCACGGGTTGGCCAATGGTCGAAGGCCGGACGTTAGCTCTCCCCTCCCTCGCACTCTCGCCGCAAAAGCAAAAGCAAAAGACGGACGGACAACAAACACCGAGTGTGGGGGTCTGCAGTACCGGCAACATCAAGGCACTGCAACATCATGGCACAGCAACATCAGGGCACTGCAACATCACGACACAGCAACATCACGGCACAGAAACATCAAGGCACAGCACCAGGATTCCGTCGAAGGGGCCAGCAGATTGGTTCAGACCCTCCAGCACTAGACTACACTAAACGCGAGCGCCGCAAAGGAGCTCCAAGTATCGCCTCGACTTCACGGGGTGTCACTCGCTCAACCCGTACGCTTTGCCGGGTTCGCCACCATCGCGCGCAGATGTGACTTCACCTGGCCTCTCGCGCGCAGCTCACCCGGATGCACGTCTACCGAGAATGCTAGACATTGGGGGTATCCACCGCGTCGTCTCCCCTTTCCCCGTACCAACAGGAAGAGGCCACATCGATGAACCGACGTCTGTAGATGATGATCCGGATATTTGGGACGATCTCTCCTACCCCTCGGCACCCCACGTATGTCACTTCAGCGTGGGGCCGTGGCAATGTAAACCACCCCACCTAAGTATGTACCCAGAACGTGGCTCGCCACACAGTACACAGTACACAGTACACAGTACACAGTCCGTCCACCAGTGCCAGTTCACGGCAACCTGCATCACGCGGCTGCGACCTATTTGCGCCCACAGACCAAGAGTCCAGAACCCAGGTGACGCCGCAGCGATCGTCGATAAAAACAACACTTCCGCCAAGGCCCTCCCGTTTCAGGTTGCCTTACAGAAATTCTAGGGAACCATACATAACATATGTAAGCATATGGCAGGCTATATACATGATACATACATACATACATACAGACATAGATCGTATCGTGACGGACGTTCATGTGGTTGGCCGTGGAATGGCCGGTCACATCCGCCCTCGCCGGTATGTATGTAGGTAGGTGCGATCCTTGATGCTGGGGGAGGGAGGGAGGCCCTGCGCCCATGGACATTGGATTGGACACTGCTGCGCAACGGAGCTCCGGTTCGAGTCGGAGCTGCAGGAAGAAGGAATTAACGGTGATCAGTATATGCACCGGTGGTGCCCAGACAGACAGACAGACAGGGCGCCCCACGACTTCAGTAGGCCCTGTCTGACATGTATGTGTGTATGTACGACCGGTATGCACATGACGACAGCACTGCGCTTCACCGACAGAACGACACTTCGTGAAACTGCACGCTCCACGGTATAGTGTATAGTATAGCACTTCGGCCCACTTGCCCTTCGCGACGGTTTCTGCTGCCTCGTGCTGGCGGCCGCCTGGTCTGGCGAGATGCTCGAGACCGGAATAGAAATCGACACTCGACGGACACGGAACCAATGAGTCAATGACACCGTCGTCATCCGAATGCCTCGCCGGTCGTCCTGCTTCGGCTAGTTGCTCGACAGCCCTTCTGCAGCTAGACGCAGCTTCCGCTTAGCTATTGGCGGGGACGGGGTCACGGTGCTGTGGTGGTGGTGGTGGTGGTGGTGGTGGTGGTGGTGGTGGTGGTGATGGTGGTGCTGTTGTTGTTGGCGTATCATACATACGAACATACGATAAGAGTTTCCAGCCAGCCGTTTCCCCGTCCGCCTTCTTCCGCGCATCACCTGTCTTCTGAAGTGCTGAAGTGCTGATATGTGCCCTTTCGCAAGCTTCACGCAGCTCTTGAAGATTTGAGTTTTCCGCAGCTCAGCGACTGAATGAGTGACCGGGCAACGACGAGGGAACGCTCGGCGCCAAATTCCCGCCAGATTCTTCCGCCACCGCCTGCCTGCCGGTTCACTTGCCGATACCTGCACTGTTGCTGCGTCTTGACCTGACCAGACCAGATCCCACCAGTTACACGGCGCGCGCGAACTGTGGAGTTCGGTGGGGGAAATGATTTTATTTTATTTTATTTGCTTTGCTTTTTCGACGGCGGGGGGCGGGACGGAAGGAGGAGGAGGAGGAGGAGGGGGAATGTGATGTGATGTGAGCTCGGGTTGATGGATGGAAGTGTTGGAGGAGTCGAGTAAGTGGTTAGGCAGATAGGTACTCCTGAGTGCGCACCGTAGGTAGAGCGTGTGTGTAGAGCGTGTTCGTGTGTGTACTCTATGTGTGTGTGTGCTCGTCAAACTTCTTTGGAATAGATACCGGTAACCATCCTGCCCACGTCTGCGCGTATAACAGGTAGCAGCGTAACTACGATCCGCTCGTCATTCCCGATGGCGGAAGCCCGGCAGCCTGGAGCTGTTTGAGCTACTGGCGCATGACATCCGAGCACGTCGCCGTCGCCGTCGACGTCCGCGAGGCGAGTCTTCGCCTCTTTGCTGCAGATAACTACATGGTATCGCAATTTCCCCACACCTACATAGAGTAACTAGCCGCGGCTAAACCAAGGCCCACCGCCGCCCACCGCCCCCCAGAGTCGCAGAGTCGCAGAGTCGCAGAGTCCTAGAGTGGCGATCGATGCACCGCGGCGCAGGGCAGGCAGCGCAGGCAGGGCAAAACCTGTTTCTATAGTACATTCATTTCATGCGCTCACGCTGCTGCCGCCTGGTTAGAGTCCTAGACTGATCCGCGTCTATGTATGGTTGGCAGGCTGTCCCCCTCCCCCCTCCCCCACTCCCCCTCGCCCCCAACCAAGAGGTGCGCAGCACAGGTAGGTGCACCAAAACTCCCCACAATCACACCCGCTCGATAGTTTGGTTTGCCGCATTCCATTCCCAGAATCGAAATGTCTCGTTGGATCGAACACTGTCTCACTCAATGAGGACCCGGGATGGGGATGGATGGATGGCTACGACTCTACTCTACATACGAGCCGTCTCGCACCGTCCACCGCCGGTCAGCGCTGAGCGCTCCACGTTTACAGACCTGGACAGACCTGCTCGGACGCATCTTCGCCCCCAAGTTCCAAGTTCCAACACCCTCATCCTCGTCCACATCCTCACGCTCACCCTCATCCCCACTCACACTCATCCTCAGAAGGCTCCAGAAGTCCTCGTCCCCCCCCCCCCCCCCCCCCCATTTCCCAGCTGCCAACTGCCAGCTGCCACTCACTCACCCACTCACTCACTCACTCATGCACAATAGATACTCTTATAGGTACACTCCATGTAAGCCGGACTGCCCGGGATCGGGGAATCGAACGTTTGCAAACTCACCCATCACACCCAAGCACACCGGGCCAACCAAACAAAACAGAACAGAACAGCATAGCTAAGAGGTAGGCAAGTACGAGGATGTGCATGCTCACCTACCCTCACCCACCCTCTCCAGACTGTGCCTCACAAAGGAAGGGAGGAAGGAAGGGAAGGAAGGGAAGGAAGGGAAGGGAGGGAGGGAGGGAAGGAGAGGATGAGGCGGTGAAGAAGGATGAGCGTAGGGGAGGAACTAGGGGAGGTGAGAACAACACTTTATCGACTATTCCGTCGATTGTTCCTTCGCTCTCACGAGAGTCGCGGGCTCTGTCGTGGTTTTTGCACTACTCTGGTTACCTATGTGCGGAGAGTTGCATGTTATATATGTACGGCATGTACCGCGGGGAGTCGGAAGAGTCGGATTCACATGTAGTCGTCGTCGTCGGATTCGCAGAAACCATCGTCCGAGCAATCATCGCCGTCGTCGTCCGAGTCGTCGATTCATCGTCAGATGCAGAGTGCAGTCGCTAAGTGTAATCTTCCAGTGCAGTCACCAGTGCACTTTCCATGCGGCGCGGAAGACCAGAGCGCTCCGAAGCGCACTCTGAAGCGCACTCTGTATGTAAGAAGCATGTATGTATGTCGAGACGGTACAGCAGACGGAAGATCACGCTGCCCATTGCCCGTGTTTCCCGCGCTCGGAGAAAAAAACCGTTGAGTTAGTGAGCCGTTGTCATTGTCACGAGAAGTGAAGTGAAGTGAAGTGAAGTGAAGTGAAGTGAAGTGAAGTGAGGCGAGGAGAGGGTGATGGAGGGAGAGGTGAGGCCAGGGTGAGGACAGGGTGAGGCAGGGAGAGACAAGGCGAGGGAGGGGACGCACGCGAGCGGCGGATGCTTGCACTTTACCACCACTGTAGAGTACCGGTACTTACACGGTCATTTGCAAACCACCATCCCAGCGGTACCTCCAGTACCGCTTTCCCATCCACATCGCTTTCCCATTCATAGACCAAATCATCATACATAGTCGTCATGCGCCGCAGTAATCTCACCAACTGGCAACAACCCTCGCAGGCTCTCCACCCAGTCAGCCAGCCAGGTGAACCCTGCTCGCGAGTCGCAAGGCTATGTAGAGTATGTAGAGTAGAGTACCTGGTCCATCCCTCTCCTCCCCCTCTGCATCCCTCTCCTCCCTTCCTCTGCTCTGGACAGGACGGGGGGCCAGTCCATCCCTCTCCTCCAGACAGGATGTGCCGGTGCTCTCGAGGATGAGCCAGTCAGTGCACTGTGTTCGAGGAGGGGCAAATAAAAAGCAAACAGAAAACACCCCCGATCGATGATTGCGATACCAGGTACATAATGTATGCAGAGGTCGCTGTGGACACTGGAAGCATACCGTGTGGGTGCGGAGATTTTTTTCTTTTCACTTTCTTGCTTTGTCTATGAGTGCAGGAGAGAGGGAGAGAGTGAGGGTGGCCTAGAAATGGGTGCTCTTGGAAGGGTGCTCTTGGAAGGGTGCTCTTGGAAGGGTGCTCTTGGAAGGGTGCTCTTGGAAGGGTGCTCTTGGAAGGGTGCTCTTGGAAAGGGGTGGGAGGTGGGATGGAAGGGGGGAGGGTGAAGGGGGAGGGTGAAGGGGGAGGAGGGTGTTGGGTGTTGGGGGCTTCATCGAAGGGGAGAAGGAGGAGGGGAGGAGAATGGGACTGGCAGGTGTTATTGTGTCGTTGTGTCGTGGTTGCGTGAGAAGCCTGAATGGCGACAGCGATAAGAATGGACACATCAGGCGGAGCCTCGGAGGAGATGAGCGCTGAACTGACCCTCCCCTCCTATCACTCCTAGATTCGATAGGTCGAGCTGTGGGGAACGATGGATGGTCCTGGTGGAGGGCGACAAGTGTTAATTTGTTAAGTTGGGTCTATCATAGTAGATGTAGAAATGTTGAGGATTATTGTGATGGAAAACATTACTTACGTAGATGGCTTCACGCAAATCACCACGTTGATCGTCTCGCGACGATATTGAGCAAGTAAAATAAGTATTATAAAAAAAGTCCCAGTGGGCAAGTAAACTGCCTACATACATAACGGCGTCGTCATTCGCAGATCCCCCAGGCTGCCCGTCACTAACAATAACCGACCATCATGACAGCCATCGGTTGAACCAGCCAGAAACCCTCAGCCAGAAACCCCCCCAGTGCCCCACCCCCCTCATCCCAATAGACACCAAAGAAACCCTCCTCCTCCCTCATCTGAATACCAAGTAAACCGACGCCCAAACTCCCCCTCCGAAATCAGCCAGACCCTCCCGTTCCTCCCACATCTGCGCTGGCAGCCATCGAACCCAACCCACCGTCGTCGTCGAAAAAGCGATGTCCAAACAAGAAATAAAGTAGAGTGAAAACCAAACCAAACGCCAGCCAACAAGTAAGAAATATAAACCGTGTAAGAGGAAACCGCGAGCCTGACCTGTCGTGCACCCACACCCACACTCTCTCAGGATCACGCCGACACCGACATCGGCGCTGCCGATGCTGATGCCGACACTTCGAACGCGAACGCGCTCCAGAACCGATACCCCTCCGACTTCTTGCTGTGCGAGTCGTCTTTCGCCGCAGCGTCCACACTTCTAGGTGGATGATGGGGAGCGGGGGTGTCGACGGATTTCTTGGGCTCCTCCGCCGCTCTCTTGGCTGCGTCGACGCTTCGGAACCGCACCGCTTCGAAAAGCACAGTGCCGTTGAAGGCGACACCCGGTGCAAATGTGACGAGTACCCTGTTGTTTCATGTTGGTCAGCAACCGGCTTGTGGCCCCATTCGTTGGAGGACGAGGAAAAGCAAATAGCAAAAAAAAAGAAAAGAAAAGAAAGACAAAAGAACGAAAAACAGGGACGGGAAGCGACTCGACTTACTTCTCGTTGCCCACCATGTCGACCCTCTGCATGCTCTTCTTCCGTTCGTAGCCGCGCTGCGAACAGAGCTCACGCCCAAAAAACTCCTCGAACGTGAAGTTTGTGGCTGCCGCTTTGCTGTGAGACGGACGCTGTTAGTAACTAGGGGACATGGGTTCACTTGGGGTTACACAGGGCCAGTGAAGGGGGAGGGCGAGAGGGATGGGGGTCAGCTTACTATTTTGCCAGCTCTTCCACGACGTCTGCGACCTTCACACCGGCGGGGTTCTCGACCAACACGTGCGGATGGTACTTCATGACGTCCAGACGAAGTTCGGTTACGGCTGGCGACGTGGCTAGCTGCTTGCTCACAGCGGCGGACAGGAGCTTGCGGGGCGACTTGCGGACGCCGTATTGGGCGTCTGCAGCATCCACCGTAGTGTCGAAATGGAGCTGGGAAACCACTGGGTGCAGCTCGATGTCGGCCACGGGGACAGTGGGGTTGTGGCTGGAGGGGATGAAGGCATTGGTACGCAGCCGGCGCCTAGCCATGATCAACTGGTTCCAGAGGCGGCAGGTGTGGCTGGCCACGACGAGGTCCTGGCCGGGCAGGTACTCGAAGACCTCCAGGAGGAGGTAGTTTGGAAGCTCAAAGGAGAATTCCGAGAGGGCTGTATGGGGAGACATGATGGGTGTCGGGGGGATGGTGTTTTGAGGAGGAGGAGTGTGTTTTGGGCTGTCAAGGGAGGAGGAGGAGGAGCTTGGGGCTTGAGGATGTGAAGGTGACGCTGTGGCAGGCCTGGGGAGGGAGGTTTTATATTGAAAGCCCTTCCGGGTGGCATACATGGTATTTCTTGCACTTCCAGCCTCTGGACCGTGCCGTTGCGTAGCTGGGGGGGAGGGTGGGAGGGCGGAAGGGAGGAGGGCGGGCGTTCACTGTTGCTCGATGGTATGTGCAATACTGGAGGGCTGCGGCCGGAGAGCAGCGTCGCTCAGCGTCGCTCGACATCACCGTAAACAGGCATAACTGCTACCTTGAACCTGAAGGGGCTGCATCTGTTGGAGCAGAGATGATCCACCAACATCACTGGTCGAGGAAGGGCAGAAAGAAACATTGCCTCTGGATATGCACGGGTTGCATTAGACTTGAACCCGGGAGATTGGTTCATCGTTGTGGCTGACCCATGCAACCGGATGCCCACCACCCATCCCTACCCCCACCAACTTCTGGAACAAAATCAGGAATTCCACTGAGTGCCCTGCCGTGCCGTGTGGCATCCTGCCGGCAATGCTCGATCGTGAAGGAAGTCATATTGATGTGCGTCTCGCGATGATCCCTTTTGGACGTCAGAGCAGTGTATTGTTGGTGTCAGACGGAAGGAAACGTCGCCCACAACACCGACAACGCCCCAACATCCCCAACATCTCCAACATCCCCAACATCCCCAATACCCACAAACCCACAAACCCACAACACCCACAACACCCACAGCACCCACAGCACCCCCCCAACAACCCAACCCCCCCAGAGATCCAACAACTTGCCCGTCGAATGGGATGGTAGCCAATCACCGAGAGGTGTGCTGTGACAGATTTTGCACGTCATGCCCATCTTACAGGGCCGGCCTGCTGGACGTCGGCGAGTCTGCTCGACTAGATACGGGCCGCTGTCAGGCGTGGGGGCCAGAGACGACGTCCCCCGATGTGTGCTGCCCACATCCACCGATGCGAGGCCCAAACCACCGATGTGAAGTTCCAGCTCACCTCTGGCTCCAGCACTGCCCGGCAACAACAACTGCGAATGCAAACAACGGGGGATCCACCATCCACTGCTCTGGGGCTGGAACAATCACACTGCAGCTACCTACTCTAACTACATCTCCGCTCCTGTGGTGTTGGGTCGAAGCACACCCGCCGCTGCTGCTGGGATTCCCGCGTCGCTGCGGAGGCCCTGCAGCCTCGTCGAATGAATGTTTCCCGGAGTCTGGAGCCCGGCGCCTGGTGCTGCTGCAGTGTGCAGCGTCGGTACCTACTCTAGAGTTCTCCGCTAAATCAACTGGATCTCAGGTGAGATGTACCGATCATGGGATGGAAGCATCGGTGGTACAGACGGTACAGACGGGCATTGCATGACGCGCAGCCCCCGACGTCTGGGATCGAGTCTGGTATTGATTAGATCGTGGTGGACTTGCGACCCACAGGAACAGCAATAGCAGCGTCCCCCGCCCCGCCCCCGCCCTTGCCGGATGATAGCGCAGAGTGTTATGGATACAAGAATAAGTCAAACCCCAGGAGCGATCGCATGCGCGGACGTCATATGGTATGCCTGTTCGAGTATCCTAGATCCGGATCGCCGAGGTGAGCGGCGAGCCGAATGTCCTGTTTTCCTCGAAATCTCTCAGCTCGACGTCTCGGCGCTCGCTCGCTCCTCCGTAGAATTTGGAACCCGCATCCGATATAACACGCAACGAACGTCTGTGGCGCTAGTTCTAGCACGGCTCGCAACCTTGGCTCTGGTTGCAGCCGGCGCCGTGGGTTTACATATCAGAAACGAACGGTGGCAATGGAGCTGAACTGAGGTTTGCCGTGATATCATCGAGCCTCATCGTACCGATTCCAGAGGGTGTCTGAAGCCGCGCTGGCCAATCCTACAGGCGGCGCATAACACGATCTCCGGCTTCAGTTCTATATCCAATTCGGAAACATGTCTAACGATCAATATCGGGTCTCCGCCACCGAGGCTGAAGAGATAGGTAGCCTTGTCGGTGTCGAACCTCATCTCTCTGCCTGCCCATTACCAGCTCCCTTCTCACCCGAAACCTCCTCCTCCTCCTCCCTTCACCTCTGATCCAAAGATCCAAAGTGCATATACTCTACTCGGGACGAGCCGCCTCGCAGCGGCTTCACCATTGGCTGCGCGGTGCTGGATCACCGACTGCAGAGGAAGTTGCACTTTCGTAAAATCCAACCGTGGTTCCACTCGGCAATCGCGGCGACAGGGACGTGAGATTGAGATGGTCCTATACCGGACGCCGCACACCTATATCGCAGCTATAGATACTCGGGTCTCGGCCGACGCGGGCGGTGGCAAACGGAACATCCAGGATTGGTCAGTCGAGCTGCCGCCGAATCCTTGCATCGGATGTGAGGCGGTTGTCGGCTGCGAAAAAGACATTCACTTTAGATCCTGGCTGGGGGGATGCCGAGATAAGCGCGGCATGCTACATAGCCGGAGGACCACCGCGTATCCAACGAGCGAGCACTCGTTCACCGAGCGGGCGGGCGGCGGAGGAGGACCCGATCGCGGAACCGTCTCGCGTGTCCGTTACGACGATCATAATAATTGTTCTCGAGAACTAGTAATTGTGGCTGTGTCGCCCTGACGGTGAGGGGGGCCGATTGAATCTGGATTCAACCTACGGTTTACGACTCCGAGTGCGAGTCTGTGAAGGACTGTAGCCGAATTTCTGTAATAACTAATCCGGCGCTGAGGGAGATCATGTTGGGGGTGATGAAAGAGAAAAGTAACGGCGTTTCCAAGGGAGTGGGAGACACGCTGTCGATATGGTAACTATCTATTGTTCCCAACTTCCTCCATGGCGAATAGGTAGGCGTTCTGGCTGCGTTAGTTGGTAGAAATTTCGAACACCATTCAAGGCACCGGAGACTCATCCGCAGCCCGCTTATCAAAGATCGCAAGCAAATCAGATAAGTAATTATAGCAGCTACATAATTACGGTATTCGAGAAACTATTGAGGCCGATGGCTCGTCGGGTCATGTCTGCCAGGGCTGTAAATGAACGGAAAATGCACACTCCCGTCGCTCCCATCCCCTCCCGTCACACCCCATCATTCAACCTTATCCGCGGCGACGGCCTTCTCCTCATCCGGCGGGCCTGCGCCCACATCCATATTCACATTCACGGCCACGGCCTGGGTACCCTCATCTCTCAACTCCAACTCTGCCATCTCGACCTCGCGCACATCCAGCTTCTTCATGGTCTTGGCCACCTTGACGGGACTGACCTTGTCCACGTACGCGCGCGCAAAGACAATGTCGATCTCTTCCAGCGAACGCCCCGCTGTCTCGGGGTAGAAGAAGTAGATCACCGGGATGAACCCTAGGTTGAAGATCGCGAACACAAGGTACGTCTTCCACCCGATCGCTGCGATCATCGTCGGCGTGATCTGCACGATTAAGAAGTTCTGCGGGTATCGTAAGCGCGCCTGTCTCGTAGGGTGCGCGGGGGGAGGGGGGAGTGGGGAGTGGGGAGTAGACGCACAAAGATCCAGTTAGTACTCGTGCTCAGGGCATTCGCCCTAGTCCTCGTCTTGAGCGGGCTCAATTCCGCCGGATACAGCCAGGGCAGCTCTAGCCAGGTGGCGCCAAAGAAGATGATGAACAGGAACAGTCCGGCGGCGGCTCCCTTCGAGCTCTCGATCGTGTCGGGGATCAAACAGCCCATGGTGATCAGCATTGCGACCGCCTGGCCCGCGCTGCCGATCAGGAACAGGTTGCGCCGGCCCGCACGCTCGATAAACACGAACGAGAACAGCGTTGATATCGCGTAGACCGTCGCGTTGACCCCGCCGAGAACGAGAGACAGCGTCCGCGAGAGCTTGAGGGAGTTCTCGAAGAGGACGGGACAGTAGTAGATCACGGCGTTGCAGCCTGCTGCCACGTTACTATCTGCGTGGATTTAAAGTAAGCGGGAGGGAACATACCTCCGAGCTGCTGAAACATCTGACTGCTCGCACCGATAAGCATGCGCCGCAGATGCTGTCCTTTTCCGCGGGAAAACACATCCTTGAACCCACTAGACGCCTCAACACCTGCGACGGCAACGATGGAATCCATGATGACCCTTTTCTCCGTCTGCGTCTCATCATTATCCTCAGTAGTAGCATTCAGGGCAGCCAGGACCCTCTGGGCCTCCGCCTGATGACCATGATTCAGCAGCCACCTCGGCGACTCCGGAAGAGCCAGAACTCCGCCGATGAGGAGGACGGCAAACACGATCTGGAAGCCGATGGGGAAGCGCCACTGCGACGAGTTGTCGACGTACGAGAAGCCAAAGTCGAGCCAGTACGCGATCACAGTGCCGACGGCGATCATCGCCGCTTCGATGCAGATTAGCAGCCCGCGGTTGTGTGACTTGGACGTCTCCGCTTGCCAAATCGGGATCGAAGACGTGTTTGCGCCGTTGCCAACACCCTTGGTTGCCGCATCAGCATCAGCATCACAAATTATCACCCGATCCGCAGGGCCAGCAGCGGAAACTCACCGTAATGATCCTCCCGACGATAAACTGACCCAACTCCCAAGATCCGCGGAACGCGGTGATCTGTACGATAGTGCCCAAGATCATGACCACCGCGCCGAACAGGATACTCTTCCTTCTGCCCACGCGTTCGCCATACATCAGGGCGGCGATGGCGCCCGCGAAGCAGCCCAGCTCGTACACGGACGTCACGGTACCCTGGATGGTGCTGTGGTACTCGTCGCTGCCCTTGGTGGCCGGAAACTCCTCGTTAAACTTTTCGCCGGTGATCTGGGGTGCGTCAGTCGGCTACTGCTGCGTGCTGTTGGGAGGATCATGGATTCATGGCTGCGCTGGGCTGGACAGTAGTGGATAAGATAAGCATGACTTCCTTGTCTCTTGAGCGAGCAAAAGTCCCATAGTTAGAGGTGGGGGATCCATACAATACCGCTCATCACGCCTTGGTCGTATCCAAACAGCTGTCAATCAATGGTTAAGTCAGCCCAGTGGCCCATATTTATCGAGCAGTGAAGCCAGCACGCACCAAGAAACCGATGGTAGCAGTAGAAGTGATCGCAGCTCGGAGCTTCGCCCCGGACAAGCCGGCGTAAGTTGGTATCATAGCCATCTTTTTTGTTGTTTATTAAATTAGCCTTGGAAACAAAGTCAATTCAGATTCCCCGCATGGAGGAGAAAAATAGAATAGTCGTCGGTAAGCAAAAGATAGGTAGCCGTAGACGGAATAGTGAAAGACTGGGAGAGTTTTCTTCAAGCTCTGGGGGAGAAAACGAGGGTGTTTATAAGTAAGGAGCATGGCAGTTAAGCTCTAGGTTGTTTTGTTGCCCCGACAGCTTTCGTGAAGATTTGAGAGGGGGGATGGGGGAGATTTTTATCCGAGATCACTTGGACGGCTGCAGTGCTCGACTACCCGTGCTCTGGCGGATGGGCGGGCTCGGGCTCCTCCAGAAAAATGCAGAGAATCGCGGCCAATTCACCGTCGCACACATCGGTCATACGCAAGCAAGAAGTTGATCACGTCGCATGACCGGATCACATAGGATCAGCACGGGTATCGATTTTAATTCTCTCCAGACACCATCGATCACCCATTGGCCCTTCCAGCATGACGCAAGCTGTCTCGTCGCCGGTCGGTGGCATTGACCTGCGGGTATCGTCGGGCAGCTCGCGCCATTCCACCCAAGTGCTCCGCCTAGATCTTTGGCAACTGAGCGGCCGGCTTCGTGCTTGCAAAGCCCCGCAAGACCTGGTCGATCACCTGCATAGCGTTGCACAGTGCGCCATCGTCCCCCTTCCTGCCAACGGCCTGCACTGCCATCGGCGCTCCAAGGAATGAATCCCGAAATTCCGGATTCCCTATGTGCAAGGTCGATTGTTAGACACGCTCGACTGCCTACGGTGGTGTGGGGAACTTACAGAGCGCCCGGTTGGCATCGTCGAATCGCCCAAGCGATGGTGCTGCTATCTCCTCGCCGAGGTCTTTCTTGGTCACGGTGCGTACCGGAATCGCCTACGAGATGAAATGTTAGAAGAGGCGGAACCCAGAGAGGGGGTCATATGAAGTGGCTTACACCGGCAGGATAATCCACCAGATTCCAAACGATGGCATAATCGGGGCCAGCCCAGCCATCCTGTTTCGGCGTAGGGTGTCCACTGACCGGACACAGGACGACATCAAGCGGTAGCTTTCCTTCACCACGCTCCCAAAGCGTCTTTTGAAACACGATCTCGTGCTGCTCTTTCGCGTGGATAAGCTTGTAACTGTCGTCCAGAGCATCGGGCTTGTGGCCCTTGCGCTTCAGCCCCAGTTGGACGAGCCACGGGGTTGGACTTTCGCCGGTCGACTCCATGAGATTGAAGAAATTGTTGGTGGGGTTGAGAGTTATTAAGCCGAGCGTAGTCCAATAAGCGGCAGGGAACTCGGGGAGATCGATGACCTCCACATTATGTCCCGCGGCGGTGAGAGCCCGATCGACTTCACCCAACATCGTCACAACCGGGGGAAGAGGAACCACTACACCGTCGCTCTTGAGGAGACCAATGTTCAACCGCTTCTTCGGCGGAGTTTTGAAAGTGTACGGCAAGACCTGCGGATCGTGTCTCCACGGCTCCAAGCTCTCCAAAACCTCAAAGAACCACTTGCAATCACCCATGGTCCGCGCCAACGGCCCAGCGACAGTCGTGATTCCGCCATAGAAGTAGCCGGGGATCTCGATGGTCTCCGAGCCCTGGCGCGGCACTCTTCGAGAAGTCGGCTTAACGCCATAGAGCCCGCAGCAGGCCGCGGGCACACGGATGCTCCCGCCCATGTCAGTGCCCATGCCGAGAACGGAGCCGCGCATCGCAAGAAGAGCTCCCTCTCCTCCTGTGGAGCCACCCACATTCAGCGTGGTGTTGAGAGGGTTGAGGGTCCGGCCCCAGAGATAACTGTGAGTGTCAAATGCTAGCTGGCCCTGTGGTGTGGTCGTCTTGACGTAGAGAATCGCACCCGCCGAGAGAAATAGCGATGCGAGAACAGAGTGTTCGGTGGCGAGCGTGTCAGCTCGGGCGGAGATTCCGACGGACGATGCATAGCCCGAGACGGAAATGCAGTCTTTTAGGGAGATGGGGAGCTGCATAGGGCGTTTTAGCAACAACCCCTCCTAAGTCCACAATGGCCATATCATGATTCGGAAGAATTGTGAAAGTGCTAACCCCGTGAAGCGGGCCGAGTGGCTTTCCATGCTCGGCCATGTAGCGGTCCAGAAACTGGCCTCTCTCAATCGCTTCATCAAAGAAGATTTCCGTAAGGCAATTTGTCTGCACTTGATAAGCTTCAAACGACAATGGGGTTCTGAGGCAGGCAAGCTCACCAATTGCTGCGCAATCGCCGCTCTCTTTGCACATGCCACTCAAGTCAGCTACCTATGCGGGACGAACCGCCAGAGCGGAACAGACCTTGCAGAACGCAATTACAACCGCCTCCGCTTTCAGAGTCCCCTTCGCAACAGCCTCGACAATCCCTTTCGCCTCGTAGTCCTCGGTGATGTTCAGTTCCTCGGCAGTAAGGATTCCGCACTCCCGCGGCACGCCCGTGACATTGATTCGCGCGGGGTCAATGCTGGCGAGTCGCCATTCCTTCGGAATCTTCGAGTCGCGTACTTGACGTTTGCGGGCAGAGATCTCTTCCCACTTAGCAGGCATAGCGAGTTGCTGGCTGGTTGATTGAGTGTCTGAATCGTTGGTGTGCCTGAATGAGTTGCTTCTGCGGTTCCTGTGGCTTCATATGTGCAGATTAAATACCCGAGTGGTTGCGCGCCGACTAGACCAGATACAGAGAGATATGACTATGTGCGGGGTACCTAGATACGAGATCCATATGAAGCTCACCAACGGAAGATCGTTTGCCCCATTCCGTAGTTGGAGATGCTTTGATGCTTTCACAGCCACAATTCTGAGGTTCCAGGGGGACGATCACTAAACACCACCTTGAAGGAGCACCTACTGCATCTTATTCCAACTTCCAGATCATTTGGGGTACGGTGTAACTACTCTCCGATACCAGCCTCCATTGACTCATGGGGGAGGGGCGGTGGTGTTCAATGTGCCGGGACATCCAGAAGCTCGATTTCACTAAGCCGAACAGAGTTACAACGCGGCCTCGCTATTCACGCTAGCTCCCCCTCCACAACCCCCACGACGCGTCCCACTCACCACCGACTTCCGCGGCCCGCCTACATTCATGACGCCCCTCGCATCCACGATAACCTCCGCGGAGTTCACTCAACTTCTTACCCGCTACGCCAATGCCGTGATCGCCGCCACCCGCCCAAATGCCAAACCCGAGCCGGTAGCAACCCTCGACTCCTGGCGGCGTACGGAGCTCCCCGCCACGATCGCGTCGCGGTCCCCTCCACACATGACGAAAGCGGAGCTATACCGGCTTGTCGACTGCAAACTGTAATCCCCATCCGCTCCGTCCGGCTCGCGCTCCGGCCCTCAGGCAGGCAGCTAACGGCCTCCAGCAAACGCGGCAAAAACCGGCCGATACTGCGACTGATCGAAGGGAACGCAGAAGATTTCGTGGTATCCACGACGACCGCAGCGTTCGCCGGCGACATCCGCACGTCGTTCGCGACGCTGCTCGCGCTCCGGGGGGTAGGCCCCGCTACAGCTTCGTATCTCCTCGCTGCGCACAGGTTCCCGCACGTACCAGTGTTCAGCGATGAGGCGTTCCGCTGGGTCGTTCATGACGCCGACTGGATGGCAAAGATCAGGTACGATGCGAACGAGTATTGGGATTTCTACGAGAAGGTGCAAAAGATTGCCGCACGGCTGGAGGTGGACGAGGAGGATGTCGAGCGTGTCGGATTTGTGCTGGGTCGCGAGGCGCTGGAGAATGGCAACGGTAAAACTACGTCATCGTCTGCGGTAGCAGCGCCGGTGGCGGATGGTGCTCCTACGGCGGCGGGCAAGAAGCGGAAATCTGCGGCAGAGACGCGGGAGCACGAGGATGAATTCGCTGCAAACAAAGTTAAGGCGGGAGGGAATACAAAGAGGCAACGGTCGAAAAAAACAGCGACCACCACGGACCTCCAGCCCGAAGTATCTGCAGCCAGCACTACTCGCTCATCATCGTCACGCGTTCTCCGGTCCCGAAAGACGGCTGGAAACGGTGCATGACGGGGGATACTGTTGTTTGGCAGTCAGGTTTCCATTACATACCGCACATTTCTCCCTTTCTCCCGCAGGGTATTCTTGCTTCTTCTGCTTCATCTCATTGTTCCCTCGGTTTCGACCATGCCAGCTAAAGTCTTTTGCGCGTTGCGCACTCTATCTGCCGGGCCCGAAGAAGCATACATATGGTTGGGGACGCGTAAAATAGGAATGAAAAATGCTCGCCCCCCGCCTGGCTTTATTCAACGACGATACAGATAAAACATAAAAAGAGTCTATAGAGTGACGGACCAGACCTTAAAGCATCTTGCAACAGAGCCATTAGGAGTCTTGGTTAATTAGGTAGCTTGTGGGCCTTGAAGTCAGGCAGTTTTGTATGGAGAACCCCAAGAATGCCACTCAATAGGGAAATATGAACGCCACGTTAAGCTATCGGCGTTAGGTTTATCTCCTAAAACAGCATCACGAGTGACCAGCAATGAAAATTATTCGAAGACTTGGCACCCAATATCCCCTGTTCGCCCCATTGAGCTTGCGCAGGCGCCATTCGACTGGGAACACCAAATGCCGAGGATCATACACACGGCCCAAACATCTTCAAAATTACCAAAGTTTTCTTGCCCTAGATTTAATCAAAAACCGCCTGCGAGGCCTATCTTCGGGGGTTAATCCTCGGCGTAAACACCATTAATCACTCGTGGTTTGTCAGGCTAGCTGAATAGCCGTTGCACTGCCCACCGCAACTAGTCTCCAATCGTATCGTACATACATCATACATACCGGTATCATACATAATGTAGTGTACCATGCAGAAACACAGCATGGCCAGACCAACCGACCAACCAACCGACCGATGGATTGATTGGCGGGCCTCCAATACACCCACGAGCTATTTATCTGCTGGCATGCGCAGCGCTGCACACGTGAGCCACTCCGGCACCGTCCATCGCCATCCATCCCCATCCATCTCGAGCCAACCAGAATGTCGGCCCGAAGACACAGACAAAGACACAGACAGACACAGACAGACACAGGCACAGACACAGAAAGACACAGAAAATTTCCAACACAACAGGCAACCGCCCATGGCATGATATGGCAGCCGGGCCTCGCAGTCGAATTGAGGCGGACACTCAGCACTCACTCACTCACTCACTCACTCACTCACTCACTCCCCGGTTTCTCAATCCCAATCCTCGGAACCCATTGCCGATCAGGAATTGAGCTAGGTTGCTGTCATACGGATTCGCGGGAACAGATCACTAATCTAATCGCGAACGTCCAGTATCCAGTGTCCAGTGGCCACCGCAACTGCGGCGAATCTGCGACCAATGACATAAACACTCGATGCAGACGGCGAAAAAGTCCTTTGCGTCAGCGTGTCTCGTGAGTTCCCCCCCTCCCCCGCTCATCACGTCGTGTCCATATCACTTGCAGATGTTACTCTGATAATCTATCTACTGTACTCTCGCAGAATGGTGACATCAAGCAGCAGGAATTGGGGGGTAGGGGATGGGCGGGCGGGTGGGGGGGGGTGCGTGATAGCGTAGGTGTGCTATGGTTCGAATAAAAACGCAGAGCACTGTCGAACCTGCCCTGGAGCACGCGACACCGTTAGTTAGTTCATCCAGCATCCAGCCTCCAGCATCCAGCGACAAACCGCGCAGCAGTGAGGCGACCAACGATAGGCAGCCAATTCATCCACACTCCGGAAAGAGTATGTAGATATGCAGTTATCCATGATATTGGCGATTCTTCTTCAAGCATCAGACCCCAACCCCACAGGTGATTATGTACCGGGTTCGCCGCCGCCACGGGCGCTAAACGAATAAACGAATGCTCACGTTTAACATCAATGGACGATCGTTGCTGGATTCAGTTGGATTCGGTTGGACGCGAGCGTTGATCTGTGTGTCGAGACAATGGCCGATCGTTGCTGAATACGGTGGTTGTGAACGATGATCTGTGTGTCGAGACGACGACGACCGTCGACGGCCGTAAGCGTGCGGTGCAGCGCCGAGGTAGATATCCAGCAGCCCGACCGTTTGCAGTGAGGACACGATCGAAGACCAGGTGATGGCGGGCCCTCATCCTCCTCCGGCAGTTTGTACGTGCAGAGGAGGATGAGGATGAGGACCAGGAGGAGAAGACAGGCAGGTGGGAATGATCTCGGACCATAGCCATGCACTCGACTGCACCGCACTGCACCGTACTGCAAGATGCAGCCCTTCCGACTAACTAACCGCCTATAATTAGGAGTCATTCAGTGCATGTCGGTTCAAGGTTGCGCTGGGTCTCTGGGAACGGGGCCACTTGCCCATCGTTCTCTCTGCAGGAGTGTAGATATCGTGTGAATTGAGGTATATCCATGTGATCTGCGGGCGGCTGGAGAGCCTCGATCAATTGATGAACGCGTAAAATGCAGCCATGCACATACATACGAGACTGCCTATCTGCCTCACAATCCCACCCCACAGCAAGATGTGAATCCAAGCGAGCACGCGAGCAGACAAGCAGCTTGGCTGGCCCTCTTGTCCCGATCCGTGCACGGCCCGTTTCTCTCTCCCTCCGTTCTCTCCTGAGTCCGGTCAGTTTCGCTGACCTGAGGGCGACAGGAAGGGAATGGCTTCGAATCGATCCCACGTTATACCCTGAGGAGAGCAAATGCTTAGTTTACGTGGCCGGCAGATTCCCCCTCCCCCAAATGCGTTGGTCAGGCAGCCAGCACCTTTAAACAGACCCTCGTTCCCTCCCCCACAATTCAAAACATCCCCCATTACCTGCTACCACCACCGCCACTACCATCACCACCACCCATCCTAGACTTCGTTTCAGATCTACTACAGCTTTACAATTCTTTGGCCCTTGCATACGTGTCTGCGTCCCCTTCCACTACTACAGCGACATCATCGAATCGGCCTCATCACCATCCGCAATTCCCTTCCCCCGGCACTACCAGCGGAGCCATAACGATAGGCTCCAACAACGACAACCTACGGCCAGCGCCAATCGGCACACACAGCTACGTCAACCAAAAGTTGACAAGTATCGTTTGCCTGCACGGCCAGAGGTGAGGGTCCAACCAGATGCTGGCGATAGTGAAGAAGGGATTCAGGGCTGACCGCTAATTAATGGCCACAGCATCTAGTGTCGCGTGCCCACTTGCCTATTTATCTCTCTCGATCTCTCCACCCACACTCAGCCCAGCGGAAAGTCGGCATATTAAATAATCAACCGTCTGCCCCCCGTCACGTCAACCATCACCCACAAAAACATCTCCCGCTCTTAACGGTCTTAAATCCTCCTAAATCACCACCACCAACATAACTATAACCACAACCGCTGCTGCTGCCATTGTCACTATCACTCTTCCTCATTACAGAATCCCGTTCATCAAGAACAGCGCAGACGAAGCAGCAGCTACTTAGCAACCTTCGCCCTTGTCTCACACGACCACAATCCTTTGACGTGGTTACTTGTTCCGAAAGCTAGTCTAGTTCAACAGCACTACGGAAAAAACAGCGAGCCAGCCAGATCGAAGCTAAACAACAGCCTCCGCCCAACAAACTAACTTTACCATCCTTCCAAAGTTCTGTCCTCTTCCACAATGCTGAACGCCGCGGCATCCTTCTCCTCTTCTGCTACCAACATGCTAGGCTTCAACATCATCGCCACCACCACAAGAATGCCTCGCTCGGTACCACAGCTCCTGCTCTTTCTCGGATCGATCGGCGTCTTCACAACCGTCTGGGCCTCGCTTCGGCAAACACTCCAGAGCGCACGCGACGATGAGCTCGAGCGGACACAGAGCGAGGCCGAGTTCCGAGAGAAGTACGACTCGTGGGTCCGTGCCCACCGCGCTCGGTATGGCGGATACTAGGTGGGCAGCGACGGCGGCGGCGGAGGTGGTGTACCTATCGGCAGGGGAGAACCACAAGGACGTGTGGGGTTGGGGGAAGAGGGAGTAAGAGGGGGGACAACGAATCGAGGGATGATTGGTATGTTGCACTCCCCCCCAAATCCCCCCATTACACGTCCTAACCTCCATTGTAGGTTTCTCTTCCTTCGAAATGTTTCACGCGTACGTGTCTGCTTGGTGCTACTACTATTGCTATTGCTACTACTACTACTATGCGAGCGATAGCGCGTTGTTGGTGGGATCGAAGACCGCCTTTCTTGCTGGCGATATGGTTTCTTAGGATTTGGGAGTTGGGTGGTGTTTGTGTATGCGGCACATTGCGGCCGTTGGCTTGTCATTGTTTTCTTCTTCTTCTTTTTTTTCTTCCTCTTGGGATGTGGCCTTCCTTATTCCTTATCGGCACTGTATGGAAATCATCCCAGACTCTATCATGGTCTGGTCAATTGATGACCGAGATTTACATGATACGAGTTCGTTTGCTCGTGTGTCTGTTTGCTCGTGTGTGTGTGCCGGTCGGTCGGTTTGCTCGTGTGCTTTCGGGGCGTCAAGTGCTCAACAACCTACCTAGGTAGACGAGATACCTAGCTCCGGCTCCTGGTCTGCCCACTGCGCGACGTCGACCCCAAGCTGCAATCCCGACCCCAAACATCCCTGAGCAGAGCTACTCTACTCTACCTATGATCATGGTCATGTGTGTGACACATCCTCTAGGATCTACAGACAGGGGAAACGAGACAGCAAACAAAAAAGAAGAACTTCATGGAAGTCTAGAAGTCTAGAAGTCTAGAGGGACGATCCCCGAATGTTCCGTTCGGAGTGTGCGCCACGTGCCACTTGCGTTTTGGTTAGTTAGTTAGGCCCGGGCGACGAAGAACCGTAGAGTACCGTGTGTACATACCGTACCGCACTGTACCGTCCCTCACTCCGTCTCGGCGCGGGTGGCTTTGGCCTCGCTTTGACATCACGGGGAGTGGAGTGGAGTGGAGTGGGGTGCGGAGTGTGGGGCTGCGGTATGGCACAACTCCAGAGTCCAGGGCCGAAGACGGTTGACTGCCAAGGTGTGGATTACGGAGGTGCGACTTTCAAGGGTTCGATCGAGCCGTCTCCGGTCCTCCGGATGCACAGTTGGCTAGCTGGGTGTGTAGATGCTCTAGCTGTGTAGATACTAGTTGGTAGAGTACTAGGATGCATGTAGAGTACATAGCGGGTGGGCGAGTGACGCGGCGAGACGTCCCGTCCCGACTCCCGCCCCGTCGATCCGGCTGCAACTGTGGCCTGCGGCCGCAAATTCTAACCAGCGGATGCAGCTGTTGCTTGTTGCTTGTATGTAGGTGTAGCTGTAGCGGTATGTGGCTGTAACTGTCGCCGTACATAGCTGTCGCCTGTAGGCAGCTGTAGCTGTTGGTACGCATATGTACGGTATAGCCGCCCACGATGGCGGTTCCGCCGAGTCACGATTACTATCCTTAGTATGTATGTACTGCTTCATCTTCTCCATCTTCTCATGCTGCTGCTTCTGCGGCTTCCTCGTAGCTACTGCCGCCCACTCTACTCTGCTCTAGTAAGTCGGCTTAGGGCGGCGAACAGGTCTTCGATCTGAGACTTATGCGCTCACGTGCCCGTGCTGTGCCCGTGTCTGTCTGTGGCTGTGTCCGTGTCTGTGCTCGTTCTCATGCTCGGCATAGTCGGCGCTGCTAACTACCCTCTACGGTACCTGGTTGTGTTGAGTACGCAGCAACTGCCTGGGAATGTGATACATCGCACCCCGTCTCCACCCGCCATTCCTTTCGATTCCATTCCGCTTCATCCCGCACCGATTCGTTTCGTTTGCGCACTCGACCTCAGGGCGTCAGACCGTCGATGCATCGGCGCGAGTGCACTCCACGGACTGCCACGCCGCTTCTTTCGGGCTCGGGCTCGGGAGGGGGCCCGCGGGGAGGGGAGGGAGGGTGGGGGGAGGAGGGGTGGGGGGTGGGGGGTCTCGGGCGATGATCGATCGCATCGACGGGGGCGTAAGCGATTCTGCCAAGTACTCTACTCTACCTACTCTACAAAGGTTATCGGCTGGGCTGGGCTGGCTGGGCTGGGAGGCTACTGGTGTGTGGGTCCTGGGACTCTGGGAGAGGGGCTTCGGCTCCGGGACGTCGCGCAGCGCCGCGCTGATCGCTGATCGGTTCCCGAGGGTTCGTCACCTACTAGTACTCTAGATAGCACTGCGACTGCACAGCACGGTACGGCGCGCGACGACATCGGACATGTGGGCGAGACTCGCGAGAGATATAGTGTAGTATAGTAGGTACTCTATTCTACGCGGGTTGAGATACGGACTGACTACGGATAGGGACATGAACAAAATGGCTACGGACCTACGGTGCTGCGGTGGCATTCGCCGATGGCGACGGGATCCCGAGCGTACCGGATAGCGTGCCGGTGGCGGTGACGACCGATACGCCGGAGGGAATGGTGAACCCTGGGGGCAGGGTGAGCCCGGGCGGGAGAGTGATAGTAAAGTTCGGGGGCATGCTGAATCCGCCTGGGCCACCTCCACCGGGGAACGTCATCTCGAGGGGGTAGTCCATCTTCGCATCGATGCCTATGCTAAGGAACGCGAGCACGCCGTCGTCGAGCTCATCGCCCAGGAGCTGGTAGTCGGCGAGCGCATCGTACCCGGTGTTTTCCTGGTGGAAGATGAAGTCCTACGTGTTCTTGAGCCGGTTGATGGTGTTCTTGCTGTACGGCAGCGCGCTGTCGATTTGTGTGAGAAGCGCCTCGGGGAAGAACACCTGCCCGATGTGGGTCGTGTTGCCGCCGACGTACACACGCTTGCGCCGGTCGATAGCCCCGCCGACGTGCGCGGCGATGTGGATGTGTGTCGCCCGTCCGCTGTACCAGCCCGGGAAGGAGGTGGTCATGTGCATTATCTCGTGGCGATCTACGGTGGAGGTGTCAGTCCGGTCCCATTAAAAGGATCTGGGGGCGCCCCTACCAGTGGGGTGCAATCCCCGATTCAACGATTCGCCAACGGTCTGCTCCACCTCAAAGCCCGAGTACTTTCCAGTGGTCTATGTCCGCCAGTCAGTCAGCCATACCATACCATTCACCCCCCCGCGCTCCAAGGGTAACCAACATTGCAATGCCAAACATCAACCATAACGTTCGGAACCGTCTCGCACGTGTTAATATCGACAAACTGCAGATCGAGCAGCAGCGGCACGCCTCTCTCGCCCTCGCCCTTACGTATATCGCCGTGTATCAGCTGTTCCTTGACATCTATCCATCCACGCACGCATCAGCGTCGCCGCGTATCAGCTGTTCCTTGACATCTATCCGTCCACGCACGCATCAGCGTCGCCTCTTATCCCCTCCCCTCCCCCATCCCCCATCCCCTCCTCCAAGCTTCCAGAGTAAACCCACAATAAGGCCCAATCGTAACCTCCGGCGCCAGAATACACGGCTCGCTGCCGTTCCCCTGGAGCTTCGACATCGGGCGCGGGACGAAAGCGCGCTTCTCGACGCTACGGCGGGAAAGGTACGATTCTATCAGCTCCGCGCGCCGCGCGAGCCGGTGCGTGGCTAGCTCTCGCAACCGCAGCTTGTGCGAGCACCGCGAGAGCGCCGCGCGCGCGTCTAGGTGGTAAGCGCTGCGTCGAGCGAGCGCTAGGGGTGAGGTGGCGCCGTGCGCGGATACGAAAGACTGGAGGCTCAGGGCGAGGAGGAGGGTGGGGAGGGTGGGTAGAAGGGCCATGGCGAGGAGAAGGAGCGTGGGTAGGTAGGTGGGAGGGAAGGAATGGATGCGGTGCGGTGCTGATGATGGAGATGGAGATGTGGAAGAGGGTGGTTGATAAACACTTCTGCGTCCCCCTAATGGCTCTATCTGAAGCATTGCACGTTTCTGCTAGCATGATAACTACCATTACTACTATACGTCAATCAATATATCATCATACAATCCACGGTACGATAGAGCCCATTTTCCCACCACTCAGCTCCCCGCCGCCACACTCCACCCACCTACGGAACCAGCGCGACGCCCTAAGTTGGCAGACACCATCCTTAATATTTATTGCAGGACCCGCAACTGCTTTGACATATATTGACACTTGGCATTCCTTCCTGTGTCTTAATATCCTATGCATTGTTATGTGGTCGGGGAAGAAGGGGAGGGGAGCTCTGGTAACGGTTGGTGATCGCACAGCCGCGGTCGTCGGCCGAGCGTTGCGGATAGAGCAATAGCACGCACGACATAAGATCTTCCCCGTTTCCTCGTTTCCCGGGCGATATGGGTATGTATCTGTCGGACAAGGTTCCCGATCGTACCGGCGGCTCGGGCCCTGATTCCTGAAGGGGAGCCACTGGACTCTGGAGTGAGAATGCGAAGGCGGGCCGGCTGGACGGGTCCCGGAGACGAACGGCTGGCGGTAACGTTGCCGTTGCCGTTTAGGCACGTCTGGAAGCTGGTAGACGGCCGCCAGGCTCTACTCCAGCATACTACAATGCCAACGTTAAACCGAACTCTTGGGTTGCGTTTTCACATTGGGCCAAGCAGTGTCTACACAACTACCTACCCGAAGCACGTACCGAGGCATAAGGCTGCTGGGACGTTGATTCCCCCCACCCTCTATGTTTAGCCGCATGCGGGCATACTTACTTATTGACTGGACTAGAAGATATATTGCAGGCAGGATTGGGGGAAAAGTGCAAGTGGGGCCGGCGGCTGGCCGGTGTGCACTGTGAGAGGCGTGTATGTAGAGTGATGATCTGTGGGTGATGTGTACTGGAACTGACGACGGGATGGGAGGGCACACGGCGTGGTATTCTGTGCTGGTGCATCAATGATCTTGGCGGTGGTGTATGGAGGACGGACGGATATAATGGTGTCTCCCTCTTCCCTATGTGGTCACTGGTATAGCCGATTCCGTGGCGTCGCTCTTTGGCAACGGAGGCGCATCACTAACTATCGCTCCGGCGGGCTCTCGGTCTCGTCTTATGGTGACTTACTAGAGTAGGTACCTAAGGTAGCTCGTCCACTGACGCAAACCACCTACCATCTATGTGTTTAGGTAGACTACCTCACCTCACCGGCTATGTCAAGGCCCGGTGAGCTCGAATGCTCTGCAATGAAGCCAAAATACTGCTGCTGCTGCGCTATCTTTATCGTTCGTCATCAGATGCATTCAAAGTACACGGCATATTGTTCGCTTGCAGCGTTGTGGCAGAGTGTGTCCGTCGCGGGGGGAAACCACCACTTTATAAGCATCAAGTTCATATTTCCAGCACGGAAAAAACCCCCGCGTGGTCTAGTGGTCTAGGCCACGCAATCGGCAAGGGGAGTTGGGCGGAAGCTCCCGGTTCAAACCGGGGTGAAAGACTCAGCTCTTGGGGCTTCCAAGCTACCCACCGGGGGTGGTTTTTGTTTTTGTTTTTGTTTTTGTTTTTGTTTTTGTTTTTGTTTTTTGTTTCGGCGTGATGGAGGGAGCACTGGTTATATGGATATCACTCGGTAATATCACGTGATACGTTTTACGCTACCGGCTGTGGAGGAGAGAATCCACAAGAAGTACTTGGTTCTTGCCATGATCTTAATAATTTGCCTTAAGATCGAATGTATATACTCTAAAGACTGTTGGAATACTCGGTTAGAACACTATATCCGGAAACTTTCTTGGAAAGCTCGTGATGACCAGTGTCTTATACCAATGGGAACAGTAAGAGCACTGGCTAGCCGTAAAAGGGGAGCCGTGGCCAGATGACGATGGTTCTGTTATGCGGAGCGCGGAGCGATGGAGGAGTCATCGGCGAGAGGAAGCAAATGTGGTTAGTAGTGGGCATCGAAGTTGGTGGCAACCAACGTTGGCTGGCATGGCAGGGTCGTCTTCTTCTTAATCTTCTTCCTATTCTTATTCTTCTTCTTATTCTTCTCCTTCTCCTTCTTCTTCTTCTTCTCTCTCTTTCATCATCTACCGAATAGACGATCAACCTCCATATCTCCTCTTTCTTCTGTGTGTGCTCTCTTCTCGATCCGCCTCCGGCCTGGAAGGGTGTTGTCAAATGAGCCGTCCGCAAAACTGTCAACAGCGACAAGAGTGAGAAAACATCAATTTATTGTCACATACCTACGGCCTTTCTACTAGTAGACTATGGCGACCCTGCTACCATACCCCACCTTCCCTTCCAGCCGTCAACAGCGACAGTTCTAGACGACGTCACGTACGGCCGCCAACGGCCGAGTGATCCGAGCCGGGGGGTACGCTGTGGCGAAGAAACCGTTCCAATTGGACTCACCAATTCTGCTTGTCAGTGGCCACGTATGTTACGGGTTCCCACGCACGCTGGGGACTGCTCAGCACTATCATACCTACGCCCTCCGAGACCGTGTGAAACCCTGCCGTGACCGACTGAGCCACCGCTAGGTATCGACCTCCTCCGAGCCGCGAGCAATCTCCAGCACACCCTCCCTGAGCAAGCAGGACGTTTGCAGAATTTAACGGTGAGTCGACGTCGACGATGAAGCCGGTGTGCAGTTGGAAGGGTGCTCATATGGAAGCAGCGTTATGATTACTTGGAACTTCATCAATAGTCACAACAGGAGCGGAAAGAGTGCTGTACTCGTAGCACTTACGCTCCGCCCGGGAGGAAAAGCTCTTGCGACACCTACCACCGGCGAGCGAGACTATATACGGGCAACCATCCCATCATCCGCATATCCTCTTTTTTTTGTTTATTCATTGATTGCATGCGCACACCAAAGAAATAACACTAGGAAAAGACAACTTCCGCTCCCTCGACTCATCCGCAGCCCCAACTCGCCCCTGCCCCAACGCAGGTCACTAGTCCGCCTCGCCGCCTCCTGCCTCTTCATCAGGGGATGCCATGAAGGAAGGTGTGGGAAGGAACAGCGGGCGTGACCCCGGCTCCTCGACCTCAGCACCCTCCTCCTCCCCTCGCCTCAGCTCTGCCTCCCTTTCTTCCCGCTCACTGAGCTCCCACTCGGACACCTCGCTTGCTGCGTCTTCCTCAGCGGCCTCATCCGCCTATCCTCGAAAGCCGTTCCACATACCGGAGCTCGCATGATGAGTGACAATCCATGATCCGGAACTCATTTACCGAGACGACGCACTAACCTCGGCCCCGGGAGTCGGGCGCACATCAGCACATCACCAACGTCACGCACGTTCCTTCCTTCTTCCTTCCGCAACCATGTCCATGGCGAAAATATCCACCCCGCGGTTCCTGACATCGCTGCGCGCGATCCCGCACCTCCCACCGAACAGCTGGTACTACCTCGCGTCGGTGACCTTCGCAGTGCTGAACCGGCCGCTTGAGATCCCCGCGATCTACACTGCGGCGTCAGCTGCTTCGGCTGCTTCGGCGGCGGCGGTGGGGGGGTCTCCGGCGGCAGAGCGCGCGGTCCTCGACCGCACGCGCGAAGCCCTGCTCAAGGCCTCCGCCATCGGCGGCCTGCCCAGCTCCATCAACGCGCTGAACGCGCTCAAGGCCGTTGTGCCGCCGGAGCTGCTGGACGCGCCGAGTCCGACTGCGCGCGCGGAGGGCGTGCGTATGCACGCCGGCCAGATGCTGTGGGAGAGTATCTATGGAAAGGTCGGCCCGCGAGTCATGAGCGGTATGCGCAGGAGCTACGATGATCTCGGCACCGTCGCTGCGCTGGTATATGCGGGCGTCCTCGCTGAGGAGGCCGTGTTGTCGAATAAGGAGACTGGCTGGGTCCTTGTTGCGGGCCTGGTCACCGGTGGTGAGGCTTGGGCCGCGCAGAGGAAGGGGCATAGAAGGTGCGTGGCGGGGGTGGGCCGGGCGAGTGCCGCGGGGTGATCGGTTGCTTACGGGTGGTAAACAGGGGGTGCGTCAATAACGGGGCTACGTGGGAGGAGGTCGAGGCGGTCGAGACTATGGCGGAGAGGATCGTCGACGAGGTAAAGCGAGTATCGAGAGGAGAGGAAGACGAACTATTGAGGGCAACATAGACATGTCGGGATTGATTTCACTCGACAATCCGCATCTACATACGGTATCTAATTCACATATGGCATATGCATCTTCGCCTATGGCATATGCATCTTCGCCTATTCCCACACGTTCCCTTACCATTGAACATTGAAGCCTGACCGCTCGGGTATGTATGTACATAGAGTACCGGCACAATTGCATCCCGACGTGCGGTGCCGGAACCCACCGGCCACAGAGCACAGGCCACAGCCCTATGTACCCGCGAGCAGGGCACACCTACATACCTACTATACCAGGTATTATATCCGTCAACAACAACCGCGCCATGAATCTATGTAGAATCTAGATCTTACTCGATATACGTATGCCGATGCGCGCAGATGTACCTGCTCTTTGTGCCTACCCATGCACCTACCTCATACCTACACACATCCCTAGATATATTAAATATGTAAACCCGTGTAACCCCCCGGACCCGGATAGGGATTGCCGAGCGACTTTTCGGGACGCCCGATCCTGGCTTGGTCTTGTCTTGTCTTGTCTGGGGGCCGGGGGGACGAACATGTCTAAGTAGAGTACATTGTATTATATCTACCGAAAGCTTGTTAGTGGCGGGTGCGAGGTGTGTCACAGGCAGCGCGGGCAGAGCGAGCAGGACAGGCAGAGCAGGTGGAGTGGAGCGGAGTGGTGAGTGGACCAAAGCAGGTAGGGTAGCCAAAGCAGGGGCACCACCCCCCAGGCCCCCGACCCCAGGCCCCCCGGAACATCCGGTACGGTAGAGTATTACTCCTACTCCTACTCCTATGTAGAGTACGTTCATCCGCCTATGTGCCTACCGTAGAGTAGAGTAGAGTAGGTAGGTAGAGTATCTTTCGGCCGGCCGGCTGGCGAGAGATTCTCCGCCCCATGCCGCCATGCCGCGATGCGAATGGTCCCTCGTTCCGTCGTAGGCATCGCTCTACTCTACTGCTCTTCCTACTGCAATGATCAATCGCGCGCCCATTGGCGATGTTCCAGATTCTGCATTCTGGATCAGTTCTGTAGGCAGCATAGGTAGGTTAGTGGAAGCACTGAAGATCACTCAATCCGCTTTTGGGGGCGACGCGTGGTCAGTTGGAGTCTTGGACACATGAGGAAATGCTATGACATAGATGTAGGTATGGTCGGGAATGCAATGATGATTAAACCAAAAAAAAAACAGCAGAAGAGAAAAAAGCAGTGACATGAATTATGAACAAGACAGTGAACGTCGCAAAACCTGTCGTATGTAAGTACCTACAAAATCATGAATGATCACCAGACGATCTCACGATTCCCGCACAGTGCACAGTGCACACAATCACATCACGTCCAATCGTGTTGTGCTGTCCATTCGCATGAAAAAAAATGAATTGATTCCTAAAAACCCCCCCAAATAAATATCCGTAACCCCAAATGCGCCCAAACCCAATGCCAACCACCAGTCCACCACCACCACCACCACCGAGAAAACCCCCAATAAAACTAATGACACAGAATTCCGCCCAACCTCGCAGACTCCGCGATCGCAACCAGCAGCGAGCGAGTTAAAAAAAACAATACCATATTACATATCCCCATGCGTGCCCCAAAGGTGCAAAATAACTCCATCCCCCTGGAGTGCCCCTTTCCAAAAGGAAGTATCCAGTTAAAAAAAATCGTAAATCATCCAACTCATGGAAAAAATGAAAAAAGAAAGAACCAAAAAAAAGAAGAGTGAAAAATAACGCCTGGACCCATACAGAAATGGAAGGGACTAAAAGATGCAAGAGGAAGGTCCGTCTCATCGTACCCCTCCGATGAGGGGAGTCGCCTCACCGCCCCGGCTGGGTGCGGAATCCAAAAAGGCCTCAGCTCGCCGCAGGGTCCAGTAATCAAGGTCGGACAAGTCTCCGACTTCGGCGCGGACTTCCCATTCGGTGCTCATCATCATCTCGTCCTTGCACAACATCTTGGGGCCATCGTAGACTACTAGACACCGTCTTTTGGTGACCATGTGTTCTGGTGATGCGCCCCATCCCGCGGGAAAGTGCTTCTTCTTCTTTCTCCGCCTCAGAGGCTTCGTGATGGCGTTGCGGTCCCCTAGGCGGCTACTGCCAGATCCGGACCTCTTGATGGTCTTCGCCTTGGACCGAGTGGTGGGGGCCCGACGGTTCTTGTTGTTCTTTTTGACGGGACCACCGACGTATGTCTCGTCCTTATCCTCGTCGTCGTCCATCTCGTCGACATCTCCGAGCTCCTCGTCGTCATCCTCGTCATCGTCGTTGATGTGTGCAAAGTCCTCCTCGAGATCCTCGAGTTTGATTTGGGAGAGATTCATTTCGTTGGCGGCGGCTGCCGGCTCCTCTTCCACAACCTTGGAGAGAACGCAGTCGTCCAAGTGCTCGTAGAACTGCTGCGCGGTGGCGAAGGTGATGCTGCAAGTGCTGCACTTGCCGCTCGAGAAGTGGTTCGAAAGGTCGTCCTCTTGCAATCCCTTGCCCTTCGAGCTCTTCTTCTGTCTACCGTTCGGTGGTGTCTGCTCCACGTGGTGGACAGCCATGAGATGCCTCTTGAAGACATCTGCGCGGTTGAACGACTTCTCCATCGCCGAGCCCGAGCCGGGGCAGAATCCGCATACCATGGTGCCTTTGTAGTGAGTCAAGGTGTGGCGCTGGCAGTCGTATTTGCGCGCGAACCCTTTCTTCGAGTATTCACAGGTAGCGATAGGGCACTTCTCAGGTCTCTCAGCTAAGTGGGTGTATTGATGGGCGCGGAGGTCGCGGAAGCACTTGTTGCATTCGAGGCAGAGTGTTTCCTTTGCGTCCTTGGTAGGAGGATTTCCTCCGGCCGAGCCGGTAGCACTGTTGATGCTTTCCGAGGTGCTCTCCGCTCTTGCGTGTCTGTGGGAACAGTTGGATTTCTGAGAGGGCGATCGACTGGGTGGGTATCCCATCCCGCTGGGGATATACGTTTCCTCTTGCTCCAAGTTGTTGACGTGCGGGGATCCCATGGATCTGTGGGAGTGTACCGATCCGGTCGAGGGTCTTCGCGGCGAGTAAGGGATGTGTCTGGTGTACGCTTGGTGACCGGGGGTGAGTCTTCCGGTCTGGCTGTGTTGTCTTCTCAGGTTGGGGGATGGAGGGCCCGAATGCATCGTACCCCAGGTGGGAGAGCCGTACGGGGAAACGGCCGAGAGCGGCTGCTCGGCGGGAGGCGAATTGGACACCAGGGAAGGGTCTATGTCTGGTGAAAGGGTCAGCCCTCGTCGCATATGCGAATGAGAATGGCGCGTACCGGTGAAAGCAGGGTCGACGACACCGAAGCTGCGCAGGTGGTCTTCAACGCCGACGGGAGGGTTGAAGGGCGAACCTCGCACACTGCCAGCTTCGGAGCCCGATAGGCCACTCCCAGATCCATCGAAGCCGCCGGCGGACGTTGCGGGGGAAGCAGAAGGTGTCGTTCGGTACTCACTAGGATGAGGAAACTGATTCGCGTGATAGGAGAGAGTCGGAGGGTGGATCAAGACATCGGGGGCGGATGTCAACGACTCGGTCATGTAAGTGGAACGAGGGATATCGGAAGCCCCAAAGTGGCTGTAGGCCATGTGGTGGTCGAAGCCGGGGGCGGAGGAGGTTACGGGAAGCTCGTGTTCGATACCGGAGGTGCCGAGAGAGTAGAAATGAGTGTTCATGTTGCGGGCATCCGAGATGTGGGATTCTCCCAAGACGCCTGGGAAGGAAACGTCGGAAAGGACCTGGGGGAAAAGATTGCTGCCGGGGTGGGAGAAAGATGGTGTTCGATATGTAGTGGCATATATAGGATCCTCTCCGAAAAGCACGAAATCGCCGTGGTGCTGTTGCTGATGTTCCGACCCGGAAGACGTCGGTCTGAGAGTGTGAGCGGCCATGTTGTTATTGATATTGCGGTCGAGAGGCCGCTCCGACGAATCCGGTTACTCCAACCAAATTTCCAGGATGAGAGCCAGCTGAGATGGATAGCTTGTGTTTCGGCAGCAGACTGTCACACCATTAGCCTAGGTTCCGGGTTTCCCTCGAGAACGGCAATACAAGCACTCCCGCTTGACGTCAAAAACAAGGACAGGAGTTTACGGCTCTAACTGGCTGGTGCATTGGGAATATTTATGACAGGACGCTACGGCCTACGGAGGGGATAAACATAGCGAGGGAAGCACTAACCTTAGGTTCGTACACTGTCGAATAGTGGCTACTGGCAATGACGCTATCGGGGGCTCTGGTGAAACAGCAGTGGCAAGAACAATAAGAGTTATCGAAGCAGATATAAGAGATGTAGGGGCTTGAATATTCGTAGAGTCCAGTGTTGCGGTGAGGGCGCTCAGTGTGGATGGGGTCGCCGCAGTCTGCCTCTGAGTGTGCCTGCTAAGGGACGGGGTGGGACGCAAGTGAGATCAAACCCGACAGCGAGGGTGGTATTGATCTGGATCGTAGGGCTGGCTGGGGGGGTGGGTGAGGGATGAAGGCGGACTTATACCGAGTCAGATGGACGGGGCTACTGCTTTCTATATCTGTTGGGAGCACGGCGAGGGATCGGGGTGTGGGGAGAAGAAGTTTATGTAGGGTAGAGTAGAGCAGTAGTGGAACAGCGATTGGGAGGGAGGGGGGGGATGGCGCGGGAATTCGAGAAGCGTAGGCAGAACGACAAGTATAGTAGAGATTGTATATAATGTTGAGCAGTGTGCAAAGTTCTTGTGACACTGGAAAAATAGCGAGTTGGATAGATAGATTGGACTGTCTGGCACCACCACCACCATATTCACCACCACCACATTTCACCACCACCACCACCACCACCACCACCACCACCACCACCATATTTACCACCACCACATTTCACCACCACCACCACCACCACCACTCCGTCTTGTCTCGGACATGGTTGCCTGCCGGGATGTGCTCTGCCCTGCGCTTGTGAGGGATGGGGGGGTGGCAGGATGTGGTGGCCATGAAGATCCTGGCGTGCTGCGACCCCGAAAGCGGTCGAGACCAGCATCCCCTTAGCCATGTTCAGTGTTTAGGCGGGATATAGGCGGGCGGGCCACACAAGCAGAAGGTGAGGTGTGGGTGCGAATGGGTGTGTGCCTGCGGTTTCTGGGATGGGTTAGCACCCAAAGCCACGGGGCGATTGGACAGCCGATGCATGACATCAACCGGGCCATCCACTGCGAGACTGCGAGATGTTATGCTGGCATGTATGTAAAGGAGATACCGTCGAAGTGGCCCGCGAAAGGATCGATTCGAAGAGGCCGGACAGAACGGGCGGGACCACAGGGGGGAACGGGAAAGGAGTAGGAGGAGGGAGGGATTGAGAGAGGGGAGGGGGCCATTCTGTTGTCGATTTTTCCCCTGCCGGCCCGAGCACTGGACCCTGGCGAAAAGAGACGTGATGATGGTGGTGAGAACAAGCATCAGGCGTAAGTCTGTTGGCAGTGGCAGACATCGGGTATCCGCTGAGTGCATATACTTACACAAATGTAGTTCTGTGGCAGGGCTGACACGACAGCGGGGGCGAGGAGAAGGGACGGACGAAATGACCGCGTTGGCTCAGCACGATTAGAGTACTGTACTATACCTACACCGCATACACTACTAGATGCCAGCATATATCTCCTAGTTACCACCGTGCGTGCACACTCATACGCCTTACCCGTATACACAGTGCCCGAGTATGGAGGTGTGTATGAGTGTACTCAGTTGCTTGCTCTGACTGTTTCCGTTTCGTTCGCGCCGTCGAAAAGAAAAAAGAAGGCATGTCCGTGACCCTTCATACGGCTTCCCGCGCGCTCGCGCTGTCGAATGTCATCCGCGTTACAGATGGCCTCGGAGAACGGGAAGGTGGAGGCAGTGAGGGGGCGGGGCGCGAGGAGCGAGGACGAGCGAATTGTCATTGTGGAGGATTCTGTTCGGTTCCCGTCGGCAGCGCATCGGCGCATCGGAGCTCACCGCCACCACAAGCCACGACAAGCCACGAAACACCACACACCAAACGGCGCCGGCAGTCCACAGCCCCTCGGCTCCGCAGCAGCCACAGCCACAGCCCTGCCCAGTACCGCAGACCCCCCCATCAAAATTTCCAACCCCACGAAAATAGACTCCGCCGTGATCGATATTACTCCGCGTCGATTAGTCGCCAGGCACGGCCTACGGTACTATACACTTCGAAGAATCGAAGTTCGTTCCATGGATTCCTGGAACCCCATCGCGCACCCGACCGAGGCCATTTGGTTGCGGCGATTGAAATGCTGCACTTCGCTTGCCGGGCACGGTGTCGAGTACATAGAAATCCGCACCTCGACACGGACATCTGTCGCTCACCGCCCCAGATCCCCCCCATCCCCCCGGAGTAAGCAATTGATGATCGAGAAGGCTCCCGCCCGCACCAGGCGTGACACACCGATTTGCGATCCGCGCGAGCCCCTTTGCCTACTTGCTGCTTGCTCTGTTTCCAGACATCCTCCAAACCCTCCCCCCTCCCCCCGGGAGTCACCGTACGTACCCGGACGACTCCAACGCAGCGGCAACTAGCCATTGGGCCCCCCCTCAGATCCCGCCCTGTCGCCCCGCAGCGTCATTCGTGTCCCCACGCTCTCATCGGCTGCGATCCTCACTTCCTGTGTCTCCTGGCTGGAGCACCTCGAATACCTCGAACACCTCGAACACCTCGAAAACTCCTCCTCCTCCTCCACTCTACACACTCTACTTACTCTACTCTAGACCAACCCGTCCCGATGTCAAAGGAAGAACCCCCCGCCCACCCGCCCCGCGTGTTGGGGTTAGATTCGCTGGAGGGTCTGCAGCGTCCACGGCGGCGATTCGCCGACCAAGCATGCAGCTGCTTGATCGGGACGCTGTCGAACTGCTGTCTATCCCGATGCGGGATACTATTTTCTCGTTCCCGGCTCGTTCCAATGGCAGCGCTGGGTTGCGGTGTAACATCTGCGTGTGACGGCCGAAGTCGTCCAATCGCCCCCCAGGCTCCCACCGCCCAGTTACACCCACATCCATGCCTCGCGAGATTTTGTGAGACGATTTTCCGGTTTCACTGGCCCGCCCCCCTCCACCTCCCATTTCTCGAGAATGCGAAGCCTCGCGCGGCCGTGCAAACAAGCGAGATAGAGAGAAAGGCAGGGGAACTTGCCGCCACCAAAGGGGGAGCGGGGGGAGGCAGCCCTAGGCATGATCGTCAGCCGTCGTCGGTGTCTAACTGAAAGGATCCTTTGTTACAGGATGTACTCGTACACAACTACATACCAGTGCTGTCCCAGACTCTCTCCCAGTATGCCTCTGCGCGGGCGCGTCTTGCATGAAGCCTATCTTTACCCATGGCCACGGCCCACCCCCGCCACTCGCTGCCAGCAACTCCGTGGCCCACTCTCTCCCCACAACCCGGCTCAAGGAATCCCCAGAGTCGAGACAAGGTTGCGGGAGTAAGTCCTTGGATATAGGTATAACAGGCGCTGTTAAACATCGTCGTTGGATACCTAGACTGCGATACCCTCCCCTTCCCCCCGCGCCGCCGGCCTGAATGCGGGTCCCGTAGGCCGTGGCGTCGAGATCTGGAAGGCCGGATGTCCTCGCAGAGTCGCAGGACCCTCCCTCCTGCGTCAACGTTCGCCGGCAACCGTGACGACAACGGAGCCAGGTTTCTCGATAGATTGCCAATCAAGCCGACCCGCGAAGCCTTGCGCGGCTTCCTCGTCGCTATTCGTCAGTGTGGCGAGTCCTGGGGGTGGGAGCCTTCTGCGCACGCCTCTACTCTAAAGTAGAGTACCTACTCTACTTTCAACCGATATCGCTTGCTTGCTCGGCGCTCGCTCGCTCGCTGGGAACTGCGGACTACGGTATAGTTAGATACCGTATGTAGTACTCTTACATACTCTTACAAAGTAGCTTCTCCAAGGAAAAAGCAAACACGAAAACGTGCTCACAAGGACACCCACGCACCTTCTCCTTTGCGAACGCGCGCAGTAAGTAGAGTGGTTGGAGTGGTTAGATTTGCCACCCGCCCAAAGTTTATCGTATGATACTCTCTCATCGAGACCGAGCTTCCCCCCTTTGCGGCTTTGTGGCTTAGGGACTGCCCAATCAGTTCGCGGGGCAGGTCAGGGAGGGACCGCTGCGGAAAAGTAGGCTGGTGGGCTGGCTGGCTGGCTGGATGGATGGTGGCTCCCACATGATGCGGTACATCATGTGGAGGAGTTGCCACTAGTTGTAGTAGTAGTGGAAGCATGTAGAGATGTATCTGCCACCCTACATACACATACCTATCCGTCGTGAGGATCGTCTCCGCATACCAAGTACCTGTACCTAGCTTCGTATGTAGTCCACCTATCACACGCGCTCCACCTATCAAGGAAGCGAGGAAGCGAGGAAGTGAAAGGCAGATGGATGTCGGTGAAATAACAAGGCTGCGCAAGATTTGATGATGAAATTCCCTACAACACCAGCACCTACCAGCACCCACCAGCACGGCCACCTGTGAACGGCAGAACACGGAATCTCAAATGAAAGAAAGAAGAAAGAAAGAAGAAAAGAAACAGTTTCGAGAATGGCACGCAATAAGAGCAGGCACAACACCCTCTCATACACTTCATATCAGACTCATCATCGGGAGATGAAGGTTGGGTGTATACTCTATTTTCGACCTGATTGAATCCGGCGGGCGGGGTTGACCATTTACCGTTTACCGTCCGTCCGATGACTCGTTGGGTCGTTGAGAGAGAGAGAGAGAGGGATTTTTATTGGACCCTAACCGGCGACGAGCAAACCATGCGTAACACCCACCCACCCACCCACCCACCCACACACGCTCACACGCTCACACGCCCCCGCCATTCGTAGGGCCGTTCTTATTTATTCTTATTCATCCATCCACTGACGAGGCGCAGAGCACGCAGCAGAGCACGCAGAGCGGGCAATCGCGGTGCGGTGCAGTGCACACTTGCAGTGGAAAATAAACAAACAAACAGACAGGAAAGAAAAGAAAAAGAGAAGAAGAGGAAAAAGAAAAGGAAGAGCAGGAAGGAAATACAGAAGAAAAAAGAAGATATGGATGGCTAAGCAGGGTGCATCATCATTATCATCATCACCTTCGTGCCCGGTGCAGTGGCATAGACATGACTGGGTTCAAAGCTTGAGTCTCGAGGTGATATTGGAACGCTCGCGCAGTCGGATGGACTTCTTCGATGATTCTAAAGATGGAATATATCTATGATCCAGAAGTAGCACTTAGCAACGCAGCCAAAGGCCCAAAGGCGAGTCGGTGGCTGCTTTTCCGCTTACGAGGATCTGTCTTTAGAACTTCAGTCTTCTGCTCTCTGGCTACTAATGCGCTATACCGCCTAGGGAAACAAGATGCTTATGATGAGGTAATGCGTATGATGCTTATGATGCAGCAGCAGCAGCTGGCGATGATGATGGCGGGAGTCCCCATGATCGCGGGCCGGCTTCGTCTGGAGAGTCGAGACACGAAATGTGTGCGTGCCGTAGTAACTATGATGCATATTTAGGCTGGGCGTACTAGGCATACACACTGAAGATTGACAGCCTTCATTCTTTGTAATGCAGCCGTCGATGAGGGGAGACACTCGACACACTCATGGCCTGCAGCAGCAGCAGGGGGAGAAAGAGGAGTATGACTGCCGCAGATCACTGTGTTTGGCGGCAGACATTAGAAGTGCTGGTCCATCGTCGACGTCTTACCCCCGGCCCCCGCTCACAAACGAATATTCGAGCACAGCAAATCAGATCACCTAGCTGGCAGTTCTTGAATCTCCAGTGACCTCGTTGTCTATCTGTATTTCTGTCCGTTGGCCAGCCGACCAGCTGCAAACCGGGCTGGTAGGGCTTGTAGAACCATCGTCACGGATGTACCGTAAGAGTACGTTTATAGCGCCCTACCCAAAGTTCAAACGTTGTGAAATGGTTGGGTGATCTTCCTTCCTTTTCCTCCACCGCCTCCTACTCCTGCTCCGGCGCACACGCTGACCGATCAACCGACCTCCCGCCACGATTTGCCGTGCGTGGTTGCGTGGTTGCGTGGTTGCGTGGTTGCGTGGTTGTGTGGTTGCCTAGCCTCCCCGCCGCACCATTCGGCCACGATGGCAGATGCAGATAGATGCTTTAGAGATGTTTTGCACTCATGATCGAGACAACGTCGACAACGACAGCAGCAGCAACAACATTCCGACGTTCCAGATCCTCGGGCGCTGCAGGCATGCAATGCGCATTGCGATGTCGGATCCTCCGCCCCACTCTTCGACTCATCAGCCAGCGTGCATGCGTGCGGGCGTACGTGCACGGGAAGTTGACGTCGACATGCTACATATATGTCTACTGACATACAAGTAACAAAACCTCCTGGCGGTGAGAGATGAACTGCAATTCTGCAAGTCTGCAAGTCTGTAACCAAACCAAACCAGAGTCCTGGACTCCTCAGCCATCTCATGCCAGTGCCAGTACCTATGACTGCCTACTCCTCGCTAAAATGCAGCCTGAAACCCACGGGTCATGCCGGCGTGGAATCAAAATCATCGTGGCGGGACTTCCGACGAGTCAATGATGCAGGAGATGAGCGCGGAACGGCAGTAGTGGTGACTAGTAGGTACGGTACATAGCCTGCACCCGCCGCCGCCTCTTCTTGCCACTGGCGCGTGTGTCCAGGCGTATGTGTGTGTCACGAAGGCGCGGTAACTTTTAAGACACGACGGCTGCTGGTGGGGTGTGGCAAGCCTCGTTTACCCCTCGTATCGTACGGATTGTATTTATGCCATGCTGCACAAGTATCTAGCGTATGATACCTAGGCATGTAGTTGGGTTGCATCAGTATGTTTGTGGGTAGGTTTGATAGGCGGGTATGTAGGCTAGAGTATCGTACCCCGGCGTTCGTTCGTTCGTTCGTAGAGTAGAGTACCATCGTGCTGCGGCCTAGTTACAGGCCCTGCGCCAATCGGCTGTTGCTCAGAGCTCTGGCACGCTCAACTCGGATGAATCATAATCCTCCTGCCAACCATAGGTATCATACTCCACTTGGGTTCTTGCACGAAGAAACGGATGCCTCCAGCGACAGTGCGACACCGTTGAGGATTTCCGCCGGCGCCGATACCGGTACTCTGCTTGCTTCAGCCTTCCAGCCCGCGGACGCACGTGCTTACATGCCGTATGTAGCACACCGGAGTATGGATATACCGGTAGTAACATAGGCACTCGGGATTGTATGTAGCCATCGGTTGGCAAAGCATGCCTGTCATTGCCTGCCCGCCAGCGCGAGACCAAGCGCGGTACCTCTACATTCTTGGCGGTTCTTAGCCGATGTGTAGAGAAGCCTTGGATCGTCTGATCTGATCTGACTGCTACTCTACGATAGGTCCTACATTACTAGTATACACACAGGACACGACTGGAGTATATAGATCACTTGATTCAACACACACTCCTCAGACCTGCGATAAAGTACTGACTTACCTATCGACGCTGAGATCGTTCTGAGTACATACAGAGCGAGAGGATCCATCTACCCCACCAATCGTCGCCATCCGCGCCGGCTTACCTATCATCTCCAATCCTCCCATTCGACTGTGGCCGAGGTGGTCGCACGTATGTTCTGCAGACTGCGAGTCAGAGACTCAACGTAAGCCGCTACGGGGAGGGGGGGCGCAAAGCACTGCCCCATACGATCGCACATGCATCCGTGCATCCGTGCTTGGCCCATAGGGAAACACCTTAAATTTTCTTCTTCCTCTGACATGCATAAGTTAGCTCACGTATGTAGCCATAGCGCTCCACCCAACTTAATCTTACCGAGCCTGGCTTGGGCCCATCGCGGCGTGGGGTCTAGTTTGCTGGATGGGGCCGGGGGGTTCAGCTGGTCAAGGATCTTTGGGGAATAATTGCGACGACAACATCGCAACACCACCACCCACCAAAAGAGCGAGCGAGCGAGCGAGATTCGGCTCGTCCGATGGGGGGGGGGGGGGGGGGGGGGGGGGGGGGGGGGGCGCGCTGTACGATTGTTCTTTTTTGGGCAATGGCGACTCGGAGAGACGTAAACGGTTAAGCTGTAACTTGCTTCACCCAGAGGAGGAAAGAAGAGACGGTGTGTTTCGTTTGTTCGTTCGATTGCTGCGCAGCCTTAGCCGGGCCGTTCAACCCCCCGCCCCAGCCCATGACGTCTGCATTAGCTGGTCGGTTTCCAAAGCGCAAAGTAAGTTCGCCCGTTCGAATCGAACAATTAATCCCTCCGACATGTCGAGTAGAGTATCTAGAGTACATACCGTATCCACATACCCAGCTGGGACAAACGGGTACTTGTGTATACTCTAGCACAGCCGGCGCTGCGGATATTTTTTATTCCACAACAACGATCTCGATCACAGTAGGTCCCAAGAATTTTCGAAACAACGGCGATACACGGCGGGGTTTTCCCAGTTTCCTAGGAAGGGCACGGGCACTGACCAGTGGGGCCAGTGGGGCCAGTGGGGCCAGTGGGTCCGTAGGGTGGAAAACGACCCGACGATGCGGTCGATCACATGTATCAAGCCTTCTGGAAATGTTTATCGAAGCCCGCGTCGGCGTTGGTGTGCCAGGGAAGGGGGTGGGGCTCAGCATCACTCACATCGTGCGACCTGACTGCTGCTTCCGCGGGGCCAATCAGACGGCGTCCGTGTCGGTCGGCAGTGCGTGAACAGGTAGATATCATACATACCGCCGCCGGCTGATTCGACTACAGGTGAGGGGGAAAAACTAGCATAGCATACACAGCAACGTATGTGTGTATGGTATGCATTGCACAACAGGCGGTCGCAGGCCGCAGGTCTCAGCCTTATGGCCTGCAGAAGCTTACCTACCTGCCCCCAACTCACTCACTTCCTCACTCCCTCCCTCACTCCCTCCTTCACCTCGCCTCACCTCACCAGTGGCCACCCCGTCCCACCCCCCAAATGCTGACTGATTGACTAATCGACACACACCCTCCAGATGCTGACTGACTGACTGACTGGGTAATTGACACACACCCACGGTATTCGACTCCGCGTACATACTGGTTCCTTCCTTCATACGTCGGGGTCGTTTTGGGTTTGCAATCCCACTCGAAGATAGCTGTCATCCTAATCTGGAAGGGAGTGGGGTTGGGTTGGGTTAGATTCGATTTCGTATTTGGTGGGTGGGTGCCGGGTTGTGCCGCGGCCGCGACCGTATGTATGCACTTAGTTGCTCGCCCTTCCTTCGTCCGATGACTTCCAGGGCTTCGGATTGGCTTCCTTCCTGCTGGCAGGTATGTAGAGTATGGAGGTATGTAGATGACCGCGGGCGAATCATAGAGCCAGAGCGGTTGTTACTGTTGCTGCTGCTGCAGAGTATCGAGATTGAATTGCTTCTGTGGAATGCACCGGCCTTGTGTATGTACACCACATACATAACAGTATACATAGAGGTATTGGTAGTATTCGTAGTATCAATGTATCAATGTATCATATGCAGGTCGGTCGACAGCAATGGTGTTTATGCCGCTTCCCTCTACTCTACTCGCCTCTATTCGAACCAACCAAAGCCCAAAGCCTATGCATCGTCATCGTCATCATCCAGATGATAAGTACCTATCATACCTACCATACCATACACACCAAGTTATCGCAATCCAGGCCGCCGGGCCGCCAGGCTGCCACGCACAATCAACGGGAAAATAATACCGACTCGTCTCATCGAATCGATGGGCAGTCCTGGGTCGCCGGTTTCTTCTAGGAAGGCAAGTTCTGGATGTGGACGTCGTAGCCGGCCCATGTTCGTGTCAAAACTCAAAACATCATCCGTTTCGACAGTGAAGGCGTCCGTACATGAATAAGTGCGTACTAGGAGGGTATAACGATGTTGACGGTTACAGACTTGCAGTGGATATTATGATGATGCATCGATATCCTCCCCCCACGAGTGAGAGGGTGCCGAAACAACACACAGTCCTGCGATAATGAGAACCTTGGGTACGAATGTATGCAGACAACGATGGGTGGGGAATGCCGTGCGATGAACTGCATACCCTGCTGCCTACCTGTCCTGTCTGCCTGCCAGCCACGCAACAGTGCCCACGCCGGAACTCCTAGACTCCCACAGGCTGCTGTGCGGGGGGTTCCCTCGGGGGCCCACAAACCACTGTATGCAACGTAGGCACTTCACTTTTGCCATCCAGAGCAGGTATACAAAGAGCGCCTCAATGCGCATGCAATTGACTCTGGAAACAGAGTAGGTAGTCACTGCCTAGTAGTGTGGACAAAAGCGACGGGCCTGCGGGAGATAACCGTCCTGACTCCTGTTCGCGCAGTGCCCACATGCCTTCGCGAACACGCATGGTGTCTCCAGTGTCCACCGCCGCCCCCGCCGCCGCCTACACTACCCCTCCGGATTCTAGACTTTGGGATTGTCCTGATATGCTTCCTATCACAGAGTAGCCTTCTTCCTTGTCGGGCTCCTCCTGCTCCTGCTCATGCTCATGCTCATGCTCATGCTCATGCTCATGCTCGCCACCAAAGAGTTGTACAACCGATCGACTGCATTCCAGTCAGTCAGTCGAGTCAGTGCAGTCAGTCGAGTCGGGCGAATCACGAAATTCCCCACGGTCCCTCCCACACGGTCCCTCCTCTCCACGGGCCACACGCATATCAGGCCAGGCCACCATGCAAGACTCAAGAGCCGCCGCACAAAACCAAAACCAAAACCGCTGCCTAAGGTACCTATGTATCTAGATATCTAGATGAACCCAACCGGGGGGGAGGGGATGGGTGGGAAGACAAAAGCGGCGTCGAAGACTCGAAGACTCGACGCATAGCTATGCCGCCTAGCGGAACGGTAACGGTACCGGTATATGCGATGGGCTCAAGGGGGCGTCGGGTGCGGATAAGATTTACCCACATACATATCATACACATCATACATATGACCTGCCTGCCCGCCCCGCGTGTGAAGTCTTCAGATTCGTGGGCAATGGAATGGGCATTTATTACGTCGCTGCCGTCATCGGAAAGATCGCCGTATGTGATGCACGGGGGGCCCCTGAGGTTGGTGAGCGGGGTGCAGCTACATATGTGTCTATACATCGCCAGATGTATGTATGTACTCCATCGTAGCCTGCACTGGCTTCATCGAGTGGTTGGTATGATACTACTATGTATAACCATGCTTGGCCTGGACGGTGACGAACCGCGAACCGGCCGAGACTCCTCTGGACACATATGTACTCCAGAGTACCTACCAACTCGTATATACCCAGATATATTGTCAATGACATCGCAAGGACATGGGCCACGGGCGAAGTGGGTCGGTTGGGTCGGTTGTGGGAGCATTCGTGAAGAAGCCAAGTACAAATGTATGTAGAAACGTCTCTTGACAGTGTTGAAACTCTTCCACACACAGTAGGGAAGAGTACGATAGGTACGTATTCTGCCATGCATACACCACCACCCTTCTGCCCCGTCGGGCTGTAGTGGGCAGAGTACATGGCTACATACGGTACCTACTCTAGGCTCCAGACTCCGAGCACTCTGTCAGGTTACCTGCCAAACACGAATTTCGAGTGCTCCAGACTCCAGAGTAGAGTACGGTAGGTATGTACCCTCAACACACCCTATCTTTCGCGTCCGCGGCGGCGGCGGCGACAACGACGACGACGACGACGACGGGGCGGAAGATCTCCTCGATCTCTCAGAGACAGCACCGGACTCCCGGGGCCAACCCTACTTGCTTGCTGGCTGCATCGAGTGAGTCGACTTCGCTGACAATACTAGCAGATATGTAGTCTAATTATTACCTATGGGTCGCGGTAAATACTACCATGTAGTAATGTTTACTTTTCCCCCACTCCCAGTTCTCTTCCTTGCTGCTGCTGCTGCTGCTGCTGCTGGGGAGAAGATGCGGCATTTCCAGTGGCGTGACTGGCGTCCCTGGGCTCCAGATGATTGGTCGATGAAGCGAGTAACCACTTTATAGCAGCGACTCCCACGTTCCTGGGGCGCGGTGGTGCGGTGTTGCAGTGGTGCGCAGGTTTTTGGTTTTGCTTCTTTGCACTTGGCTGAGGAATAGCGGCAACGTAACTGGAGGGGGGTGGAGGAGGCGGTGGTGGTGGTGGAGGAGTGTTACCGTGGTACAGTGGAACTTCCCACCGGCGAAGATATATGCACCGCTGCAACAGAAGGTGGGGCGTCTGATTGAAGCAGAGGTGTCAAGAGAATAGTTATGTATGGCCGCGTTCCGTCCCTCGTCCCCCGGTCCAACGCCTCGCGCCCGCCGCCCCAGGCAGGAATACCGTATACATACCGGTATCTACCTACGGTATGTTTTTGTGGTGGCGGGGCGAGTAAGCACACACACACACGGGAAAGGGTACGGTATCTACTCTACATAGAGTGAGTGAGTATCCTGGCTCCGTTCACTTTGTTATTTGCTTTTTTATATTTGTTGACATGAGTGAGCGCTTCAAGGAGATGAATGAACCCGCGAGCCTGCCTGCCTACCTGCCTGCCTGTTTGCCAACTCCTTTCCCCTGCTTCTGAGTTCTTGACCCTTTTCTTTCCCCTTGGGCTTCCCCTTCCCCTTCACCGCCATCTTTTGCTTGCTTGCCGCAGTTACCAGCGGTGCCACTAACCATTTACCAGTGGCCAGTATGTAGAGTACTAAGAGCCAGTTGTTGTTGGGAACATTGAACGCCATGTTTCCGGGAGGAGATCCGTCAAAGCAGGCCCAGGGGTGAGTTCAAAACAAACTTCTCACTGCGCACGCCAACCCAAACCCCAACCATGCTTTGTTCGGAACGCGCGCGGGTGAAAAGGGCATGATATGTAACTATGGCTTGGATAGGATCTGACGGGCGAAATACATGCTCTGCGGTGTCTGGAGTCTGTGAGACGAGTGAGTCGTATGTAGACGGTTCGCTTGTTGAAGATTCCTGGGTATGATACCGGTACATATGGTTGATCCAATCCAGAGACGCAGTGTTCTCTACAGGAATGAGAACTTCACTGCAGTCACTGCCGTGGCTGCCTATTTCCATGCGAGCAGGGAAGTTGTCCAGGTCCAAGTTGAGTGGTGGTCACTGGTCAACTGTCATTAATCTGTGCAACCCGTGTTCCATTTTCTCCGATTTGGAATTTTGAATAGGCAAACCAGTGAACAGCCCGCAGGTCCGCAGGATCAAACAATCGGGCTGGGTATGTGGAGTATGAAATTAGATGGGGTCACGAACGAACGGGACTGCGGACAGGTTCCTCCCATGAACCCGCGGAAAATTGCGGTCCCACGGTTGTTTATTGTTGATCCGTGGGACTTCGCCGATATCCCCTCCCATCACTGCTCACTGCCATCCCCAAGGTTCAAACAGTATGATTCGCTAAATATGCAGATTGTGGAAAGGATATGTATATCTACCGGTAATACCTAGGGATGGAGACGGAGAAACGGGGGTAGATATGGTGCGCGCGGTTTGGGGTGCGCGGTTTGGGGGTGCGGGTGCGCAGTGTGCGCCGTGCGGTGTGCGGATGCGTTCGGGTTCATGGTGCATTGCCGTGGGTTTGCATCGTAATAGTATCTACCGTAATAGTACCGTATACACCATCTCCATACCATCACCATGCCATCTCCATACCATATCCATACCATCTCCATACATACCGTCCACACCTGCACCGGCTCCGTGTCTGCCTGGGAGCCTTGAACGCACCAGCGAGCGAGCGAAGGATTTTGGGGTTTCTTCTTTCTTGCATTCCCTTTTCTTCGTCCAAGGTCTTCGGCGGTGTGATGTATGTACGGTAGGTACTTGTGGTCGATCGCAGCACTCGCATCTTGTCCCCACGACGGGTAGAGGTTAGATGCGCTGCTCTGCTCTGTACTTCTGCTCTGCTCTAGCTAGGTATGCATATGGTACTCTACTCTCCTCTCCATCTGACCTGAGCAGTGAGTGAGCAGTCAGCGGACTTACTCGACCATGCGTGTGCTGGCCGTGGCTCGTGCTTGCAGCCCCAGTGCCCCAGTGCCCCCGTCTCGCTCCTTCGCTAGCCAACCAACCAGTGGCTGGCTCGAGGCGGTGCTGCGGCTTTGCTGCAAAGCTGCTTCCGCCCACATGCTCTACTCGAGTAGCTAGCGTTGTGCTTTTGCTTGTGCTCACAGCCACAGAATCGGCTATGATAACTACTAGCGTGAACATAGTTGCTGATAGCTATTATCTAGAGTAGAGTAACTAGTAGTGAGTGCAGCGTGCTGATGTAACTATCTTGAGCGATCCTGCATGCGCAGCAGCAGCAGCAACACAGCACACACCTCATCATCTTCATCACCACCGTCATCGTCATTCTCGTCTCGTCAAAGACGGAAAGATGGAGCGAGCGAGCGAGCGAAAGAAGGAGGAAGCCGAGCAGTGCTCGATAACTATGTGACTTCGTACGGTATGTAACCATCTGTCGAGGTCATCTCGGTGCGTCTGGGCACTGTGCCTGTGCCTCGGTATGCATGCATGCGTTCTGCCCGCTGGAGAGCAGGTATGTGTACATACATACATCTCTACGTACTCTACATACTCTACATACTCTACATACTCTACATACTCTACATAGGTAGATTGGTTAAGTGGTCGACACTGGAGGCTGGAGCAGGTATGCTGCTGCTGCTATCCGCGGGCAGGCAGCCTGGGCGCTGGGGAGGCTGGAGCACCGACATCAATGAAATCAAGGAACCGGACGCAAAATATTCTGCACAAAGTTCGAGCCACGGCCTGGAGAGTCGATGTGCCCTTCGCATCGGTGGACACGGTGGTTGCCAGCAGGTAAGGGCACGAGTAAGTATGCTGGGTATAATATCAGTGGGTATGACAGTAGGTACCACGGTCGTCGCCGTCGCCGTCGCTCGGGTCACACGCATCGCGCCGGCGAACACTACATATTTCATCATGGAGCAGGATTGGGTTGGGTAAGTTGTGACTATTGCGCGCCAGGTTCCTCGGCGGCGGCGGCGGTGGTGGCCGCAAACGGTAGCCGCAACCAGCGGATCCGGCGATCTCGGAGCGGACGGCCGGAGGAATGCTGGCTGCCGTCTCCGATCCGTCTCCGACGCTCCTACTCCGTGCGTGCGTTCGTGCGTGCGTGGTTACATGCTCGCCCCGGGCGCATGAAGCTTCGGGATACACACACATTAATTAGGCGAGGGATTGGGCGCGGCGGATGGCATGGGGATGTCAGGAACTCCGACCACAACAAACGTGGAAGGTACTGTCGATCAGCTTGTGCGGCTCGATGCGGGATTGTATGTATCGATAGGACCGGAAATCCGGGTCCGTCGGGTCGGAGGGCGACAGGAGGAGGCTGGAGTTGTATCGTCCATTTGGGTGACTCGAGTGCTGTGGTTTATTGGCTCGAGTCATTACGTATTGAATCAAGTCATTTTACTTTTTGGCTCGAGTCATGCGTTTTGTGACTACTCACGTCAAAGTCCATCATAGCACCCACCAAGGTTCAACGGCGCTACCCGTTTGTTGTTCCAAGCTTTTGTGTCTCCCAACCCTCTCCCCACATCTGGGGAGTGGGGTTAGTTTTCCATTGCGTCGAACCCCCCGGGCGAGTATGATGGTGCCGATTAAGATCTCAGCGTATAACTACTCCCGGATCCGGTACGGGGTCTCGGAGGTGAGGTGGTGAAGTGGTGAGTTGGTGAGGTGGTACTGGGAACTCGCTTCGTGGCGTGGCTGCGATCTGTCAATCCATTGTTCACTCCCGGCTGGGTGTCAAACACGGAACCTACCGTTTAACTATTGCGCCATATTGAGTAGCGGCGCTCATGAGCCGTGATTCGGCTGACTGTCGGCGAAAACTGGTTCCTTGGTGGATGTGGGGGGGGCGTCGACGGATGTGCGTGGGCGCATTGTTGGGGGTGCACCGGTGGTGGTGGTGGAGGGGGGCGTGACGGTGGTGGTGGCGGCCGCGGCGGCGGTATGTAGCGGTGGTGGTGGTCGAGGTGGGTGGTGGGTGGGTGGTGGTGGACATATATCCTGTCAGCAGTTGAATGGATGCGCGAGGCTTTATAAGCCCATCCGCACCGCACCTTACCCACCAGCCGCTCTTGGGAAAGACACGAGCCTTCCCTGGTACGGAACGGCGGGAGTGCAGTGCGGGGTTCAGCCCTAGAACAAGCACTATATACCCAGCACATAGGGCTGATGTCGTGACGCCGTGCATTCATTCTGAGCAGGGCGGTGTCCGCGGCGCTCTAGATGTGCGGCTCACGAGAGGAGCCTACCTAGCTGGTGCATATCGTTGGGCTGGGTGGACGTGGGGGAGAGGGGGGATAAAAGTGCTTTCAATTCGTACACTAGAGTATACATGTACCGAGAACACTATCGACATGCCGCACTCGAGCACGCCCGCCTGGCGCGGGGTGCCACCGCGCTCTGCATCATCGCGTGATTATAGCGATCTTGCTTCCGTTCATATCGGCAGCTCCTTCGTTAAGTGATGCGAATTGGGCGAGCGGCTGCTCGATGTCTGCGGGATCCTGCTGATATATCATATGTATGAGCGGAAGCACGTGGAGAAGGGGCCGCACGGGATAAGACACTTTCTGTAGGGCCATCTGAGATTCTACTTTCCGTAGGGCCATCTCTGAGATTCCACTTCTCGCTTCGATCCAAAGTAATCGGCGGTGCCGGTAGGTACTGCGCCGGTGGACGTCTCCACACCCACTGGACCCTGGACAGCAAAGTGAGTGAGACGATGGATGGGAGCCGACGTGATGACATGTGATTCCACCGCCCACTCCGTGAGGCGCTGGAATTTCAGGGAATAATTAACTATCCTCAGCCTCATCCTCGTGTGAGGGCAGGAAGGGCACATTGGTGAAAGTTAAGGAATCTCCACATCCCGAGTCCGGTTCTGCCCGTACAACTTGAGGGCCCTTACGTAATGCTGGAGATGCACCACAGCGACGACCGTTTGCAGTGGCGGCAGCAGTGGTATTGTGACTACATTGCTGAGCATTCGGGCTCACCGAGCCTTGAAAGTTGACAGCGCCGGCAAGGTGAGGTAGTCTACATGCATGAACGGTAGATAGTGGTTTGCATCAGGGGACGCGCTAACTATGCCCCATTCAGTGGGTGTTAGTTACGCCTGTCCCCGTCGCCGAAGAGCCTTCTCTTTCAACATTTCCGCGGGGTACAATCCTTACAGCAATAATGAATGTCCAATGCTCAATCGCATATACATCCCCAGTTCACATTCATGTCGTTGTCGACCAACGGCATGTACCCTGCATCATCGGTCCTGCGATCCACCGAGCATGATGCGGTGCTGACATATCGTCACATCAAATGAACAATCCCACATTTACACGGGCAGCAGAGTGATCTACATACCGGCGAAGAAGCGAAACGTCATGCCTAGGCAGCAGTATTACCCTCCACCAACCAGGGAAGTTGGCGGACGGCCGGGAGGATGCCCGCTTATCGCCGACCACAGACCGTTTGTTTTACCATAGATTGCTGGTGGCCTATCTAGAGTAGATCATTGCAATGTACACGCACTTTTTCCCGTTCACTGCCCGAGAAATTCGCTATCGGTTAGTCCGCGGGCGACTCGGCTCGTTGTGGCTCCTCCATGGATGCAGGTGGTCGCGCCTAACCGGTACATACCTCATTGCGAGTGACTCGCTGTGAGGGTATGTGCCGGAATATTTAAGTAATCGTGACGGTACTTTCATATTGGCATCCATCTAAACGCTTACTGGCTTCATCTCCGACGTCGACTCACCATGAAGTTTCGTAAACGACCTACTTGCTTAGGGGCGGTGTGTGGGAGATCGCTCGTGGCTCAGAGAAGGTCGACAGCGGTGGCTCCAAGTCGGTCACGGCGGGCTTTCACACAGTCTCGGGGCTGTAGGTATGACAGCGCCGTGCAGTCTCCAGCGTGGAGATACGAAGTGTGGGTGGTCACTGACAAACAGAAGGGATGAGTTCGATTAGAACGGTTTCTTCACTCACAGCGTACCCCTGGCTCGGATCACTCGGCTACGACCGAGTGATATCCGGCTAATGCTCCCTCCGTCACGCCGAAAACAAAAACAAAAACCATCACCACCCGCGGCAGGTGGCTTGGAAACCCCAAGAGCTGAATAGAAAGTTCTTCTACCAGGGTTGAACCTGGACCTTTCCCTCAACTCCCCTCGCCGATTGCGTGGCCTAGACCACTAGACCACGCGGGGTTTTTTCCGTGCTGGAAATATCAATTCGAAAATTATAAAGTGGTAGGTGCCCCCACGACGGACACGCTCCGCCACAAAAATACTGTCTACGTTGAACGAACGAACGACATGCCGTGTGCTTTGAATGGATCTGATGCGACGTCTTTCTGCGCTTGAACGAACGATAAAGACAGCGCGGTAACCATGGTAAGGCCAGCAGGTTATTCGCGGCGAGACAGTGGGTTTCTCGGGGCGGGCCAGTACTATATCCACAGCGAGGCTAACAGGATATTAGTCGTCACACAGCTGGCAAGAATCGTTATCCTTCGCCGTCCTTCGATTTCTGAAAGTCCCTGCAGTTGATGGATTACGGTACACGAGCTGATCTGTGTGCCTTTGAGGGGAAAATTAAAACTCTAGATGAGCCCTGTCTGCGATTTCCTTGCGTTCCACGTCATCCTCAGCCACTGTCACTACCAGGAGAGGGGGTGAGGACTAGTTTGTGATGGCAGACGGTTTTAGAGGTCGGAAAAATGCGAAAGCTGCCTCCCGCTTCCGCCGTCAAAGTCTTGACGGTTGGTTGGTCAGCAGTAGTGGTGGAGCCATTTTATTTCTTCACCAATCTGACGGTATGTATGATGATAACAGCGTAGTGTGGCTGATGCATCACTCATATAGTACTCCGAGAGTTTACAAGTTGCTTAGGTACGTATTTTACAGTAGTAGAAAGAGGGTGAAACCGTTACCGTACTTCTAGATGATGCCGTAATCTTCATCCTATTCTTTTTACCGCGACTTACATAACAAGAGTGGCTCGGGCCTTCGTTGGTGGCAACCATTGGGCATTGAGTCACTTTTGCAGGGTCTGACTGTGCGCGGCACGGATCGCAGCTTACGCCACACATCACTTTCCATAGGCTCTACGGCCCTTTAGATCATATCCGATACAACTTCTTCTTTCACAAACTTCGGGTGCTTGAGATTCACCCATGTTGCCTTACCCTACGGATCCACCGGTGGCTGGGCGGGCGTTTCGGGTCCGGATCGTCACCATGCGCTTCTAACGTCGGCCGACACCCCCCAGATTTTCACCACCGAGTAAGGTGGCTCTTTCAGTCGGTCGGTCGGCCGTTCGGGTAAGGTACATACTAAGGACGAGTGATGCTGACCCAGGTGAGAAATGACACGACATTGGCAATCTAGAACTATGGGAACTAGGTAACCGGAGACGTCTGCGGGCAGCATCATTGACCATAGCCATGTGACTAAAAGCGCGAACTAGAAAATATTGGCAGAGACAAGAAACCCGAACGTGAAACTGACTCTCAAGGACGTTGGCTCATATCTTGACGTTCGAGTGACATCATGTGTTTCTTTGTAGAGTCTCCCGAGTACAGTTCCAGCGACCGAGCAGGAAATGCCGGATTGCTCGCCAACTTGTCAGAGGAGGAGTTTTTTTAGAGATCAAGCCTTCTACAAGCAAAAAAATATCCTTCTGCCATAGCCACACTACCACGAAATCCCGATTTCTCATTCTCGTCTTCGAGACTCCTTCTCTTCCCCGGTCTCCTTTCCAATCACCAAAATCGCGCCGCTATCTACGTATCGGCCCCCAAAACGAACGTGGCTGGCCTTAACTATAGTACTCTGCATAGCCGAACGAGCCTCTCCACAGTCCAGCCACACTTGTTTCCGATTCTCGCTAACCACAGCCGTCGCCGGGGGGGGGAGCCTTAAAATTAGACGCGCACGGTATGTAGATATTTCCGTCCCCCGCGCCCGCGCTCTTGCCCGCGCTCGCCTCGTGGATCTACCTATGCCAACACGGAAATAAATGCGGTGACGGTGGATGTGGAGTTGAATTACAGTATTTGTGGTTCTGGAATCAAAGTCGGTGTATATGTAACTACTTAGATTTGTCATTAAGGGAAACGTGAGGTATCAGAATAGCATGAGGGATGTATATTGCACATACCGCGGGTCGGTAGATTTGCAATGCTCACGGTACACGAAAGCAATAAGGTTGCATGTATGTATGTCAGGCCGCGCAGGTGCGGGTATGCACAGCTTTGTCGGTCACCGGCAGGGCATAAACGCCTATGATCCCCACCTTGTCCCCCCGCCAAAATAAGCGCCACGGCCACCAGAATAACTTCAATCGTACATACTTGCTAATCCGCTCTTCTAGATCTCTACTCTACTCTAGAGTGGCAGACACCCACCCACCAAACCCAGGGATCAGCTCGGATCCATGCGGATACCGGGTTGCGCTCGCTTCTTCGGGGCGGTGCACACGATGACGGCGCCACAATGATGTGTCGGTTCCACCCATTCGTTATGCGGGTCCGAACCCCGGGCCGTACCTAATGCGAGATCCGCAAAACTACGCCACACCTACCAAGATCTCGAACACCCACCTGCGAATTTCGGAACCGACGTCGAGGTCTGTAGTTGAAACACGGGTTCACTCGCCCACGAATTACGGAGAAACAGGGTTTGGGTTTGGAAGAATTCGAATTCCATTGTATTGCATCGACAGATAAAACATTGTAAAATCAGAAACAAGCAAAACAAAACTCGGCATCCAATAGGAAAATCTGTTCCAAGTAACCAGCCATATCAATGGGGCTTAACCCCACCCAGCTGTAAACAGAAAAGGCAAAGACTGAAAGAAAACATAAGAAATTCGTAGGATCACGTTTCGCTCCACAGGTGCCTCGGCGCCCAGCTAGTCCCTGACATGGCTATGTCAAAAGTGAAGATTCCAGAAGCTACAGTGGCCAACGCAGCCCGGGTATCCCCAAATTGAACCATGAGGGATTGGCACCAAATGATTGGTTTACCAGGCCGGCGCGGTTGGCCAATGCCTCAGCAGCTGTTCCACAGCTCCTAAGCAGAATATCAGCATAAAGTCGGGATATAGTTGAAAAATGGCAACGTACTGGTCCACTCCTGGCTCAAAACATTCGCCAGTTCGGCAGCGTTCCTGGGATCGGGGTGAACACCACCCCACTGCGAAGGCTGGTAGGCTACCCTCTGTGCGTACACAGGAATCAATTGACTGCAAGCAATCAAACCCTGTCAGCTTTACCGGCCTGGTGAACCCGTGCCCGAGGACGAGAACTCACTCATTCTTGATTTTGGCCAGAAGGAGCCAAGCAAAGTTCCAGGACCTGCTGCTGCTGGGGTCGTTGAGTACCCGTGCCTTGGCATCCTCCAAGAGCTCGTTGCTGAAAGGATACTGCCTGGTGAGGCCGCGGAGCTCGTTCAGAAAGTTGTTCGAGCTCACGTAGTAGCCCCAGGAGTCGGTTATCTCATGGATGAGCTCGGTCGTAAAGTTGGGGAGCGTCGTGAGGACACTCTCGATTCGGCGGAGCTCAGTGAGAGTGTTTACTCGGCGGCTTCTCAGAGTCTGTCGCATCTGGTTGATCTCCGTGATGGAGATCACCTGGCTGGGGCGGGCCTGGTGGGAATAGTCGGGGCTGGAGTAGCTAGGCATTTCGTCTGCTTCTGCGGAGATTTCAACGAAGTTCTTGTTGAAGTAGTCGGTTTGGCCTTCGAGGACTGGGTGAAGATAATGGGGCTGTGAGGAAGAAGAACAGGAAGCTTTGGAGGATGAGATGGATGAAGGAAAAGCTGGTATGCTGGGGTATCTAGAAGACTGTCTGTTGTTTCCTCGACTGTTTGATGCCATTTCAAAACCCGGGTGAACCAAAAGTCTTATATGCGAGACCGAGATACTTCAGAGGCAGTATAAGCGTGGGAGAGGTAAGATTCCGGATTCGGAAAAGTTGTAAGACCTCAAGTGAAGACGGTAAGTTGGGTTGCCTCGATGATTCTCCGGAGATCTGGACGATACTGCTTGCATCTGCAGCATCTGTATAATATATGCTTCTCCTTCCCTATACGGTGATAGCATGGACTTGAACCGTACAGCTGTGGACTGGGGAATGATCTACTGAGCGTGCGGACTGACTAACCAAGCCGTAGGGCTCTGCTGGATAACATCATGAGCCCCAACAACCATGGCAGCGGATCTGATCAGTCAGTTTGTTTCGTAGGGGGTAGAACAACATCCCGGGATTACTCCAAGTCTCACGCCGAAGTTAATACGAACTGATTAAGATGCCCGCAGTTGCGGGCCTGTGTTCGTCAAGCCAAGCAAGCGGGGAATCAGGTGAGGCACCTCTTGAGCTCTGCGATCCGAGTGGACAGAGAACTCGAGTTCCACGGATGAGATCAGGAACAAGGGCCTCTAGGGAGAGGAGAGGGACGGCCTGATCTGCATAATCTCTTTTCTTTTTGATCCGGCAAGCAGAGGTGAGATTGGCTGGCGGCTCGAAAGTTTGTAGCTGTGAGACGTTAGCTTGGGCTGAGAGCTACAAACGGATAGTGGCTGGTGAGCTGTGCGCACGCCACAAAGTGGCCAGAACGGCCAATTAACAGCATGCTAACAAATCTGAAACGGTAGCATGGCCTTCTAGAATCACCCCTAATAGTGCCCAATGCGGTGCTATTAACAATCAATCCGTCGGTGAGTGGTGAGGCTGAGTCGAGGCTGCTTGTGCGACATGTGGCTGATGCACCATTTCTTCAACACCACGCGAACTTCGGATCAACACGGCAATGACTGACGCTATTATCGATTCCGTTAGTCACGGAACCTGGCCAGTCACGTTCCTCCGGTAGTTATGTATCAACTGATATGTACATCAACACAGTCTGTGAGATTGAGGTGGTAGCGATAGCTCGGGGGCGGCCTCAATGACCGACGTCGTGAATTTTAGGCCCTCCTCCGGGGGTACGGCCAGTCATACTAGATGATGCGTGTCTACTCCACACTTGATCTGGCGATAGAATTGTTAGGAAATCGCTGGAACGGAGGAACTTCCTGACATGCAGTAATTTCAAGAAGACGTGCATTCCACCCGTGGTATTACGACAGCATCGATCACTGAATCGATTATCGCCCCGAAGGAATCGGTTGATTCTGAGCATTGGTCGACCGGAGGAGTCACGCCAGATGGGTTATCATCCAGCGATGTCAAGAAGCCCAGTAGTTGACTGGCTAAGCTCCGGTGGACAGTCCGTGACACGATGACGAGGGGTTTCGCCGCTGGGGAAGAGAGCGTCACCGACAATCATCCATCGCATCGAGTCTGCCCGGGTAAAGGCGCTTCGAGGCTGCGTCTCCACTGACGCATGTTCCCTCCAGATATGCATGCGGTCAGATTAGCGGGTATCTCGTTTGGATGTACTTGAGCTCTAGTGTAGACTCCCCAGGCGAACCCGACATCCTTCGAGTTGACTTGGGCCGTGCCATAGCGTAAACACCTTAACGGACATAGTCACCTCGAGTTTGCACGTGAACATCTCTATGTTCAAGACCCGGTAAAACTCCAAGGGAGCTTCGCCGGTGGGCGGCCTACATAACTGGGGATGGTTGCCTCGAGGTAGCACAGCGGGGTCAAGGCGCCTGTCTATTTTCGGCAAAGCCCGGTAAAAACCCGAGTATGTTTCACGAGTTTCTTGATAGATCAAACGATCGAGAAAACGCCATGAGCAAGTTCTAGCCTAAGTTTCACCGGCGGTTGCGCGTGCGCGCGTCACCCAGGGCCAAAATTTACACGGCAATACAGACTTTTTATTACCTGGCAGATATGTGATATGTACCACTGCCTGGCTACCAGAAATCGGGCATAACAACGATAGGTCGCCGCTGTGCTGAATGCCTAACTCTATGCTCCATCAGCATTGAGCTTTCCTTGTATGTAGATGTTTTGCTCGGAGCTATCGCCGGCCGAAGTTTTCTAGGTAGTTTGGTGATAGCCCCATCGAACGGGAAAGGCTGGTTCTCTAGTGAAGTGCTTACAACCTCTGTGCCTAGCAGAATTACTCTACTTAGCCCCCATCCTGCCTTACTGATAGCGGTGATCACTTTCTTCCCTGCGGCAATCTTCTTGGTCTGGTCCAGCTGTTCCTCACTGCTCGTCTATGAGGATCTCGGTTGGCAGCCCGTAAGCAGGGCACCCGGCAAAGCGGGTGCACCAGCATTCAGCAAGGCGAGGGTGAATAATGAAGTTGCATGTCTGATGGCTGACATGTTCGTTCCTGGGGCAGATCGCTACTAGTCATGCTCAGAGCGTGCTTTATGGCCCCAATGGCCTGGTCTACAAGCGAGAACCCGACAGCCGTGCACACCAGATAGCCGCAAGGTAAGACGGGAGATGTGGGTGGGGAAGAAACTAGTCATTTACCGTCCGTGAGCTGCTCTTAGAGTCACAGAATCTGACGGTACATACTAAGTACTAAGTATCCCCGGTTCCGTTTCATGTCTGGTAATCCGGGAAGCCATCATACTGGTTTTCGACACATTAGACCGAGATGGCTCCCAAAACCTACAGGTATCGTTACTGCCCTGCACTGGATAGTCGACGGTGTATGGAGAAGTGCATTGATGACTGGCAATTGTTTGTAATATGTACAGCTGAATGAAGTCCCGCATCAGAACATACACTGTGCCCAGCAAACGGACGAATATAAAGCAATATATAATTGTGTGGTCGGTATCCATCACTGTGGATATATAGTGTGCGGTAGTGCTTACATATGGTTCTGGCGGAACATGGTGTCAACACATGGTAGCACTGATACCTCGACTCCCATTGGCCTCCGGAACTTGCCGTGTAATTATCAATGGGATCTACATACCAGCTGTCAAAGACGACTATCGTGCAACTTCAGCTCTCAACAAAGTCGTTTGATGCATATGATACTTGAGTTTCTGCTAGTAAGGTCGGTTGAAATATGGCATTGTCGACACGGATTGACTTGGATTGTTTTTGACTCCATGCTGACAGACTCACATGAGTTGAAAGTTCGTAGACTCGAAGATCGCGCATTATCCCAGAGAACTTCTCGCCTTGACTCATGTCTCGTCACTTATCTAAGGACATAGCTTACCTTGCGACATAGATTGTTAAGACGGCCTGAAAGGACTGGAGATAATCGAGTCACACACAATGACGTCCAAATCGAAGGTGGGCGGTGGAGCGGTGGGGCTGATGAAGTTGAAAGTGGAGTGGGATGGAGCTAAACAACGTAAAGACATAAAACCGGGCATAGGGCGGGCGGTTGGACTCATGATGACGGTGGTGATGGTGAACATTATGCAGACGTTGGTGAAGCAATTGAGCGGATCTACTCGCATCAGATGGGAGGAAAGTATGAGCTAAAGAGATATAGCCACCTTCTCCTGCTCACCGACCACTCTTATGCACCCTTCCCTCGCCTCCACAAGTCGACCTCGGTCCTTTAGGGTTTCAAGCTTACTGCATAAGATCAACTGTACCCTCTTCCTTCATGTCACACCACGCAAGCATGCACACACTGAATCCTGCCTCCTACTTTCCTTCTCTTCATCTGCTACTCTCCCTTTCCTGCTCCTCCTTCCCCCGTTCTGCCCTTGTCTGCTCCCCGCATAACCGCCCTCTTCGCTTTTCGATCTTCCTCGCCTACCCTCTCGTTTGACCTTTCCGGCGTGGCTCTATAGGGAAGCATTGTTTCTCAGTTAGTATCACCACATAATCTCCCTAGCGGGCCGTATCTAGGGCACACCGCCGTCTACCGCGCAATGGGTATTCTTAGCTGACATCGTTTTTCCTGCTGAACTGCTGGAGGATACTGGAGTGATTGGGAAGGAACGGAGTCTCCTCCCGTTCGTCAAGGGAGAAATTCCTCCTAAGTAACTCGCTGTTGCAGGGAATCCAAAACCCGTGGAAACGAGTGCTAGCCCAGGCATTGAGCCCTCATCGCACGGAGCTTTGTTTCACATTACATTCGGCCGTTCCCGGCCGTTCCCAACCATGACACCTATCTGTCATATCCCGTCTCCTCCAGGTTCCATTCGAGTACTCTAGAAGTCGCCTAGCGGAATCTCCGTTGCCGCCCGCCGCCAACGGCCGGATGACATAAGAACTTACGTGAGCGCACACCCGCCACACATCTTTGCCACCGTGACAGCTCACCTGCATCTCGCTCTTCCTCTGCAAGCTCCATCGCCGCAGAAGAAACGCAGTATAGCCGGGCAGTGCTTTCTTCCGCGAATAGCTCCGATATGTATATCTGAACTTCAGCCTTCCGCTTCTTTGGCTTACTAAACTCCCCGCCTCCGCGCCGGCGCTCACAACAGCTTGCAGTGGCTCCGCCATGCTACGCAGTCCTCGAAAAGATATTGAACCCTATTCGTACCGCTAGTCTACCCGCTTGCTGCGTTCGGGCTTGCCGACGGGATGCCGTGTATTCATGGTTCATGGGGAAAAAAAAGAAGTAGTGACAGGAGTGGGACTTGAACCCACGCTCAGTTTCCCGAACCAGGAATCGAAACGATTGTATTAAGGTGACCTTAACCTGGCGCCATAACCAACTCGGCCATCCTGCCTTGGATGTTCGAAGTCGGTAACGTTTACAGCTTGACTTTAATGAGTAGCTTCGCATGCAAGCAAAGTGAGATGGGGGACCAACAGAAAACACAAATTTTCACAATCTCCGGTTAGGAGCTTGAGATTAGGAGTCGTAAACATGTTACGGTGGCGGCCAGCTCGTGAAAGACAGCTGCAAACGCCCGGATGCATAGCGCCGGTGGAAAGCGGGAGCTTGTCTTGCCGGCGGGTGGGCGGCTGTTTACTGTGATTCAATAAACATTCGTTAGAGCTACTGTAGTAACGAGGTGGAATGGAACGGTATACTTTGAATGGCAATTGAGGGGATTATATAGGCTGCTCCCCAGTAAATTGTCCAAAGCCCCTGATGAATAAATGCCTCCATAACGATCACTCGGAAACTTTTATTTCATGAAAACGAGCAAAGATCACATACAGTTATCACATTCTAACACCACAAATTCATGCACCCTATTACCAGTAATCCAGCCAGCAGACCTATCTCGAAGAAAAAGAAAAAAAAGTAGAAACAACGCCAAAGTCCATATTACATTCAAACATTCTACACAAAAACCAACGCGGCCGCCAACACCGCCACCAACGCGCCAATCGCCTGGCCCGGTATCCTGAGGGTAGCCGCCGCACCTGTACCCGCACCACCAGTAGCAGTCGGCGACAACGTAGCGCCAGTACCAATGGGAATCGTTCCATTCGGGCGGCTCTCGTCCCCGGGAATGGTGCTGTTGCTTCCTCCGCCAATGCCGCTGGGGATACCGGTCTTTGGCACGACTGCGGCTGCGGAGACGTAGGAGGAGAGTTGTTTATCCGCGGGACTGTTTCACGGGTTAGCTAGGAAGGGTAAGGGGAGAGGAGGGGAATACGTACGGGTTGATAACTCCCACCATGCCGTTTTGACAGTGCTTGCCAGTGGCGCAGTAGAACCAGATGGGGTCGGTGCTGTTTATGGGAATAGTGAATACCGGCATAGTGGTGCTCTCAGCGGTGACCGGCATCATTCCGCTCCAGAACCCAGTGGTGTCCGCAGACTCAAGGGGCTGGCATGGTGCGTCGAAGCTACTCTGTGCTACGGAATGCGCCTGGTGGAAATGTCAACAGAGGGAAGTAGAAGCGTGAAGAGATGCGAACGAACCTGGGGCCAGAAGTGGAATTGGACCAAATCTCCGGCGTTAACGCCTTCCAGAGTGTCTGGGTAGAACTTGAGTGCACCGTCTTGATCTCCAACTTGAATGACGTGTGTCATGACGCTCCCCGGTGGCACTGGTACGGATGAGTTCTGTGCCGCTGTGACCTGGAGGAGGATGGCCGTTGCGGCAGTGGCGAAAGATGATCGTGAGAAACGCATGGTGTGGGTATTGTATTAGGGTGAAGTAAAACTCGGCTGGCGAGGTATGTATGAATGTGTACTGATATCTGTATCGCGACTGGCGCTTTGATGAAGGTAAGAGGTAGGAATCGGGCTGGCGATAACCTAGAGGAGCAAAGAAACAGAAGGGAATTAAAAGGGTAGCGAGAGGAAACCCATACAATGTGCACGGTATTGAAGAGATGAGATTGGAGAAAAGGAAAGAAACGAAAAGGAGTGCTGCTGGAGAGGTTTATACTCCCTCATTCATGATATCCAAGCTATGGACTGTGAAACTTAGGCGGCTGTGCAGAGTCTCGCAACTGTAACGTTTTGGTGTTTGATATTCTAGGAGATCTTCCAGGCTCGATCTTATGGAAGCTTGCATAAGCGCGATCCGTCGAACATGAGACGACTTGACGACATATATCAACATCTTTCCCGGCGAGCTCTTGATGAGGACTGGTCGAGAAAAAAATCCATATCCACCAGCGCAGTGCCGCCTTTCAGTCATCCCAGACGCTTCCATCAGACACTACGGCCATAACCGCAATGGAAATCGTCCAGAGACACCATTTGGCGGATAAATCGAGCACTCCAGCACCTGCAACCAGGGGTCCCAAGAGCCGCCGACAGACGTTTGATGTTGGTGTCACAATCTACAAATCGAACATCATGCAAGGATCACGACACCATCTACCCCAACATCTGACACGGCATCCAAAACTCCATTCGTGTGGTTCGCTAGAAGCCTCAGGCGCGATAGACCCTAATCAAGAATATGATGATCCTCAGAAAACATCGTTGTGACTCTTGAGACGCCTCGCATATGGAAGCAGAAGTCCGATGGGCGAGTGTGGAATCGTGATACCTGTCTGTCGCATCTGGAACGAAGAGGGCCACGTAGCATCACAGCGGAGAAGTGTACGTATGTACCTAGGTATGTGTATTCGTAAACCGTGAACGAGAACTCCCATTGCGCCTGATGACCGATCCCCAACCCTTTAGAAATCCAACATGAGCTGCGGCGCAGCCTTCTCTATATCCTCGACCTGTCGCCCCACCCCGGTTTAGCATTCGTCCCTTCCCTTTCTTCCGCCACACATAGCCCTTACCTCAAGAAACAGCGTTCCCCCACCGACAACCCTCCCGCCAACCTCGTCGTCTTCGTCGCCCTTGCGGCTCTGCGCCGCCCGCCAGATCGCTTCGCGGATGAATGTGCGGAAGTATTCGCCAAGCGCGTCGACTGCCGGTTGTGAGATGCGCGTCTTTTTGTCTTCCATGAATTCTGTGATTAGACGCTGAAGCAGCGCTGGAGGGATTCGGACTTCGTCGGTGCTGGACATAGTGGTAACTGGGTGGTAGTGGTGACTAGTGGGGAGGGTGCGACGAGAACTCGAGGATGCGTAGGGAGCTAACGGATGTAGTCGCGGAGAGTGGTCGTCGTAGAGGTCGAACTGGGGGGGAGACAAGTTCTCGGGCGCTGCGATGTTTGCGGTTGGTGGAGTAGAGTACAGTGAACCGGCAAGTGCCAGCAACGCGAGGCGAGGCGAGGCGAGACGCGATGATCACCGCGACCACACCACATGACAAGTTGTACGAGTGATACCCGAACGAGTGATACCGCATAGGATACCCCCCGAGACCTTAAGTGAATACGCTTCACATGCCTCGAGCATCTTTGGCACCTTTCGATACATGTACCTCCCCCCCAAAACCCCCCTCAACAGCAATTCACAGAATATCACTCACAATCTCGTGAAAACACCTACCACCACATCCGACCGTTCCGTTTGCACAACGTAGTACCACGAGCCGGAAAGCCTGTTTCCATACAACATCGTCGATACAGTGCCCTTGCCTACCTGCATTCCTGGATATTGGAATCCCGCAGGATCGCAATCTACCTATCGTACCGGCCACCGAAAGTACGTAGGTGACCGTTCGTACTCTAGATTGGTAGGGATAGTGCTGGAGGGAGGGAGAAACCGTTGTAGCCTTGTCCTATAGGTTTCATCGTCCTGGCGTCCGCACGTTCCCGTGGACTGTGAACCTCCACAACATTGGCAGGGCAAGAGGTGACGGAAGGCGGGGATGGAGATGGAGGAACTGAAGTTTACTTCCCACCCCTTTGCTTCACCACTTCAGCAAAACACAGCTTCTTTTGCACGGAGGATTCAAATTACTGAACCAAATCCTGGCGTTCTGTTGAAAACATACCGAGAGCAGGCTGGACGATATGATCATCACCAGTGAAACAGGTTGCGGAGGGGGGCACTTTTGCATATGGCAGTATGTACCCGAACTCCACGTATACTTAATTACCGTCCCTTGATATACACAAGTAGGTAGAAAACCTGCAGGCTCCCACCGAGCGCCGAACTGACAATCACCAAGTAACAGCCTCCAAAATGTACTCCGATGCCCCTCGTATAAGAAAATGAACCCTTCACGCACCAGCACCCATTACATGGAAAACGGAAAACCAAAACCAAAACGGATAAGCATTCCAGCAAAGAACAAAAAAACACAAACAAGATACAACTCCGTTCCAAAACCTCTCAAAAAACCATCGGAAAAATGAAATGGAAAGCAACAAATGAAGGGCAGTACAGAATCTGGAATAGTAATAGTCCTATTCCATAGATTGACAGATCACTCGTGGGCAGTTATTGTAAACTCAATTGGTGATACAACCAACTCATACGTCCCCAAAAGTTGACCAATAGACACTGTCAGATAAATCTCACAGCCTGAGCGGATGGTCTGACTATGTCGTGCCACGCTGCTGTTGACCTCGCAGAAACATGTTGAGCATGCTCATGCTCTTCTTCTGCATCCGATTGTACGGGCTAGTTGGCCGTCCATCGCTGTCCACTTTCAGTTCGGCGGTCGCCAGCTTTTCCGCTTTCTGTTCCTTTCTCGACAGCTGCCTCTTGATGCTCTTTTGTCGGATCATGTTCGCCTTCTCCGCGTACCCGGTCCTCTTGATCTCCTCCGTCTCCATAGTACCCAGGACCGTTTTCCCCCCAACAGCAAAGTTGGAAAACTGGGGATCCACAAACCGAATGTACCCACGGCATGCCGGAATAGTGGAATTTGACTCGATCCAATCTGCGAACACGGCAGCGTTCCGTCTGTTGACTGCAGGTGATATCATGGTGACTGAGGTGATTGTCATGAGATACGCAGCGTCAAAGGTTCCGCCGACCATCATGCAAGCGTTGTGATCCACCACCACACAGATATGCTCCGGCTCGCGGTTGTATCGAGTCGCGATCATAGCCCCAAGAATCATGGCGAATTGAAACTCGTCCTCAAGCTAAACAGGTTTCCAGCAACGGTTAGCTTTCTTTTTCATGGCCCGAGGTGTCACACGACATTCCGATATACTATCGCGGGGTTGACCGAATCCCAGCTTCGACACAAGCAAGTGACAAGCTTCGGAACGCAACCCAGCAGCGGCAACCCTGTGAATCCCCCGCTGAATTGGGTAGGAGGAAAACTGGGTATCAACTCACCACCATATTCGTCTTGAACTCAACACAAATACCGGCTGTCTGCGGTATCTTCGGCGACTGTCGCACTCCGAAGACCTCGTCGTAATACTGGACTCCCTTATTGGGCTTCCCCGAGGCGCTTCCCTTTCCGTTCTTGGGAGATGTGCATCCCGCTACGTCGTGTTCGATGTCTCGCATGATGAGGTCGATGTTCTGTTTTGGCTTCTGAGCTGGCGTCGGATTCTGGGTAGGCTTCAGAGTTGGCGACTGAGGTTGCAGAGGCTTAATCAAATCGTCGTCGTCGCCGACTTCAAACGAACGTGTGGTAGGCGCCGGTGAGGGCGGAATGGTAATCGCCGGACCGTACTTCGAGCCTGGATGCGGATGGCTGTTGATACCGGCGTTGGGGTCGAGTAGCTTTGACATTTTTGACAGCGGTGTTGTAATCGAACTCGAGATGAATGACCGCAGGGATTCTATACCTAGGGCCGACCGGTCGAGGAGAGATGATGGAGTTTCGTTGAAGGTTTTAGCTGAGAGAGGCGGCGACGAAGGTGAAGGTGGGGGGTGGGGAATACGAGACGAGGTCAATGGCGGGTGATGGTGGTTGGTGGTTGTGGGCGAATTGAACAGAGGCGGGCAGTCCAAGCTTTATCAAAAGAAGCCTCCCGACAAAGCAGTGCAATTGAACGGCAGCAAGGGACAACCTCTCTTCTATCTGTTTCTTGCCGACCTAATATTCTCCTCCGTCTCTCGCTCTCGCTCTCTCACCCCAACCCTCACCGCCTGCCGGTGGCGCCCGGGATGATCATCATTCCATGAAATGTTGATTGAAGTCTGGAATTGCGGGGGGCTGCAGCCACCACAAGTTCACCGTTTTCAGCTCAAGTACTTACATACCTCCTGTACTGCCCTCCTTTGCAGCAGTCGACTTGCTGTCGACTGCTCTCCGAACCCGAGTATCGATCCATTGCTGCTAGTTCAGACGCAAAGAAACGCAACCGCGCAGGAATGGTATCTGCCTACAGAGCGGCTCCGGGGCTGTGGGCCTGGTCTCAAAATAAAGACTGCTGGTAATTCCCGCTACCAAGCTCACCCTCTACGCACTCGACTCATCAGCAAAGCTTGGGACGAGTACATATGAGGACTTATCTTGCTAGCGACGAGAGAGTTGAGTTTCCAGTGCCCTGTCCATGCTCTGCGGCTACTGTGGGCTCGGCAATTTATATTGCTCCTACCTAGCATAGGACACTAACTAGATGATAACTCAACTACATATACTTCTTATGCGAAGAAGCCGCTCTCCCTTTCCGACGCCGAGCCTATATCCGTTGATCATCGGACATACTAGTCACTGTCGGAGAATTGCAAATACGAGTTGGCGATCGGTACGCACTGGGAAGGAATCGAGCATCCCCTTTCCGCCGCAGTGTCCCGGATGCCTCACCGAGATGGTATGTAGCTGCACCGAGCAACTGTCTCCTGGAAGAGATTATGAGCTTACCAGCGTGATATTCAGATTATTTAAAGCTCGGAAGCCAGCCGACGGACAGACATCTGACCCAGCTTACGTGGGTGAAATAAGTATTACTCGTACCTATTATTTCCAGATGCACTCTAATACACATGTGTTGTACGGAGGTTTTAGAAAAGTGCATTCTTTCTGATCCACGCTTTGCCAATATACCTCCGCAGATGCCATGTTTCTCCCAAGAGCTGAAGCTCGGCAGAAGCTCTTGCAGGCCAGCATCCAGAAATCGCTGCGTCACCAGGGAGATGGCGTGTGACAGATCAGATCCAAGTCAGCGGAGCGGCACGGAGAGGAGGTACAGATGAGCTGCGCTCGGCATAGGTATTAGGTACGTATCGTTCCTAATAATAAATCACAGATTCGATGCACTTTGGCTCTGCACAGATTCGATGCATGGCGCCTTCCACGAGGGGTTTTTTGTCTGTCTTCCCCTGAGCTCGATGGTGGATCTTTTCCGAACGGAGGTATCTATCATATTGAAGCTCTTTCTTCTTGTAGGTGCAAACCCTTTGCACGGTAACTAATCATTGCAGCCCTGCGATCATGCCGCACACGAGCTACCTACCTCATGGACACCTGCTTTGTTGCCGGAGTAATCGGTTTTGGATCAGTGAGCATGGAGGGCGTACGGCTGCTTACCGAAGGCATGCGGCCGAAAGTTATGATATCACTGCAATAACCAATTCATCTCGTGTGTGGCTGGTCGGTAGTAGCTCCAGGAGTTGGGGAAATCCTATAGGCACTTTTGTTGGGCAGATCCGCAGAGTATCGCAGAACACAGGTACCTACCGTATGTAGAGCACAAGGGACTCTACCCGTCGAACGCAGCCATCGCACTGGCTCCGGGAGCTATTGTCTGCCAAAGGTTCGCAATCGACAGGTTGGTGGAGCCGAAGGGCAGGCGAGTAGGTATTGCCAGTAAAGCGCTGCATGGCAGATGGTCCACCTACCACATCATAACTATCCCACAGCGTTCCCCGTGACCGTGTTGGAGTCTTGGAGATGCTGCGCGTGCTGCGGCTTCCTGCACGACATGGGCGGCCTGTCTTATCCTAGGGTATGATATTGCGACTGGCTCACTATATAACAATCGGGAATCGTGAGACCGCATCTGTCCCTTTTCCTGGGAAACGCCATGGGCAGTATCAGAAACAACCTTTCCTCAAGGCCCTCGCGACCGGCGATCACCGATTAGTAAGTCCTGAAGATTCCTCAAGCTCACGGATTCTGTAGGACTGTTCTGATGTTGTCTGGGCCTAGGAAATCGGACGACTTTATGTTCAGCTTAAGATGGGAGGTTGGATCCCGGTCCTCAGCTGATCTGCCTATCTTCGCCGGTTTCTGAATGCGACTAGCATGAATCTACGCATGCCACCCCCTAGAAATCTGCGCACTTGTAGGATCAACCTTGTCTCTACATGTATAATGGGCCTCATCCATCTTGGAGCACTTTTGCTTCAGAGATCCCTCCGGATTCTGGAGTTTAATAGAAGAATTAGATGTTCAAAGAGCGGCCTTTGTTCATTCCAGTCAAGACTGGCTGGCTCGGCTTCGTGGTATGAACGATCATGAAGCATGAAGTGAGGTCTCGCTTAGCCACTAGAGTGGCTAGTCGTGATCTAGGTACGTCATCCCGACCATGGCCGCACGATCTAGAACATCGTCGCTCACCAAGATGCAGGACTCGCGACTTGAGGTTGACGTTGCTCTTCTTAAGCTGTGACGGGACTCATTCCTCAAGCCAACGCATCCATCACCACCACCACCACGCTCTACGGACAACGGTCAGCAGCTCTGATTACAAGCCTTGATCTTCAGCTCTTGCGAATACCTAGCAGCAAACGTACGAACGTCCGAAACACGCCATCATGTTGGGAGGATCGCTTCAGTCACGAGCGCTCAAGACGCAATCCCTCCCACTCTCGTCGCTCCTCCGACCGATCCCGCCGGTGCTGGATAGCAAGAAAATCGATTCGATGGTTCAGACGTTAAGGAACGAAACGCCGGACTATATCCCGAGCCCTGCGCCCGAGGCGATAACGCCCGGAGAGCTGCCGCCGGTGGATGTGTTGCACTATCGCGCGCCGTCGGGGAAGGACTTTTATTTCGCGTTTGGCGGGTGCCATCGTCTGCAGGCGTATGAGAAGGCACAGGTGGAGAGTGTCGGTTGTAAGGTTTTGAAGGTTACGAGGCCAATGCTGAAGGTGTACTTGGGAGGCTCAGTCGATGCCATTGTTGGGGATGAATAATTACGTGTATTCCAAGTACCTAGATGATGATACCTGACCTGCGCGGGGGCGGCAGTGCGGCAGTGCGGCTTCGGCCTTATCTACATCTGGAGTCACATACCATATGACTCAAATTTCAAAGTGACTCTACTTTACCGTTCTCCTCAGAGAATCGCCTCCTTACTTCCGCCTAATGCCAGAACACAATGGATAACTACTAGTACTCTACTCTATTGAAGGGCAGTCTACCATAACACTTCTGCAGCTTTGTGAGTTCACCGCTTAACACCGCCACACAACTCCACGCCTTAGCTACAGCCCTTTGACCGTGACACTGACACCGCACGCAGCGATGTGTGTTCATTTCTAATTTACCTATCCACAGGCTGTTATAAAAGTCTCAAAAACCTCCCGCACCAAGGCGTCAAGCAAAGCGCAGACTGACAATCCTGTATACACGGACCACCCTGCGCCACAGCACCAGCTCTCGCCAGATTCGCCTACGCTAACACCGGTATATAGAGTACCGCCTACCTGCTTGTGCCACATGCGTCTGCAACGCCAGCCTGCAACATCAACCTCACGTAAACAGCTTGCGGAAGCTACCCCGCACGTAAGTTACCCCCATCAACATGCACATGTTCACGTAGATAACCCCCGGCACTAAGTAGGTGAGAGCGGTCACAGGTGCCTGAAGGAGACTTGGAGGTCCCTTGCGTGCAGGTCGTGAAAGGAGACGGGTACATCGAAGTTTGAGTGGTGATCGCCAATACAGGGCTGAGCCCGTAACTTCCAGACCACGATGGCGCGTTCGACCCCGCACGACTGGTCACTCGTGAGGGCTCCTGCCCCCCAAAGCCCGAGAAGGCTAGCGGAACCAGAGAGGACTTGGGGCAAAGTGAGCTCAACCAACTTCCCTCCTCCGAAACGCTCACCTTTCTCTTTGCACAGCGCCGAGTACATTTGGAGTCAGCGGCAGAAACAGATCGTCGATAGAGAGTTCATCCACGCATTCGACAACCTCACCCTTTCTGCGACCGGAACGCCAAAGATGTCTGACCTCTCAGGCGCCCTTGAAACGCTCGGAACGGAGACCTGGATGGATATCCTTGATTTCGTATGTTCAAAAAGAACCCAACCACTATCGCCACCACCACCATCACCACCACTCCCTCCACCCCCTCCACTCCCTCCTTCTCCCCCTTCTCCTTTCTACCCTCATCACCACAACTCATGAGACTAATCAATCGCAGATCGATTCACCTCAAGACTTGCTCTCCCTTTGCCGCACCAGCAAATTCTTCTACACTATGTGCATCGGACGGCTCTACAGGACGCTCCGTATCCGCTCACCATTCTATACCGGAGATCTGGCCTGCATATTCCCCAATGAGTTTGACGGGGACATGATTCCGTTCAACTTACTACTAAAACCTTCCCTATTCACCACTGGCACACAGATTCCATCAAAATTTCCGAGTAAAGACCAACTTGTGCAGTACATCTGGCATCTCGACATTCCACTTTGGAATGCGAAATTGTCAATGACGTCTCCACCGCTACCAGAGCCACGGCCTTATCTAAGTCCGAATTTGGTTCAGTATGACCTCCGGAGATGCTTCCTTCAGATTGGTGGGATCATCACCATAGCTATTGATAGAGTTTCCGGTCGTGGTAAAATTTCGATCGACCCATATTTGGCGCGCCTTCTTACGTCAATGTGCAATCTTCGAAGTTTCTCGTAAGTTCTGCTTCCAGTTCTTTCAGGTCTCCTCCGATATTGGGATATCATCCAATATTCCCTAGTTTCTGCTACTGACCGACCGAATAGCTGGTGCCCACTTCCACGACCTACCACCAAGGTGATCCCGCCCGTCTTGAGGTTGGACGATATTCTCGACCGAGGCTGGATCAACCCACATAATAGAGCTTTCCTCACCGCAGATGTCTGGAAGGAGCTCAAGAAGATGCCACGACTGCAGACTTTGACGGTCGATTTCGAGCACTCCGACCCTTTGCTCTACGAACGAATGAGTCCCGCGCTGCCTAGGCTCACAAACTACGTTCCAGCAGTAGATGGGCTTGTCGGCTTCAAGAACTTGGTGTCCCTCGACCTGCGTGGTGTCGGATGTGGAAGAACTAGCGACCTCCGGTTTCCCGAGATTGCGGTGGTCATCGCAGACTGTATTGAATCCGGAACCCTGCGGAACTTCAGTCTCGGCCTGGAGCTCTGGTGGTACTGGCTGATCGAAAAATACCTAATCGACGAGGAAAAGGACTTATGGGATTGGATTGAGGATCTATGGGCCAGGTGCTTCGGACTCGCACAGAGGAGGAGGGAAAGGATTGAATACAATATCCCGCCGGCATTGACGATCAATGTGAACATTGATTTCATCAGGACTTCCTGGCAGTTCAGAACCATCGACAACTACATCTTGAGGCCAGAGATGTTGGTGCAGATGTTTATACACAGTGGACACATCCTCGGGAAGAGCTCCTCGCTTCTGAGGAAACTCGGTCAGAAGCAGCTTCCGAATCTGCGGGTTTTGTTCTTGAAAACCTTTCTGATCAATGCCTTCCCCATCATCGCGGCTACCACTGGACTGCGGGAGTTGTACATCCTGAACCCAGGCTCAAACAACCGGATCCGGGCTGCGGCTTGTGGAACCATTAAACAGCGAATTTTTGCGTTTGAGGAATCGCAGAGACAGCCTGTGCAACGAAATCCGATGAACCGCATGATGGAAGTCTTGGTGAAAAACCATCTCAGGACTCTAGAAGTTCTCGTCATCGATGAACTTATACCAACGCCGTCTCGTGAAGGCGGCCTGAAGACTATGAGCTCACTTGCACAATGGAAATTCAGGAGCTCCAACATCAAGGAGCTAGGGCTTTGGCTGATGGGGCCATGGGAACGTATTGAGATGTTCGTCGCTTGCTTCCCCTCGTTGAAGTGCCTGCATCTTTTCAACCCCCAGGACACTTGCGGCAATCATTGGATTCCGTGGGTTCCTAAGGACGGGCAAGTGTCCAAGCTCGACTCATTTCTGCACACTCCGTACTATTGCAACGCATCGTCCATGGCCTACATAGTCGCCCGTGCTTGGGCGAGGGAGATAATTTCTGGCAAGCAAGCAATCGGCAAACCTCGACAGTCCGAGGCCACTCGTTGGATCGGAATTGGGCCCTGGTACATCCAAGATGACGTTGATTGGAAGTGGGAATGGGATGAGAATATGGCCCTCATGTACATTACACAATGGACGCGTCCAAAATTCTGTGGGACTATGCCAGGACAACCTAAAGTGGACAAAACGAGCCATAAATGGCTTGAGGACTCGAAGATGTGGAGGCTACTACAGGATTACATTCCTCCCAAGCCGTAGACTCTGTCTTTCATCGGGAAGCCTGTTCGACTGGTTCTTGCATGCCATGGTGGTAAGATTGGGCGGTTTGTGTTTGCTGAATGGTTGATTTTAGGGAATTTGCTACTGAATGGTTGGTGTTAGGAGATCTCGGGTGCCTTTCTTTTACAATGTCTTTCTTCTGCAATGTCTAGTGCTCGCTCTGCAACTGAGTTTCTTCCCATTACCCATGATGAGATTTGTTTCTTCAGTACTTTACCACTGCCGTGTGGGTTTATTTTTTTTGTGAGATACATGTGAAGCTGCGGGCCAGTCCAGATGGCGGCGTTGGAGCTGTATGCATTTCTGTACGAGTTTGGAAAGTCCGAGTGTCTGCATGATCTAGCTCTTAAAACGAGCTACTACCTTCACTTCCTCTTCCTTCTCCCTCGCATCCTCTCCTCCTCTCCTCTACTGAAATCTTCTCATTCTTCTTTCTTCTCGCTCTCGTTCCTTTCTACTTCCATCCCCAGTGCTCCCGTATTTCATCTCTATCACCGACTTTGGTCCGTTGCCCTTAACCTTCAAACCAATCGACAATCATACGCATAAGTCGTTCAACCATCATGTTTTCGTCCATTCTTCAGGTTCTCCTACTTATGGCTGCTCTGCCTTTTACTCTTGGAGAATACTATCGACTGGGAGGGGCTTGTGCACCGTCCTGTGAGGTTGTCTACAAGGAGGCCGGTCAGTCATACCTCCCTCCACCACACACACACTGTTCTTCCACATCGTACAATCCAAGCTAAAGCTGACTTCAAATATCTGTAGATATGTGTAAACTCAACAAAAACCCCGTGCTCTCCTTTGGTCCCCTCGGCTTCAACTCGTCCTGCCTCTGCGAACCCGATACCTTCCGCGAGAATGCTCCTGCCTGCATTGACTGCCTTTTCCGGGGTGACATCGAAGAAGGTTCACGGGATTCCCTTCTTCGTGGGATGGATGGCTGCACGAAGAGTCTTGAGCTCCCGGCTTGTCCTAATTCATGCCAGAACGTTACTGCATTGATGGCTTCTTGTGGCCAGGAGGATGCTGCGAGCTCGGCCGCTGCTGTTGAAGCTACGATGGTTCCTACTGAGGGTGCGATGGCTCCTACAGGTGGAGATCCTTTGGCCAACCCTGATGCTACGGCTACTGATGCTCCTACGCCTGTTGCTACCGAGGGGTATGATACCTCCTTCCCTTTGATGCTTTTTTATATTCCGGTGCTCATTTAATGTGTTCTAGTTCCGCTGCTGGGAAGCGGAAGAAGGTCAAGGAGGACTTCACTAAGAAATGCGTCTGCAAGCCGGAAAATCAGGAAGTGGTCCAAACGTGCTACGACTGCCTCAAGAATTATGATGTCAACGTGGCCGAGCAAGTGATCCTCCCAGTACGCCGATGTGACCCCAACTACGGTATCCAAGGACCTCTCTACCGTTACTCGAGTTTGCCGGGTGACGACGACGACGATTCACTTGGTGGCGTCAAAGGGGTAAGCCCGACTCAGTCTGATGCCAACCGCGCTCCGATTATACCTACTAAAGTACGAATTCCTCGGCCGGGAAAACAGAGGAAGAACCGCAAGCTCAAGAATTTCGCACCAAGTGGAGTCTCCGGGGTCTTTACTCTTATTTGGTGGATCGGTATTCAGATCCTTTGTGTGTTGGGCGCTATCGTGTACTTTATTATTTGAAGGTGTGTTTCTTCCCACTCTTCTCGATTTGACTGTAACTGATGGAGGGCATGCAGGATCGGATCCACCAGTGCCCATTATGTTTTCCGTGCCCTTGATGATGCTACGGATGTGCGTGGAATTGCGGGGCAACTCGGTTAAAATTCCTTAATATGCCCTTTTTGTGTTTGTTTTGTGCTTTCGATAGGCCGTTTGTTTTATTTGAGCTCGATTGCTCTATTTTTACCACATTGAGGAGACGGTTGTTTGTATTCTTCTAGATGAGACGGTCGACGAAGGGTGGAGGTTATGGTATTCTTCTACCTAGGTGAGACTGTCGACGAAGGGTGGAGGTCATGGTGGGATTGTTGATGAGGGGATGATACGTATTGGTTTACAATTGGCCACCCCCACCCCTTTCTCCTCTTTGCTTCAAGTTCGTCTGCATGAATTCGGACCATGAATCGTCGTCTGCCCTCCCGATTATCACTCGTTTCCGGCTACGTCCGGGTAACCCACCGACCCGCTTTCCAGCGTCGTCAACCAACCCGCGCCCGGCCGAACCGACCACTCGTCATTGCATCCACCACCTCCGAACTCAGAACCACCACCAAAATGGCCGGCGACCACGGAAAACGTATCCCTCCGCCACCCGCTCCGACTGCCTTCCGCTAACACCGTCACAGCAACTCTCCACGAAGACCCCGCCTTCGTCCGCTATGCCAGTACTTCCCCCCTCCCTCCCCCGGCTCAATGGGATGACGACTGATGCTGGGAAGCTCTGAATACGAACCGCTACCGCTACTTCCGCTGGACTCCCCGTACCGCCAAGTTTACATTCCTATATGTCGCCGTTATACCCACTGTCCTTGGGTACTTAGCGTTTGCTACTGATGTATGTGCTCCATGACGAGAGCGGGTGGGGATAGGAGAGGGGGATGAATTGTGGATGTGGATGAGGGCGGTGGCTAATGATGTGGGGGCATAGGGCAAATGGGAGTTCCGCGGAAAGAAGAGGGGTGATCCCATCAGGGAGTTCTAGAGCGCGCGATAAGGGTAGATTGGTGGAGGTGGGGGGTGCGCTGAAGGCAACATACGGTGCATACGGTACATACAGCTGCTGTCATGAATTGGGTGCAATTGCAAGCGCGCGCTGTAAATTGATCATCCAACTGAAATATTCTACACTGATATGGCCCCGCTCTGAAGCAACAAACGAATAAATAACGGAAACACGGAGGATGATACTGGAAACTAAGCCGAACTGAAACACGCTCATCGAATGAACATCCACTGCCATTCCAAACACAGTACAAGTAGCGATTAAGAAGTAGATGACCCCACAAGCACGCGTCTACTAATCGTGATATCTCCTCCCTCCACCGCCGCCGCCTCTCCGCCCCCCTCCGGAGCCACGTCCCATCCCCATCGGTGGGGCTGCAGTGCCTCCAAACGAATCCTCCACCTTCTCCCCACGTCTCCACTCCCCACTCGGCACACCACCAGCGCCCACGCGTCCCTCAAACCCACCCCTCGCCGCTCCCCTAACCTTAAACCCTCCGAACCCATTCTCCCTGCCCGGACCCAGAACACCGCCCCTACCGCCCGCAAACCCACCCCTCGCGCTAACGCCCCCATGGCCTTCCGGATAAACCGCGACGTCGATCCAGTCGCCGACAACAAACTGCACTTCGCTCAACGTCTTTTTCGCGGCGCCCTCGTCGCCTCCACTGCCACCCACGGCGCCCAGGTCCTTACTCGTGTACCGCGTGCCGCCGTGGCGCGTGTCGGCAAAGATGAGGCGGAAGCCGCAGCGCGAGCGCGGTGGGCACACGGCGGGGAGGGCGTCGGAAAGGAGGATCGAGAGCTCTTGTAGCGTGCAGTCTCGCCATGTGTAGATTTGGATGAAGTCCCGTGGTTGGCTGGTGCTGCGGAAGTCGTCCAGGCGGTGGAAGCCGCCTTGACGGTAGTAGAGGTGCAGTAGGAAGGGGGTGGTGCGCGCGCGGTCGACTTTGGTCGGCGGTGCGTGCGGGTGCGGTGATGACATCGTGGTTGTGCTTTGTTTTTTGGAAGGCACGACGCGGGGTGGGATGGGGAGAGGTGGAGGAGCGACGCTGGTGGTGGGATTGTCGTGTCGTGTTTTCGTGTTGGGGGTTTGTTGTCGCGAGTAGAGTTGGGAAGACGCAAGGCTGCTTGTCTCTCGGTGTCTCTTTCGTGTGTCGCGCGGCTCAAGTGAGACACACCGAAGGGGTGCACTAGTGCTTTCACGGAGGCTTTCCTTGGAAATCTTAGGGCAAAGGGTTTGGTTCAATCCATCGAATCGCACTCCGTGTTTTGGCTTTACATTCGTTTGTACAGCTCCGGTTCCTGAAGCGTCCAGTTAGCAGAAGACAGGAACGAATGTGAAAGTAGACTGCTCACTCTATGACCATCGCCACGCTTGTCAACCAAAACAGCCCCCGCCTCAACCACTCCCTCGTGAGCATGAGTAAGGAAATCACAACATGCTGGTTCAGGCTCCTATCATCGTCCAATCCAAAGTTGTTCTAAACATATCTGCCCGGTTCGCATTCTTGATTAATATTATTCGATCTAGATACCTCCTACTTCTTTACCGGAACCCAAGTCAGCAGAACCGAAATCTTACTCATATAAATCGACAAGACCACCCATGAAGGAAGAGGGCATCAGTATCGTCGTGGATAAGAAGGAATCTCTGTCTCGGGACCTGAATCCCCAGCCTCTATTGACATCTTCAGCTGGAAATCATCAGACTCAACTCAGGCTCAGTTCAGCCCAAGTCCCTGTCCCGATCAGGACGCTAGTCTACTATAGCTCGTGACATCCACGCGCCTCGGAGCCTCCCCGAAGATGGATCCCAATGCTACTTCTAATCCCGACCCCAATCACAACACCAGCAGCAACCAGCACAAACGACAACACTCTCCCACGCCCTCCTCCATCACCGACGACGAGCTCCTCGATACTCTGTTCGCACCGTGGTTAACACCGACATCCGAACCGGCGTTTAAACTCCCCCCGACACCGACACCGACGCCCACGATATCTCGTCTACCTGAAAGCGATAGCCGGAAGCGGCGCAGGATGAGCGGTAGCAGCGCGAAGGATGCTGGTGGTACCGATTCCAGGATGACGGGGAACTCGTGGTTCCCGGACATTCCGCGGATCTTGCCGCACGAGAAGGTAGGCCTCCGGCAGAATTTTGGAGGTGGATGGAAGAGCTGGTGAGCTAACTGCGCTGCGCGCAAAAGGTGTATCCCATACAGATAGGGAATCAGTTATTCCGTCTCAGGTATGTGTGGAATCTGGAGTGCTGCATTTTTTCAATTGCGCCGGGCAGCTGGGCTGACGCGGTGCGAATAGTGGAGCTTCGATATCGTCAGATGGTCAGTCGTGAGCCGCGCATCGTGTTCAAAGGCAGGAACTGAGAATTCTAGAGCTCCCTCATATTTCTCGCAGTTCTTTGAGCGGCAGTTAGCGACGATGGAGGATGGGCAGCAAATCCGCACGCTATATATCGACCGCGATCCGGAAACGTTCGGCGATATCGCAAGACATCTACAAGGTCGCAACTGGAACTGAGCTGGGATTGGAAAAGCACATGCTTATGGCGTTACAGGTTATCACATTTCTCCGAGAGACGGCCCGCATTTCGTACGGCTCTTTGCGGACGCTCAATTCTACAGTCGTTCGTGGTCCCACCATGCACACGTCTGCACGAGATATCACTGACTCTCCGTAGTGCCAAAATTAATCTCGCAACTGTTCGAATCCGAAATCTTCATCTCCATCGGCTCGCAACACTTCCAGATCAATCGTGACCTATTCCAAGCCCCCGGGAACTCACCCAACTTCTTCACTCTAGGCTTCGCCGTCTTCTTCTCCAATCCCTCCGAGATCTTCCCTGGGCTGAGTCGCGAAGGCCTGCTACGACCACCGTCGATCCTGCCTCCCGAAGTTCCCAACCGTTCAGCGGAAGTCTTTGCCGAGCTCCTCCACCTCCTTCGTGGGTATCCAGTACAAATCCGGTCAGAAGAGCACCGCCAGCAGCTCCTCCGCGACTGCAAATACTTCCACTTCAAAGGCCTCGAGCAGCGTCTGATTCCCCATGAAATCTCCTACAACCCATCTCGCGGCAAATCCGAAATTTTGATCCGCATCGAAGACATCCGGCCCAGCGGCGTCTCCTTCGTCCCTGACAGCTCCGAACCGCGGACCGGAGGGCCCACCTACACCCCGGGATGGGTCAACTACTCCCGCCCGTTCGTCGACGACCAACCGCGCGAACTAATCATCGAGATCATAGGGGAGTCCACACGAATAGACTGGCGCAATTCACGCGCCGAGTTCACCGGGATGACGAACCAGCGCGTCTCGGCGCTGCTGCAAGTGGTAACCAATAAACTCGGCCTCCCAGTTTCGCACGAGTACCCCATGGGGCTCAAAATGATCAACGACCGCATGAACGGCGCATCCTCGGGCCCCGCCAGCCCGGGGAATACTCCTCTGTCCGATGACAAAGTCAAGATCCGCATCGGCCCGGAATGCTACATCAATCTTGACGGCGAGGAGCTGTGGGACCGCGACGGCGTCCCGGTCGTCGAGCTCGACCACCACCAATATCCGCCGCCACCACCCACCACCACGGAGTCCGACAGCGACGCGGGGAGAAGCTCGCCCAGCATACAGTGGCCCTCGCCATCCCACAGTCGACCACCGTCGGCCAAGCCGCAACAGCAACCACCACCACCTCCGCCACCACCGCCACCGCTACCTCTGCAACAGAACCTGCCCATACCCCCGTCCCTCACCGCCAACAGCAAGAAGCGCTTAAAGCGCAAGGCTAGCATCGAGGACTCCCACGAGTGGATAATGAAACGTGGGCAGTTCCGGTTGCGCGTGCAGCAGAGTGGCGCGGGCAAGGGGATGGCCGCGATCCTCGTAGGCGTCAAGCTCGAGGTGCTGAGTGGCGAGTATGGAAGGAACTCGAAGAGGGGGTTTTTGACGTAAACCCGTTTGTGTACGCATATTTAGACATTCGTTTTATGAGATTATTTGGTTGTGGTTTTTTTTTCTTTCTGTTTTTCTTTCTTCTGTGGCACAGGTTTTCCCCCAACCCCGACCCCGACCCGTGGCCCTGCCCTGCCCTGCCTCTAACGGAGTGGAGTGGAGTAGGCTTGCGTTGCGGAGATCATTTTCTTTGCTTTTTTATGCATGTGTATCTATGTTGCGAGTCGAGTCGGGGAGGGGATGGAGAGGGGGAGGGTCTGGCATCTGCAGTGCATGTTAGGTACCGTATGACGCACATAAAGTCTCACTCGATATGTACGTTTTTTTTAAGGTACCAATCTGCGCAAGTGGCGTGATAATTGATTCATCCTGAGGGCTGGTGGAAGGGTGGAAGTTTTCCTGGCCACACTCCCACCAACTAACCGCCTGCAGCGCGGAGTGGGAGTTAGCTTTCATACTCTACACATCTCTCTTTGTGAAGAATCCCGTAGCTAGTATGTAGGAGGATGGTGGTAGGGGGAGCGAAGGACGCAGGGAGGGTGAGTCGGAAGGACTTACTGCTTACTGCTTGCATACATACCGCTTGGAGGCGGGTATCGGAATGGTTGTGGAAGAAACGGAAGATCTGTGTGATGGGGATGGGGACGGGGATGGCGGAAGGGTGGGGACGGCGGAAAGGTGGGGAGCACGAGTGAGGTCTCGGGTGAAGCGTGAGCGGGGTGAGGTGGGGCGGGGCGTCGGGTCAGAGCTGGTGGGGCTGGGATATGAGGTAGGTACCGTGGGTCGTGGGTGAGTGGTTGGTTGGTTGGTTGGTGGAGTTCCGGTGTGTATGTACCGTATGTACCGTGGTATGTATGTACCGTGCGTATGTGTGAACGTAGCGTATATATGGGATCTCACGATTTGTGATGATTGACACTGCCCAATCGTCAAGACCTAGCAGTCTACTCTACTACCCTACGTGTATCTAGATTCAATGATGCCGCCTACTTAGGTAGATTCAACATGATAGGTACATCTGGATACCTGTACATAACTACACACCAGCCGATAAACCAGATCAACCAGATACGCGAGCTCGCTCGTTCACTCGCGCACGGTCTGGACGAGCCCGAGCGCTGCGCAGCCAGCGCAAGATGCGATCCCCCCTCGTGATCTTGGCCAGGCCACGAGCTCCGCCTCCCTCCCTCCAACCCGGTGAGATGACCGTTCGGCCTCGACCTCAACCTTCGCCTCCAGCGCAGCACAGCGGCCTTGGTGGGGGATGCGGTCTCGGTCTCGATCTACCGTACAGGGGCGGGGTGGGGAGGGATGGGGAGGGATGGGGAGGGGTGAGGCTGCGCACGGCCCACGATGTGTAGCCCACGTGGGATCATCAAATACTAGGTAGAGGACCTATCTATGGACGGGGAACACCAGCCACGGCCCACTACTCTACTCGTTTCGTTGAGATGAGAGGAGATTCGTCATTCCGGACGTCGCGAAGTTCGAGCTCATGATCTGTATAGTACTCAAGTAGTAGGTATTCGAGTAGAGCTTGAACTTCGGGGACGAGCCGGAGATTCGACCGGATCTCCGGCTGCCCAAGTATCTACTCTGGAGTAGCTACAGGTATCTCCGCCCGACTACCGAAGCTCCGCTCCGCGACATTTGAGGCTTTCGAGGTTCGAGGTTCGCGATTCGAAGCCTAGATACCTACCTAAGTGCCTACCTCGCACATGATCTCTCTCGCGCTCCGCCAAAGCTCCGTCCATGCATGCATCCGAAGCTCTCTACATACCACCTACGTACGTGGCGGAATACCTACCTATGTTTCTCAGCCCTCCACCGGATCTCCCGGGTCGTGGCCGTGGTGTTTTGTGTTTGTAATGGTGTTAGGTCCGCCAGCCACGTTCCGCCAAGGTACGCGAGTCCGGCGGGGCGAAGTAGAGTAGTTAGTGCTGGTCTCGACCGCCCGCCGCCGCCGCGACTCGCCGCCGTCCTACTGTGATGTATCTAGGGACGACTTCCGTGACCTGCAACTCCGCTGCACTCGAGTCCACCAAGGGCGGTCAGTCGGCTGAAAGGGCGATGGGCGGAGGGGGAGGGTGGGAGGGGGGAGGGGAGTTCTTCCGTCCCGCAGAGCAAGTAGAGTATGTATTACTCAACACGATCGTTCGTTCCGCCCGGCTCGGATAAGTTAAGCCGGGTATGTCGAGTACCGTATGTATCCCTCGAATTCTCCGAGTGGTGTGGTCACTCTCTCGAGTGGGGACGGATGGTGGGATGGTGGGATAGTGGGGAGGTGGTGGTGATGGGAGGAGGATGTCGCGTGTAGGGGAAATCAATTAAAATCCGAGCTCGAGGGACTCTCATAGGTTCGATTGGATAGCCCCCCCTCCCCCCTCCCCCCTCCCCTCACCCTCTCTGTTTTCCCGCCCAGCTAGCGTGGGTTTAGGGGCCGAGCGAGACTCGAGAGAGCACTGCATGGCTGGAGTTGCCATTTGGAGATTCCGTACCTAACCATCCATCCAACCTTCACCTCTATCTTTTTTGTGTTGCCTTGCCTTGCCCTGCGGGAAAAGGAAAGAATTGCAAATCATGTGGAATTGCGCAAGATGCTGGGCGGGTAGAAGTATGCATGTATGTATGTGTGCCTGTATGTATGTGTGTATGTATGGACGTGGGATGTATGGGAGGTTGCGAATCGGAAGGGTTGCAGGAAACCCACCCCACGCTGCAGGTCTTTGAAACTGGATGAGGATGGATGGAGTTGAGACTGCGGCTCTCCCATGTGCGAGTCTAGTTACTTTGGTGGCTTTTTTCTTCTTTCTTTCTTTCTTTCTTCTTGGGAGAGGAGGGGGAGGGGAGGGGAGAGAGGGTTCTCGCATTGTCTGTCTTGACTTTGGTGAGACATGGAGTACTTGACACGCGCAGGACAGGGGGAATTGGACAGGAGGAGGCGTGAGGAGAGAAGGGGTGGGTGGCTCGTGAGTGGCAATGACGTGTAGATCTCTTTTTTCGAGAGGAATCTGAGGCTTGAGGATGTAGGCAGAGTATGTAGAGATGGGGGGGTGCTTTAGGTGCGAGTGCAAGGGCCTGAGAAGGCCTACTTAGGCGAGTACGATCATGATCGAAGGTGCGGCGTAGAGTAGGTGCCTAAGCAGATATCCCAGGAAGGTACTGTACCACAGGATGTGGGGGGAAATGGGGATGGGGGAAGGGGGAATGGGGGCAGATGGGCCGGAAGGCAGATCATTGGAGGCCTGGAGAAAGACCCGTTCAATACTATATCGATCGTGTTGGCCATCATCATCATCATCATCATCATCATGTGTGGATTCGGTCATCGATCTTGTCTTCTCCGAGTGGTTTCCGCATGATTGCAAGCAGATGCGGCTGGCCGGATGGACGCAATCGCAACGCCGCGGATGTGCGGATCCATATCCATCCCAACACTCGAGGAACTCGGGGAACTCGGATCATGATCGCTGAACGGAATTGAATTGAAACGAAACGAAACGAGGAAACGAAAAAGTTTGTGGGATTAGTCCTGTCCATCCGATCATCGTCCACCTGGCATCATTTGTCACAAGACGTATGTCTGTACATAGGATACCGGTACTTGCACTTGGTTGTGTACCTCTACTCCAGATATGTAGATACTCCGGCACTTGATGTGATGGTCTCCGCATGGTACTTTATCGACTTGCTAGGTACCATGGCAGTAAGTCTCTCAAGCAAGCGTGTACTGTAGGTACTATGTGATAGCTCATGGAACATTCTCTGCCTGCAATGGTTCTGCAGACAGAAGGGCGACGGCGCGAGTCAATTCTGTTCCATGTTTTGCCTGTTCGTTGCTATTATTCAGCCCCAATCACGTACCGTACCGTTCCAACATCATCCATCCGCCCCTCCCTCACAGAAAGAAAAAAAAACCAAAAAAAAAATAAGCAAGCAAGCCATGCACCCGTCCGGCATCATCACCACAACCACCGCACTAATAGCCGCTACCTCCGCTAACTATCTCAACCTCCGCCATCTCCATCTCCGGTCCGCCATTTGCAATACTCACCATATCCTCCGCCCCACCACTTACGGCAACATGACAAGCAAGCTTTTAGCGACGGTCGTCGGCAAGCATGCCATCGATCATTGAAAGGAAGCGCTTACTTGGTTTGCATGTGGCTGCTCTAAATGCAAGTGGCCATCAGATATATGCAATGTTCTTCACCCCGAGAAAAACTTCCCTCGCCCTTCCATCATATATCTGAGTACTTGTCCGCACACACCCTCTTCCTCCCTCTCCCTCTCCCTCTTCCTCTTCCTCTTCCCCTCTCCCTCTCCTCCTGTCCATCCTCACCTCGCAGTTCCGAGATCTAGACAGCCAGCCCACCACTGCCCCCACCACTACCACCACCTCAAAACCGCCCGCCCGCCCCCATACCCTGTCGGATTTCTACACCCTCCACTTTACCGGTGCTTTCCGTTCGCACGGGTCAGTTCCGTCTGACAATTCAAATCATACCACTGCGCACCACCACCACTGCCACAACAAAAACCAACCCGCCATCCTGTTGATTTGAAACCAATTCTTCCTCCGCCTTCTCCTCCTCTTGCTCTTCTTCCTCCTCCTACTTCTCCTTCTCTTCTCTTCCTCTTCGCCTTAAACGCATCCATTGAGCATCTTCTTTACACCTACCATACCTACTACGACACGCGCACGGCACTTTTTGCCGCTCAATTCTAAACCTCGAACGTCGTCATAAATATAATTTTTGAACGATCCGCATAACCTCGTCCTTATCCAGTCAACGCCCGTGCAGTAATTGCGCACCGAGTCCGAACTTACCACCAACAACCTTTCGAACCTACATCGACAACATTAAACTCTCCCCATGTCGACGGCCAATCGGCGCCGTTATACGTCATCCGACATGGCGTCATATCACCGAGAGTTGGCGAACTTCAGGGCGACGGACACTGTGATTGTAGGTACAGAGAGATATCACTCGCCCAAGTTTTGTTGTATTGGTGTTTAAGAGAGGGCGCCCAGGGCTTTTCGGGGAGCCGGGAGGAAAAAAAGAAAAGAAAAGTTGCATTTTTGTGATGAATGGAAGTGCTGACTAGGGTTCCCTTTGTTCTTCACAGGAAACGGACCTGCGGCTTTGTTTCTGAGCTATATGCTGCACGGCAACGTACCGAGGTACGATCCGATCACACATGGTCCGCACCCGGACGCGGTGCTGCACGGCAAGCTGTCGAAGGAGGTGAACACGCCGCTGTACGATGTACTCGATTCGCAGAAGTCGTGCGAATACCTGACGGAGCACTTCCACGCCTCCAACCACTCGTACTCGACTCAGGCTCTCCCGGTGAATACGTTGCTCGACACGCTGCTGCGTCCAAACGCGAACACGGAGATTGGAGAGTTGAAGTCTCGGTTGCGGTGGGAGCGGAATCCCGCGAAGCGCGTCGACCATATCGTTCTGGGATCTGCGGCGGAATCTGGAGGCCAATGGACCGAAGAGCCAATTTCGGCAAATTGGGACATCGGCACACTGAGGTATTACCAATCCATGCTCTTTCTTGCGGCTTGGTAACTGACCCATGTGCCCCCCCAGCTATGCCGAGATGTTTACGCTGCCGGGATATTCGTTTCCTGAACATTACAAGCGAATTCACAAGAAGCAGCTGCCCGATCTGATCCGACCGACGCGTCGAGATGTCGCCTCGTATTACGCTGCCTACCCTAAAGCCGTCGGAATCTCGTCGGCGTTATACTGCAACACTAATGCCCAAAAAATCACGCGAAACTCGCAGGGATTCACGATCCGGGTGCAGCGACGGAAGTCCGGTGAACCATTCGTGATCGTGTGCCGACACCTTGTGCTTGCCACCGGAATCTTCACCTTCACCATCCCCCCACCCCCGATCTTCCTCCCTCTGCTCCAGAAGCCCCCACAGATTCCCAATCTGCGGTCCGACGCCCTGCCGATCCTCGTCGTGGGGTCCGGTTTCACCGCCGCAGATGTCATCCTCAGCCAGAATCCCGGCAGGAAGATTATCCACATATACAAATGGATGCCTTCGCGTCCGAGTCCACTGAAAGGGTGCCATCCCCAGGCATATCCCGAGTACGCGCAGATCTACCGACAAATGAAACTGGCCACACTTCCCGCGAGCGCCCGCGGGGCCGCTACACCCCCGCTGCAACAGGAATGCAGCCGCGACTGGAGCGCCAATTACGAGGGCTTCCCGAACGCACAGGTCATCACCGTCTCGGCGGATGGCCAGATCAAGATCCTCACCGCAGACGACGAGGTGATCGAGCGGTCCGTGTCGGAACTCAAATACTGCGCGGGGCGCAAAGGGAGTCTTGGGTACCTTTCCGCCGAGCTACGGAAGGAAGTCGGAGTCGTCGACGCCGCGTGGGTTTCGGCGGACACGATGCGGAGACGAGTTGAGTCGGATCTCGAAGTCGCGTCGAATGTTTTCGTCGTCGGCTCCCTGACGGGCGACTCACTGGTGCGTTACGGACTCGGCAGCTGCGTCTACGCCGCCGGCAGGATCGTCCGCGATTTTGAGCGGGATCGGTCGGCCATCGAAGCCGCCGGTGGCGTGCAGGGTGGCATCGACAGAGGTGTCGGTATCGTTGTCAACAAGAACGATAAGACGTGGGGGGGCTGCACGATTTGCTGATTGTTATTCTTGCTATCTACCTATGCATACATCTAACTGTTCTATCTATCTATCTAGAAGGGGTGGGGGGTGGCGTGGCGTTTGTGTTTTATACCAGTGTTGTTGGCGGGAGTCGGTTTCGTTTTTTTTTGTGTATTTTTTTTTGGTTTTTGGTTTTTGTTTCGAAGCGTCATGTTTTGGATAATGTTAGATCCCGACTACTTACATACCTATCGCTGGATGGTTATTTGTGTGCTCTGCCTTTGCCCTCTGTTCCGTTCTGTTGTACATACATATAAACTAAAGTCCCGTCCTGTGCCTGTGCGGTGGGATTGGCATGGGAGTGTATATTATAGGTTCGAAGCCGGTGCTGGAGCAGGACAGCGGAACTGGAGAGTCGTGTGGAGAGTCGTGTGGAATGTTTGCATACTATAGATACGGGGAGGATACGGTGCCCGAGGAGAAGGTGTCTGAGAAGGAGGAGATGGCTCGAAGTGAGCCTGGATAGATAGAGTACATAGAGTACATAGAGTACAAAGCACGTTTCCGTTCTTTCGAGGTGCAATTGCCATGGTCTAGATAGTCGGGTCGCATGCAATGATAATCATCAATGAATCATGAATGAGCATGAGTAAACAAAGTCCTCGAATACCCGCCACAAGCCGCAGCATATGTGTGACGGTGACGCGCTCATGGGTGCGCCTGCTTGCTGTGGCTCACTGGCTTGCAGTTGGGTTGCAGTTGGGTTGGAGTTTCGCACTTGGCCTGCCTTATGGATCATACTTACACTTTACATGAAAAGTCAGTCCGTCAGTCGTCAGTCCGGACTCCGAGCCTGAGTTTGAGTCTGGAGTCTAGAGTTTGAGTTCTCTCGAATCATGCTCGAATCATGCTCGAATCATGCATGCATATTGCATATTGCATGTGCCATCATCTATGGGACGAACATGTTTCCGTTTCTGTTTCTGTTTCCGTTATCATTATCGTTTAGGCTGCGCCAGACTCGAATGCGCCACTGTAAGACTGTTCTTACTCGACCGTTTTATGATCTCGGTTACTCTAACTTTAACTCTAGTTACTCTACTGAGTCAACTCTAACCAGCGGGTATGTCCAGACTCCCTCCAGAGAAGAGAGGAAGTGGTAATCACACGCGGACCGCGGTGGGGGAGACCACTGGTACTCTATACAACCCCCCACAGTCCCACTGCTGCCCGCGCTCATTCATCGTGATCGTCATCGTCGACTTCACATCGTACCATATCCACCACATAGGTAAGTAAGGACATACTCTGGTAGAGAGTTACCCCACGCAGCGCACGCGAGGTCTACTAGAGTTCTACAATACCTAACGCATTGCTATACTAAAATTCAAAGGTACCCCACACTGCAGCGCACTCACTGCACTCACTGCAGACTACTACTCTACGGTAGTAGTAGCAGTTGCCATTGACCGTCTCCATACATATATATATACACAGACCCCCACACGCCCCCATAGTTACCCACCCCCATCCCCACCATCCCCCACACATGCCCCACCCCCATCCTCATCGCCTAGGTATGTAAACCGAAACGCTCTCGGTTCAGTTCGTGGCGGGTTATGTATAGTATAAAAGTTTGCCATCCGCTGCCTGCGGAGGATCGATCGTGATCGTGGAGTTTAATCTTTGTCTCTTTTTTTTTCTTGGGTTCGTTTGGGTTCGTTTGCGAGAGGGGGTGGGGATGGGGTGGAGGTCGTTTACAATCGGGCGGGGGGCGGGGGATCAGGTGGCTTGTTTAGAGGAGATGAGGACGAGGACGAGGAAGACGAAGAGGTGGGGAGGAGTAGAGTGAGGAGGGGGAGAAAGCGGCGGAGGGGGAGAAAGCGGCGGAGGAGAAGCAGGGACGGACGGAATTGAACGAGCGGAGAACCGACGACTGACGCTGTGTCACCTCAAATTCCCATTGGCAGCGATCGATCGTATGTAAGTGCCAACACTCACCCATTTCAACTCAATGGACGGAGACGAGGACGGTGGGTCGCGTGCGCTCGTTCACCCTTCCTCGTCGTGGGTTTGAACTTTGGGGGGTTTGGGGGGCTTCCTCCGCTGCGACCCAACCCGAGTCGAGTTGTCGAGACTCGAGGCCGGATGCTCCAGACCAGCAGCAGGTACTCTGAGTGCGGGTACGGCCGCCAGGCGAGCTTGCTGCGTAACTCCGACGCGAGATTGACCAGTCGAGCTCCGTAACTCCGAGAGGACTCCGCCGCCCACCGCCCACCGCCCGCCACGCGGAAAGACGAGCGAAGGAAAACTACCGGTACATGACTACCCCCGCACACCCGCACACCCGCACGCACCCGCACACCCGCCGGCCCGCCCGCTACCCACCCACGCGGCCGAGGTTGCTGACTTAACCGCGTGTGTAAGCACCTATCACGGTACGGTACGGGTCCCCGTCGTACGACGGCTACTAGTAAATAGACTGTGATGTGATATCGTGAGGCTAGAGAACGGGGACGGAGACGGTGGGGCGAGGGTGCAGAGTACCGTAGGCACGTACATATGATCTAGGTGGGCATGATGGTATGCGTGGGCGATCACTGCAGACTCGAGAGATGAAGACGAAGACGAAGATGAAATTTGGCTGCAGCTTTCATCTTTCATACACAGCGGTGGAGATATGTACCTTCCTACATAACCCACATATCTAGGTGTCTACTCGTGCTAGCAAAGGTACCGTAGATAGTATCATAGTAGCCTCGAAGACGCTCGTGAATGGACGACGTCTAGATGCGCATCCAGCGGCGCCGAGACGCCTTCCCGACTCCCGAGACTAGGTAGTAGAGCACAGTAGAGCAGCTCGGCTTTTCCGCGCCATCCCCCTAGCTAGAGTACAGTAGCATCGCTTTCGCCTTCATCTCTTCCTGCTTCATCTCTTCCTGCTTCATCTCTTCCTGCTTCATCTCTTCCTGCTTCATCTCTTCCTGCTTCATCTCTTCCTGCTTTATCTCTCCATGTAGATATGCATCGTCGTCGCTCTCGAACGCCCCACTCCCCACTCGCAACGGAACTTTGGGTTGGGATTGGGGTTGGGGGCTGAGGGGTTGGGTTATGGTTGGCCGTTTGGGTTGACCGTTTCGCCGTTGGTGGGGGCTGGCTGGGGATCGTCGGATCGGATCTGTGCACGCACGCACGACCTGGCGACTCGAGTATCTACTCCATCTATCCATCTTATCTGCCGCAGTGTGGCGCACGGGCACGATCGTTCGTGACCTTGACCGTGACGTGCAAATCTCACGATCTTGATGCGGATGCCTGCTGGGCGTGCAAGACTGCTGGGCGACCGGGTATCCGCGAACCGAACCGCCACAGCCGTTGCGAGTGTGGCCAATTCATTCAACCAAGTCGTGGGGCTGGTGGGGGTGAGTGGGAGTGGGGGGAGAGGTTGCGATTTCCGTTGCCATGTATTTCCGTTGCCATTCCCGTTTCCCATCTGTTGCCCCCCCACCGCCTACCGCCCACCGTCCACCGCCCACTACCCGCACCCACGGAACCTACCATCTCCACGGACATCCTCTGTCTCCCTCTCCCTCCCATCCTCTCGCCAGGAGCCACAGCCGATCCCCCGAGACCCTCTTTCCCTCTTTCCAGGGGGGGCGCACAGTGCGGCTCAAAAGCTTAAATCCTAGCGCCCAACCGCTCCACCGCACCACCGCAGAAATTCGAGGGACAGGGACAGGGTCGGGGGGGGGGGGGCTGGAATTATGTAACAGCGTCGTTTCTTTCTCTGGCTCCTCTGGCGCGAGCGCTCGGACTTCGGGGGTTCCGGCTGCTGCTCTGGTGGATGGACGGACGGGGGGAGGGAGGGGAGGATGGGGGCAGGGGAGGGACGAGGGGGCAGGGGAGCGGAAAAACCGATGGATGGATGGACTCTGCTTTCTTTAGGCTGCGGATTATGTATGTGGTTAGAGCTTGGAGGGTTAGAACTTGGAGGGCTAGTCGGCGCTGGTCCGGCCCTGGCCAGGGAACGCCAGGGAACGAGGGAACTGGAAGCTTAGGTCTTGGGTCTTGGATCTTGGGCGCGAAGAAGCGTAGAAGCGTAGAAGCGTAGAAAACAGCATGGGCTGACGATGGGATGAACATGACGACGGATACGCAGGGGATGATTATCGCGATCCGCCATCTTGATCTGCTGTTATTATTTTGGGGGTTTTGCCACGGCGAGTGGTCACTGGTGATATGCTGAGCTGTGCCAGGGCAGACGGGAAGTTGAGTTGCTGTTCCTGTTGTTGTTTCTGATCGGATCGCAATGATTCCCGCATCTCTCCTCCAACCGGTACCTACATCTTCTTGCTTACCTTGGTACTCTCCTCCAACCAGTGCTCCATGGCCCGCATCACCCACATCACATCACATCACGTCCTCCATGCACGTATGTACATACGTCGTACGTATCTACTCCACCGCCGAGCAGAGTATCTAGAGTACCTACTCTAGCCTCTGTATGTACGAGCTGCACTTGGTTCTGGCAGTGGCACTAACTAGCTGGCTCTAGAGTAGAGTAGACGTCGTTTAGTTTAGTTCAGGGTCCCGCAGCGGCATCGAGCGACGAGCGCTGACCCAGCTACACATGATAGGTTCCGTATCTAGTCGTATGTGGATATCTACACAGGATCCCACGAATCCCACGAAGAACCGTCGAATCCACCGAGCATCACTGGCACTGGTGCCTGCTCTACATGCATCCGGGCTACGGACGGACAGGCTACATCTACGCACACACATACATCCATACATGTGTAGATAGACGGGTCACCATCCTCTCCTTGCGCCAGTGCGAAGGCCCACACCGAGATGAAGGCCGCTCGCCCGCCTAGCGAGGCACCACCAGAGGCATCGAGGGGAGTGGAGCGCTGGTGGATGGTGGATGGGCACGCTCGATTACATGTGCCGTCGCCCAGCACAGTCGCGTGTCGTGGCTGAACCTTATTTTTCGAATGGGGCAGCTCGCTGAGTGGGAGTGGGCGGACGCGGACGCGGGCGGACGGGCGGGGGCCGACCGACCGACCGCTTTGGTTTTGTTTGGGGTTTTGTTTGGGACTTTGCTGCAGATGGTGGATGGCCTGCGGGCGACGGCCGATTTCTCACGATGGCCGTTGCGGGTTGACACGGTACTCTACCCAGGTATGTCCCCCAGCACGAACAGGAGGAGCGGGGAGGGCACGAGAGTGGGAGGGCGAAAGAGGCGAGCGAGCCCTTGCCCTTGTTCGCTCTCCTGTTTCTCCGGGTGGCGTCGGTCTGGTCGGAGCGTTCTCTCCTCATCCTCCTCCTCTCCTCATCCTCCTCCTCTCCTCCACCCTCGCGGATAAGGACGATGGCCACTATGGCCAGGATTACCAAGCTAATCCGACCAATCACCGGCCGGCCGGCGAGTGTCTGGCCAATCAGACGGGGTTTCGTTATCTTCGCATTCCAATCCACCCTTCCCTCCCTCCCTCCCTCCCTCCCCCCCTCCCCCCCTCCCTCCCTCCCTCCCTTCCCCCTCTCCCCCCTAGCGAGCGAAGAGCGAAAGGCACTTTAACTACTGTACTCTACTCTAGCTGCGTGAGAGCGAGAGCGCGATGCAGCTCAATCAAAACGCCATGCGCGTTCGTTGCGTTAGGCCGGAGTGGGTGGTTGCGCATGAGAGCAGGAGCCGGACATGGTGAGCCCGGGAGTGATCCCCTTATCCCCCCTTCGTCCTCGTCTTCGTCTTCGTCGTCGTCTTCGTCGTCTTCTTCTTCTTTGGCTTCGGCTTCGTCTTCGTCTCATACATTCAAACTAGTGACCACTCTACTCTACGTCGACATCCCCTTCGTCCCAACTCTGTCCGTCCGTCGTCCTTGTCCACAAAACACAAAACTGCCATCCAGACCGGAGACAGCCTAACTCTACACACTCGAGCCCATACTCTAGAGTAGATAGCAGGAACGCTACCGTAACTCGTGAAGCCTGAAGCCTGAAAAGTGTGAAGCCTGAAGCCTGAAGCGTGAAAGTCTCGAATCTGAAGTCTGAAGCTTGAAGCCTGAAGCCTGAAGCCTACCTTGCTACTTGATTCCACGCTGTTCCCACCATCCACTACCCACTATCTTCCCACTACTCACTACCCACTACTCACCTCACTACTTGTACGGCCACCCGCACACAAGTCCACTCGCCTTCCCGCTACTCCGGCTTCCGTCCCCCCCCCCCCCCCCCCCCCAACAAAAAACCCCCGTTACCCAAGTGTTCTCCCCGCTGCTCCTTCGTCCGCCGCCTACGTACCCTCCACCAACTACGCCCTCGGATCCGCCGTAAATCGGATCCTAAACATTGAGAATATCCTAAGTGGTTGTGTGCATCCTATACATACTTCATACTTGCTTGCCTACATACTCATACATACATCCGCACCCACCACCACCCCCCCATAAATCGCCGGTCTGGCCAGCCGATAACATAACATAACATCCCACCCCACCACTTCCACCACTCACTTCCACCTCCTCAACCCTACCCACTCATAACCTACCTACTTACCGACCTACATACATACTCCTTGCTTATCCACCGCCAATCCATTCCACTCTCCTACCTCCTGCTCCTCCTCTGCTGCTTCCTACCTCCTACCTCTTACCACCCTTCTCCTCAAGCTCCACCCTTTTACAGCTCGCACCCATCCAACCCATCATCGATACCTCACGCGACTCGCGGGACCATAACACACTCTCGGGACCATAACCCTCACTCTCGAATCCACCACTACCACCACCCGTCCACCCACACAAGCACCATGTATCACCAGCCACCAGTGCGCCGCCTGAGCACCCAGAGCGCCCAGAGCGCTCACAGCACCCAGTACTCCCCCCAAACGTCGCCGCCCAACACCGCGAACGGTTTCCCTCAGCACAACCTTATCCCGGTACCCTGCCGCCAATTGCACCCTCCAAAGTCGCCGCTCTACCGTCCCGCGGTGCTGCGCGCCATCGACCACATCTCGTCGTCGCGACCGACCACTGGCTCGTCGCTGCTGTCCACCTCGCCCAAGTCGGTAACTTCAGCCGACCTGTTCGGCGACTTCAAACGCGAGGCCGAGTACAACGATGACTTTGAGGATGCGATTGGCGATGACGTCTGTGAGGAGGAGGAGGACGCGGGCAAGGTTACTGGACCGCCGAAGAGACAGCACTGGAAGGTATGTTGCGCTGCATTCTCTCTCTCTCTCTCTCTTGGTTATGGTTGTGGTTCCGGGCTGTTATATATGGTTGGAATCCGGCCACATCTGGTTGGGTGGTGACGGGACCCTGCTTGGCTCTTGCGTGCTGTCCCTCTTGCGTGCTCGGAACGTAATCGCTAACGCCTCTCGCGTGCCCTTCCAGCCTGACGCCGAAGCTGCCATCTGCGATTCTCCCGCCTGCATCAAGCAGTTCACATTCTACGTCCGCCGACACCATTGCCGGAGGTGAGCTCCCTCCCCCCTGATACCGTGCATCCCACGCCACACGAGGCCGAATGGAAAGCTGACAATATCGGTTAGGTGCGGCAATGTATTCTGCTCCCAGCACGCCTACCACTTCCTCCCGCTAAACCAGAACGGCCGCGTCCATCCGGAGGGAACCTCCTCCAGGGTCTGCGACACATGCTACGGCGACTACCGACGGATCCGTGCTGTCCGCCGCACCGGTTCGATGAGCTCCAGCTCCACCAGCTCGACGCTCTCCGGCTCTCCCCCGAGCAGCATTGGCATGGGCATCAAGCCGATCCCAAGACGCATAGATGATGTCGCTGGACTCGCGGGCAAGGTCGGCAGCTATGTCGGCTCCGTTCCGAGGGATTGGAGCTGGAGCACGTTCTAGACTGCTCGAGACGACCACGGCTCTTTGCTAGTCGCCCTGCCTCTCGCTCTCAACAATCAACCATCAACCATCATTAGCCATACGACCCATAACACCCGATAAATAATTCTCACACACACACACACACACACACACACACACACATCAACAACAAAGTATGCAGGGCACAGAGTTCAGACGGGAATGTGACTATTCTTGCTTCTTTTATCCACCATAATCGAACCTGGGCCTGACAATACTATTTCCCACCTTGTTTTTTTCTATTTTACCCCTCCTCCTCCGCGCGTAAGCATTTCCTGTGCGGGGGGCTTGCGGTTGAGTTCCATTTTCTCCATGCAGGCATGTTTTCTTCCATTTTACCCCCCACGATTTATTTGGTGGATTTTTTTCCTTTTCCATTTCCATTTACATTTTACTATGTTCGGGGGGCTGGTTGATGGGCTGGTGGGCGGCGGCGGCTATTTGATTTTGATTTTCCCGCATTTGTGTTCGCATCGCATCTTTCCCGATTTTTTGCTGTGTTTTTTTGATAATGTTTATATATAGATGGGGTACGGGAGTTCTCTGGGTGTTTTTTTTGTGTTTCATTTTTTCTGTTTCGTTTTGTTTAGCGGGGCGGGGGTGAGGAGGAGATGGCAGTTGGCAAGTGGAAGACGGGGGGTTGGGGATTGGGATATCTGCCGCGTTCGTTCGGGAGAAATGTGGGGGAGGGACGGACGGGGGACGGGGGACAGGATGAACGGGGGGACGGGAGGTAGACAGCGATTATTTTTTTGTTGTTGTTTAAAGGTGATGGCGTTGGACTTGCTTTTTTGCATCGTGTTGTCTTGGATGGCCTACATATGGGACTTTAGACGGTGGCAGTGCGGGGCCGTTGGAGGAGGGGGAGGAGGGGTGAAGACGGGAGGGGACGAGGAGGGGGGTTGTGTAACATAGTTATCGGCGCCGTATAGTCATCTATGAAGGTTGAACAACACTTGAAACAACGAAACGAAACGGTAAATATTGGCGTCAGTGGTGTGTGTTTGTGTGTGTGTATGCGACTACGTATACACGGGTGCGCTGGCCGATACCGGGCAATCGCAATAGAGGGGTCTATGTAGAGGGGTCAAGATGGTAGGTGAGATCTCGTGATGTACCGTAGGCATTACGTTTTAGAAGATGGGATCGTTTTTATCCGCGTTTAGAGTTTCCAATGGGCCCCCAGTTAGGGATTGTAGAAGTGCCGGGCTGAGATGCTTAACTACATTGCTTGGTGACACGGGAAGCTCGTGGGCTCGTGGGCGCGGGCAAGGGACAGGTGCGGGACAGGTGATGGCTATGGGTGCAGCAGCGAAGCCAGCGACGCCAGCGGAAGGGAGGAGTGCGACCGATTGACCAGCTGACTGACTGACCGATTGACATGACCGGCTGAACCGACTGATTGAGATGACTAATCGACGGCGAAGGGGCGTTTGTCGTGCTTGCTTACTTGTTTTGTTCCATCGTTATTTCGTGTGTTCGTTGGTTTGCTGGTTCGTGGTTTGTTCCATCGCTGGTTCGTGGTTTGTTCCATCGTGGGTTCGGGGGGTAGGCTGCCGGTTCGTTCCATCCCTGGTTCGTCCCATCGTGGTTCGTCCCATCGTGGTTCGTTGCATAGCTGGTCCATAGGCCCGTTCTATTGCTAGTTCGTTGGTTCGTCCCATCGCCGGTTTATTGGTTCGTCCCATCGTTGCATCGTTCCATCGCCAGTTCGGGGGGTAGGCTGCCGGTTCGTCCCATCGTTAATTCGTTCCATCGTTCGTTCGAGGTGTAGGCTGCTGGTTCGTACCATCGTTTGGTCGCCGGTTCGTGGGTTCTTTGGTTCGTTCCATCGCTGGGTTGTTCCATCGCTGGCTGGTTCCATCGCTGGCTGGTTCCATCGCTGGCTGGTTCCATCGCTGGCTGGTTCCATCGCTGGCTGGTTCCATCGCTGGCTGGTTCCATCGCTGGCTGGTTCCATCGCTGGCTGGTTCGATGGTTCGTTCAATGGAGTGGAGTGGAGAGGGGGGGGGGGTGGAGGGGCAGGCCGCCGATTACACGCAATCGTGACGATACTCTCGATACTTATCACTAAGCGTGAGCGCGCGGGGGCCGAGGACGGGTGGATGGCGGGTGGATATATGATATGGGAGCTCGAGTGGGAGCCGGAGGATGGGTGGGCTAGAGCTCGAGTGGGAGTTGAGTGGGAGCTCGAGTGGGAACCGATAGAGTACCGGTAGGTGAATGGGAACCGATAGAGTAGGTGAATGGGAGCTCGGAAGGCGGAGGACGGGTGGACTGGAGCTCGAGTGGGAGCTTGAGTGCGAACCGATTGAGTACCGATTGAGTACCGATATGTAGGTTAATGGGGCTCGGAGGGCGATTGAACATTGGAGCTCTAGTTGGAACCGATACTAGCGTGAATGGGAGCTCGAAGGGCGAGTGGCCACGGTAAGGTAGCGATCTATCGAGTGAGCGGCGGTGCGGGTTTGAAGTAAACGGGTGAGATTTCGTGGTTGGACTTCTTTGGACTTCTTTGAACTTTTTTGGAGTTGAGTTGAGTTGGATTCGGAGTTGGTATTGGTGTTGGCAAGGGCGGGGACACAGGAGATGGTATGGGGTGCGGGATGGAGTATGGGATACGGGATGGGGTATGGAATACGGGATGGGTATAGGATACGGGATACGGGATGGAGTATAGGATATGGGATGGGATACGGGATGGGGTATGGGATACGGGATGGAGTATGTGATACGGGATGGGGTATGGGATACCTATGGGAGATGGGGTACGATGCTAGTGCCCGCGAGTACTCGGAGAGTCGGAGACAGAGAGGATAAGTGCGTTTCCGGATTGCCATCGTCTTTCACGTATCACTGGATAACTACTCCTGTCACTAGTCTAAGCAGTGTACGGTAGTCACGGTATTGATGGCAGACTCGTGATATTGTCTCCCATCTTGAACCCCTCCCTGAGATACCCATTGGCCTGGCCCGGACTGGCCACAACGAAGAGATGCTTCCGGTCCCTATAGGTGTGGTGATATGCGTAAAGCCACACCCGCCTCTAGAGTCTAGACCGCTTTTCTTTCTCGGGTTCTTGTGGTCACCGTAAAATTCAAGCCCACCACTGCCGCTTCCTCTTCCTTTTTCTAGCACCAGCGTAGGGCTGGGTGTTCGTCACAAGGTCAGTATGAATCATCGTGTGGATCATCGATATTGTTGGTAGATATGGAAGCTGTTACCGACAAAAACCAAGGAGATATATAGTAGGCAGCGACTGTAGGTACTGTGGTACATACTAGGTCGTGGTTCCTGCTGTGCGGATACGAGGCCTGACTTATTTCCACCGGATGGATGTATCGACGTTGGACGAGGAGGAGGAGGAGATCACCGTTGAGCGAGCACCGTCTCAAAGCGAAGACCTAAGCTTCCAAACCTGTCTCCTCGCCCCCTCGTACAGTGCGGCGATTATAGAAGACCGCTTACTTTCACCCCGAGGAGCATGACATGCTACAGCTGACATGTTGGATTTCCAATCAAGCAACCATGAGTCCAGTACATTCCGAGCTCTTCGCCGGAGCTTATACACACCGTGGTATCGGTATGTGCGTTCCCACGGATGAGTGATGAGTGATATGCAATCATCAGTACTCATACAATGTATGTACTCATACTTATTGCGGATACCGGAATATCCCATAGCCCCCCAGAATAGGTGAGAATGAGTGACAGCCCATGACCGTGGCGTTGGGTCATCATTAAGCGCGCCACCTTCTCCGCCACCTTCTTCGCCACTTCCTTCGCCCTCGCCTCTCGGATGAACGCGTGGCTGACTGGCTTACCACATAAATCATACATGGACTTGGAACGCGACGCTGATGACTACACATTACACATTACACATTACACACGCCCACTCGGATCCACTCCACTCCACTCCACTCCACTCCACTCCCCTCCATGTGCGAACCCGCCATACGGTACGGAGACAAATACCCGCCCGGCGCCCGCCCTCGCACCCCGCCGATCTCTCCCTCTCCCCCCGCCCTCCCCACCCTCCCGCCGTAACTAGTCTACCTAGTCCACCTACATATAAGTGCACCTACGTACGGCACACTCCAGCGTCGTCGTCATATGTACATACGAGCTCTCAAATGTACCCGTTTCCCGTTTTCCACTTCCGTTCCCGCTCCACTCTACTTGTACTCCACCCCCGCCCCATCCCGCCGTCCTCCACTCCACTCCACCCCCGGCTGCATGTCAGATATCGATAGGTGGGCATCGCGATCTAATCTGTATCTGTATCTGGTCCGTGATGGGGTGTGGTGTGGAGGGGTGTAGAGGGAGATGGTGTGCCGCAATCTTGGGTGGGCAGATACACTTTCATACACCTCCACCGACGCCGCCGCCGCTGCTAGTCGTTACTTGAGCTGCCCATCCCCCGCCGACTTCGTTCGGGGATGCGCGTGAGTGAGAGAGATGTCGCTGCCAGATCAGCGCCTTGTAGTATACATACCACGCCCGCCCGGCTCGCCAACCAGCCTGCCAGCCTGCCAACCAGCGAAGACGACGACAGCGAAGTCGACGACGACAGCGCAGAGAGCCGTCAGCACTCCGGACTCCGTCGTGTTTGTCGTCGTGGTCGGTGTCGGACGCCCTAAACACGGTACTCGCATCCTCCAAGCTCCAGCGAGCCAGGTCAGCACCATACCGACCTACCTACCGGCCCAGTAAAGCCAGCAAATCCAGCCAGCCAGCAGCCCCCGGCGTCACAAAACAAACATATGTGCTGTACTGTACCCACGGTATCCGTGTGAAAACTTTACATACGCTCCGCTGTTTTGCCGGAACAACCCTCCGTCGTAACTACTGTACACGCACGCACGCACGCAGAGTAGTAGAGTGAAGAGAAGCATGAACAAGGAGAGGCCGTCATGTACCTACCTGTGTCTATCTATCTACCTATCTATCTACCAGGTAGGCATAGTAGATGCTAGGTATATGTATAGCTGCAGCGCCGATCAGTAACCGCCCTTCCCCTTCTTCTGCTTCTAGATACATGCTCCTTCTCCTTCTCCTCCTTCTCCTTTGTTTAAGCGGTGCAGCGCGGTGCAGTTGGCGCCGACGATCCTACCAGGCTCTGGGCTATCATACATACCGCCAGCATCTGTGCAATATGCGTGTGCGTGTGTGTGGTGTGTGCGTGTGTGTGACTTGTTCTGCCTCCGTACGAGGTATGTGTGTATGTAGGTGTGTATGTGTGCATGTACGTTTGCAAGGCAAAGTAAAGCAAAGCGAAGCAATTGGAAACAGCTCCGAGATCCAACGGTGTATGCGGGGGCGGCGCCCGGCTGCACACTTAAAAATACCCCCCCTCCCCGTCCCCCTCCCCCGCCAGTGACCAGCTCGCTCCCCCGGCGCCCGCCAGTGAACGGCTCGCAGCTCGCTCCAAACCCCCGTCCTGGGCCAGAGATATCTGCCAGTACGTTCGTTCGTTCGTGGGAATAGTAGAATAGTAGAGTACCTAGAGCATAGTACTTCACTGCCGAATGGAGGTGACATCCGCCCATCTAATGTCCGTGCGGCACTGTGTTTAGCACCCAGCTATTTACTTTAATTTCTCCCTACCGTTGATGATGACGATGATATTGATGATGTATTCGCAGCATCACTCGCAACCCAGTGCCCAGTGCCCACCCAGTGCACCCACCGCTTCGAAACACCCGAGCCAATGGTTGGACAGCGTACAGCGCAGGGATCATCACCACCAGGCTCCAGGCTGCAACCTCCAGGCTGCAGTCTCCAGAGTCCAGGCCGGGGGGGGGGGGGCGGAATAACGTTCTTCCGCCCTCGGCGGCGTCGGCGGTCTCCTCCTCCCACGTCTCGTTAGCTCGCGATGAGCGAGGAGAGGGGAGGGGAGGACTCGACTCGAGTTTCCGTTTTGCAAAGCGCCCCCTCCCCTCCACCCCCGCCCCACCGACGGCCGGAACCTTCCACAAGGCTTCTCCTTCTCTTCCGTTTCCGTTTCTGCCGCCTTGCCTGTCCGAGCCTGAACTGTAAGAGAGGCCACAGACCGAGCGTACCTCATTCCGGTTAATCGGTCCGACCCCGACTATTCCTTCCCTCCATAAAGCTGTGCTAGGTATGCTGGGTATGCTGGGTGGGTAAGTTAAAGTGACGCCTCACCGCTAGTTAGTAGACGTAGTGTGGTCAACGCAGTGTAGTCGACGGAACTTACCCCCCCTCAGAAAATTTTGCAGCACACGAGCCAAAGTCGAGCCAGTCTCGATGGAGGGGAGCCATCGTCGAGGGAAGCCAAAGTCGAGGGAGGGGAAGCAGGCGGATCCTTACCGTACCTACCGTGCCTACGTACCGAGATGAGAGGGGAGATGGCAGATGGATGGCCCGCACGCCGCAACGTGGCCAGCCTGCCTGCCAGCCTGTCTACCAGCCGGCGTGTCAGCCAGCCGGAAGCGTGTAACATGTACGTGCGAGCGAGTGCTAGCCTCGGTGGTTTACATAGACATCTACACATGTAGAAGCGGAGGGGTTTGGGGAGGAGGAAAGAAGGCTGACTGGCCTCTCGCCTCTCGCCTCTCCGATCTCGAGTGAACACACGCCGGAATTAGCCATGAGCGACCACGGAGCTGCCCGCCCTCCGTCCGCCCACCGTCCGCCTTCCATCCGTCCATATCGGCGACCTCTCGGCGTCGGCGTTGCACGTGTGCTGTCGGAGACTCGGAGAAGAGTGGAGTACACATTTCGGTGCGAGAGCGCCCTATACATATACCTATATACGCACCCCCGCGAGTCGCGAGTCGTCTGGGTATCCACTGCTCCCTTCTTCGATGCCGTCATCGTCGTCGTCGCCGTGTCCATCGTGTAGTGTAGTAGGGTATAAGGCCAAACGAGGCGAACCCCAACGAGTGCCCAACGAGTCCCCAACCAGCCCGGCGAGCCCCGTCGAGCGGTGAGCGCTCAGTTTCTCAGCTTCTCCGTTCCAGTCATGTGTAGAGCACAGGCGATCGGATCCGCTCCGCTCTGTCGTCGTCGGCTGCAGCGGTGTAGGTATATAGTTCGTTTGTACTCTACTCTAAGGCACCTTCCGTGCGTTCGTTCCGTTCGTTGCATCGTTGCAGGGAAAAAATCTTCAGGAACCAGAACCAGAAGCACGCTTCGGCCGGGCCGAGAAAGACAAGGAGGACAAGGCGAAGGCAGAAGGTCAACACGAGACGCAGAGACGAGATGATGTATGTGTGGGGCCCGAGCTAGAACACAGTGGCTGTTAGATGAGCAGATCCCATCTACCACCTATACTAGGTACCTATACTAGGCGCATAGATCGTCTACATAGGCAGGCCAGGCCAGTTTACTCCCAATTCCCAATTCTCAATTCCCAATTTCCAATCCCCAATTCCCAACAACCTGGTGATGGATGGCAGGAAGGAGGCTTGATTCCCAATTCAAATCTCACAGTAGTACTCTCTATAAGGCACGTAAGGACAGTCCAGTTCAGTTCCAACCAATATTGAATTTCATTCCCACCACAACCACCAAAGAAACTATCAAAAAAAACTCCTGCGATGAAGTACTTCACTAACACGACAACGGCGGCGGTTGAACACATACATAGGGCAGGGCGAGGCGAATCAAGCCAGAAAACAACATGTGTGCGCGTGTGTGATGTGTGTAGTAGAAGAAGCGAAACGAAACATAAAAGTACATACGGTATATAGAAGTAAGTTTGTAGTTGTCAAAAAAAAAGAGCAAATCAAAGAAACAAGATAGTCCCAGAGCAGAAATGAAAGGAAAGGAAAATGAAAAAGAGAGAAATAGAGAAAGAAAGGATTTGAGGCTGCTCTAACAAGGAAGAAGAAAAAAAAATGTACATTCAAAAAAAAAATAACAAACAAAACTGTGCCAGCCCGTCGCCGAAAAATTCCCATTCCCAAGAACAAAACGTGATGACCCAACCGACAGACAACTAAAGTGACACCGCAAGGCTGAACCAATCAATGAAAAGAACAAAAGAACGAGAGAGAAAAGAAAAAAACCAAGAGAAAAAAAAAACACAGCAATAAAGGCGATAAAGGAGAACGAGAAACACAGAAATGAACCCCCAATATCGTGTCATGTTATCGTCAGGAAAGAAAACTTTAAGAAATAGTTTTGCCCAACCCGTTACCAACTTTAAAACTGGAAATGCCCCAGAAAAAAAACACAGCGGAAAAAAATAAAATCCCGATAAAGCAAAAGCAATCATTACACCTTAGACACCGGTATCAAAGCACATGAGAACATAGGAAATATTATAGTGAGGAATTCCCTCGGCGCGGCCGTCATGTTCTGACCGAAACGCTGTGCTTCCTTCTGACGCGGTAATCGAACGTATCGTCGGCATCCTGTTGCATCGGCGACGAGTTCCTCGCTGGCTCAGACACAGCGCCCAAGCCACCCCTCGACTTGTTGACATCGAAAAGACGCGCGCCCGGAATCGACAGGTTCGAGCTCTGAGAGGCCGACGATAGCGATCTTTTCGGAATATCGCGCGAAGGAGAGTAGTAGTCCCAATCAATGTTCGAGTTGGCCCATCCCCGGTTCTCCATGTCGTCCTGCTCCATCACGTCCTCCTGCACCTGCTCGTCCTCGACGTATCCGACGATAAACCCTTCCCTGTCTCCAAACAAAATCATGGGCCGCTTATCAACCTCATCGCCCGGACTGTGACTCCGATCGATCCGACCGTTGTAGGGCTGCGGACTCGACGAGGCGACGCTCGAGTTGTTACTACGCGACGGCCGCGGCGTGACCACCCATTTCGCCCAATTCGAACCTGTAATCTTCTCCATGGGAACCTGGATCGTCCTCGGCTCCTTCCATGTCGAACTCCACAAATAAACCACGCCCGACGAATCCACCGAATCATCGCCTGCATTCTCGCATTGAATCATCAGTAGATCCGGGATGCTTGGGTGCCAAGTGAACGACTTGATCGGGTTAAGATGGACGAGAACAGCGTATGGACGGAGAAGTTTGATGGACCAAATCCACAGACTGCTAGGCATGTTGTCGTTCTTGGTCGCGACCAGCGTCCCGTCGGGATTGCTGAAAGCCATCGCAGAAATGCCCGTTTTCGGTGTCGGATCGGCTGGGTTGAACTGCAGGGTTGGCAGCGTGGTGGGCTGTTGGACCTTGTCGTAATATCGCTTTCCAGCCGAGTTCGCGCACTCCGACCACACAGTGACACCGGGCAACCTGATGGTGCGCGTATGGTTCATCGAGATGACCTATGACGAATCAGTTCATGTTTTCCCTCATCGAGATCGCGACCCAGCCAAAACTTACCGGTGAGAATGTGTAGTTGCTCAAGAAGCACATCTTCCCATCATAACTTCCAATCGTCAGAAAATCCCCCGATGGACTCCATTCCACCGTCTTGACTCCCAGTCCTTCGCACGGTTTCTCATGCGTCCTGTAAAGGTGGCCATCTGCCGTGTACACCAAAACCCTATATCCAACCGTCGGCGAATCCCAAACAGCCAACCATCTCCCGCACGGCGACCACTTGAGGCCCTGTGCGTCTATCGTCGGTAGGGTGAATGTCGAGCAGACCCTATATGTTGTGTTCTGATGGATCGAAACCACATCGTGCGTGCCGCTACGCGTGAGGATAGCAAAATGCGACGTGAACGGTCGGTATCCATAACCCTTGTTCGAGAACTTTGGGTGCGAAATTTCTACGTGCTTCGAGGTGATGAGATTCCAAACCGTTACCTTGAGCTGTGGGGACCATCATCGTCAGTCTCGAGTCCTGCGTCCTAACCATCGCAATAGACAGCACCGGATGGTACCAACCTGGAACTCGGAAAACACAACGACTTCGTCCGCATTCCTGCCGAATTCAACGTTCTTGATTCCTCCGAAGCCCTGGCTGATTGTTGCCGTCCATTTCTCATCTTTGACGTCGAAAACCTGTATTATGTCGCTGTCTGCCAGTAGTACCCGTTGGGTAATGGTGCCCTCCTCCTCCGAGTTATCGATCCCACTCCTTCTCTTGCACCAAAATCCATTCCACGCTGCGCTGATGACATCGTTGCTAGGCACTGGCGACCACTTCATGAATTTGACGTTCGCCGCGAACCTCGGATTCAGGTTGATGACCCGTTGTACGTGTAACGTCGAAGCCGAGCGGACGACCAGTTTCGGTGGGACTATCGAAGCGATGAGGGTGCCATTCGGTGACGGGACAGAGCCATTTGCGGCTATTTGGTTCGTCGGGTCAGTGTGACGTGGTCTTGGGAGGGGAGGGGTTCGCGCTCGCGGGGTGCGAAAGGGAAAAATGCTGATTCGAACATACCTCTGAACACTGATGAAAACTCCATATGGTTCGGTGGCTTCTCTGTCTCCTCCCTTCCGAATAATCACTGTCGTGAAAACGTACAGACGTAAGACAAAGATCTGAAGCCTCGATCCTGAAGTCTGGTTCGGATGCGGGTTGGGTGTGGTTGGTGATGATTATCGGTGGTTGTTGTGGTTGTTGTGGGTGGTAGTGGTGGTGGTTGTAGTGGCAATGGTGGTGGTAAGTGGAGGTAGTGGTGGTAGTGGGTGTGAGTTGTTGTGGTGTGGAGGGAAGACGCTGTGTATATGTGGAAGGCTGCTGGTCCTGTGGACTGACCGATGACGGGGGTGGGCCGAAGGGTTTGTCCAGACGAGGCGTTGACAGATGCGGAGAGTCAGCGTTAACCAGGTACCGGCCGGAGTATATTTTGCTTCTAGGAAGAATGCTGTATGCGCCGATCCCCAGTCTGTAGGTGATATGTATTCTGCGGAGAAGGCTGGCGGTGAGGGGAGGCAGAGGGCGAGTTATGGAGGAAGGTCCGATCGTGAGAGAAAAAGTCGATTTAGGATGGATGGGAAGGGGACGATGGACTTTTGTTTAGAAGACGAGAGGTGGGACCGGACATGTGTCGGTGGTTCTCTTTCTCTCCCTTGCTCAGCTCACTTTCGCCTCTCGCTGTTCGTTCTCACTCACCCTTGGCGTCGCAGCTACTTGTAGTAGTGGTAGATGGTAGTGGTAGTAGTATGGATAGATGAAGTGGATTTATTTTTCTGGAGGTTTTTTTTTTTTTTTTTTTTGGCAGTGTGATTTGCGGGACAGATGTGAGCAATGGAGGAAGGATGCTGAGAAAGCAGGCCAGGCAACACAAGTAAGCAAGGTCACGGTCAAGGAGCGGTACGATGCTGGGAGGGGGGTGGAGGGGGGGCGGTGAGGGAGTGGAGGACGAGGAAGATCCGGAGAGGCAACACAGTGTGATCGGCACGGGTCCCTGTTGAGTGTCTTCCGTCTTATTGGGGGGGGTGAGTGATGGGTGGGTGGGGAGGTGGTACTGTGTGAAGAGGGTGTGTTACTGTGTTTCTGTTTGTGGCGGTGGATAGTGATAATTGGGGCGGTGGGCGGTAGGCGGTAGGCAGGCGGTATGTTTTAGAGTGGTGAGTTGGACGGAGCGGGCGTTTTCGGTTTTGAGACCTGTGAGAAAACTGCGACCCGGACTTTCTTTGTCGTCACGAAGGGAAAAGGCGGTAGAGCTGGGGGGGCTGACTGGGGTGGTGGGTGGTGGTGATGGTAACTAGTGGTGAAGGTCGTGGTGGAGGTGGTGGACTCTGGGGAGTGGTGGTGGAGACAGGGTTCCATATGGGATATGGATGGATGGTAAGGGTAGGGGGTACTGGCTAGGGAGGGAGGGAGGGAGGTGCCTAACGACAGTCGGAGCGGTGAGAGGGGCGACGGTGGGGGTAGCGGGTAGAGGGGTGGGTGGGAGGGGTTGGTGCTCTGCTTGCCAGGGAATGGATGCTCGATATACCGTAGCCTCACTCACTCACTCACACTCTCTCCCCTCACGCTCTCACGGTCTATGCTCTACGCTCTCACTCTTCGATGTTTTTGCCTCCGTCGTCAAAGGCCTTCCTCTCCGTCCTCTTCCTCGTTCCGGTTCCGTTAGCAGGGCCAGAACTGGTGGGCCGGCCAACTTTCGGTGCGTGTAGTCGTGTCGGGGAAAACGAGTTGCGCTGCCTTGCAGGGACTCGACACACGGAAACCATCACACCACTCAGAATTCCGCATCTTGAACCGAGAAGTAGGGAGTGACGACATACCCAGGTTCCATACATGGACTGTTGACGCTCTGGAAGGACCCAGCCATGCACGGCTAGGCTGGCTTTCGATTAGGCCGCTTCGGGCACCCCTGCAGTGCATGCGAAATAAGGAAGTACACACCGGCCAGAAGTAGAGTACCGTATCTAGCCAAGTCCCCCCCCAGCGAGACCGTGAGAGAGCGAGAGACCGTAAGAGAGAGACCAAATCTGGGTGGGCTGTAGACTCGCCGCCGTTTTGGGGGCCCGCAGACGTCGACTTGGCTGCACAGCACGAGTCCCAGAGGCCACCGCTTGAATCCCTCCTTCCCTCCTTCCCTCTTCCCTCGCTCCATGCCCTGTGGCCTGCGCGTTCAGAAGGAGTCAGCCAGACGCTTTCTGTGGTCTGCGTTTCGACCGAGTCAGCCGGACTAGACAGCCTTGCCCGTGACCATGCGCCCGGGCGGTGATTGTGGCTCCAGCCGCCCGCTTAGCCACCCACAGCCGCCCGGAGGCCCCATGTGCCCGCACGGGTTGTGCGCATCGGTGGCCGCAGCAGAAGAAGAGGAAGAGTAGGAGTGGTTATGAGTGGGAGTACACGGGAGTACGATAGGCGTAGGAATAGTTGTGAGTGGCAGTACATAGCAGCACGGTAGGCGTAGGCGTAGGATAGCACCGAGTCATGACGGGCAGAGTCGAGTTGCTGCTCCTCCCCTCCCCCTCCGCCCGTGCGAGTGGCGGCTCGGCACGGCTCGGGGACGGTCTCCCGCAGTGCGTGCTCGCTCGCCAGCCGTAGGCGCCCGCTCTACATACCGATTCGAAAGAGAGAAAAAATGCTCGAATTCCCTCTCACAGCCATGCACCGGCACCGGCTTCGGATCATGATGGCCGACACACGAACAGAACATGGCCAAGCATGTGGCCCGGATCCGCGCTTAGAGCGTACGTATGGTATCTACTCCACTCGCGGAATTTGCGGCGAAGGGGGGAGGGGGAAAGAAATAGCTGATTGGATTTCTCATCAGCCAATCGAGGGGTAGCAGTGGAAGATGACGATGATGACCGAGGACACGGCTTGCTAGATGATGATGATGATGCTGCTGCTGCTGCGTACCGTATGACGATGATGATGATGATTTGGAACCACTCGAGACGCAAGCTAACGTTCCCAATCGATCGATATCCTTCTGATTAAGTGCATAGGTACCTCAAGTGCATGCACTACTCTACTTTTATGTATCTATGCTTCGCGAGTCCACGTCGAATTGTGTTCCCCGCTCACTTCAGCCTTCACGAGCACAACCGCCAGCCTCCACGCCCCCTGATGGATCGGTGACATGGCATCTTCGGGCCTATAGGGTTAGTAGGCTGGTGCACCTACGGTATCTCTTGTGTTGGCTCGCGTGCTGATCAAGAGTGGACCGACCGACCGGCCAACAACGACAACAACAATAACAATAACAACACGCAACGATATCAGAGGGGGGGCTGCTCAAGTAGAGTACTATATCCATCGTCTACTGGCTGTCGACGCGCGAACACTGTACAAACCCTTGTACCTCCTCGGAAACGGCTGGGTATCCAGAAGTTAGAACTGCTGTTGCTGCTGCTGCGTGCAACGAGAAAGCCACACCAATCTGACCAGACTCCTCGGTTCCTTCCCCCCCACGCACCGAATGTCCGGCCTAGCCCACAATGGCCCACTTGCAGAACGGACTTAGTTGTTTGGGGGGGTGAGGGTGGTTGCAGGGCCGACTTTTCACGATGGCAGGATAGACACTATCGATGCCTCAGCAAACTTCCGATTTCGCCCCGGCCCGATCTTCGCGTGGCTCTCTCTCTTCGTTTCACGCGCAGGTCGCTTGAGCTCTCACTCCTGTCGCTCAAGAGACTACATAAGAAATGTGCCCCGGTTTGACCGGTGCGTCTCTTTCTTTTCCTTCTCCTTCTTCTTCTCCTTCTTCCCCTTCTCCTTCTTCTCTCTCCTCCAATTTTGCTTCTTCTATTCCCTCCTCTCTACGGATCCCGTGTCCTTCTTTCCTGTCACGAACGAGCCGGACCGACGACAGGACGTGGGAGGTGATCTCCCAGGGTCCATCCACCCCACTCCCGTCCACACAAACCACACGCACGTTCTGACACAGCATTAACATTGCGTTCCCGCTGTGCCCACGCCCCAACGACCATACAACGTGACAGGAAGGACAGGACAGGATGGTATGGGACGGAGGACATGATGGGGGCAAGTCGACGCCAACAACAACAACACCAACAACAACAACACGGCCTTCCACATCGATGTAGTAGGAAAGTACAACAACATTAACAACCATTACGGTGATGGTCACCACCATCCGGCGACTCGACGAAGAAGGATCTACCCCACCCATACTTGGATATGCGTTCATGATCACCACATCACGCTGCCAGCCAGCTATCCATCCATCCAGCCGCCGGTTTCCCGCCTCACCGAGGCTGTGGAGTCTGAGTGAGTGCGCGCGAGCGGCAAGGTGCAAGGTAGAGTATTATGGCATAGTTGCCATTGTAGGTACCTACCGGTACTCGGTCGAGTCACAGCCCCGCCGATCTTCACCCCCTTGGGCTGCAAATGACGACTTCTCATGGCTCCTCCATTCTCATGATTCAAGTTCGAGAGGCGAAGTTGCAGAGAACGCTGATGACGCTGATCTCGGGTACTGAAGGATACGGGTTGGGCATGTATCGGCGTCTCATCCCCTACTGACTTTACTGACTTGCTCGCAACCCCGTACGTATGGGAGGTGGTTGGGTAAATGAGCGCCGTGAAGATCACGGGAGCTATTCACCCGTCCACCGGAGCCGTCCATTCAAGGGAAAGAGAGAGAAAGAGATACCGACGGCCGCCCTTTACAGAACGCCCAGAACGCCAAAAAGCCAGAACTCCAGAACGCCCGAACGCCCGAAAGCCAGAACACCACAACGCAAGGTTGCCGCGGGCGCCGTTCGTTGCGGAGGTCCTCTGAGATGCCAACTGCCGGCTTACATGGCTCTAGATACTCCGCTGCGTCATCGTGCATCGATCTCACCACACCAAACCACTGCATGCGGTCTAGGGCCTTTGGTGCTTAGCGACCGCCATCCACAGGGACCCTGAACGAGTGAAAGTGAGCACCCCACACACAGACACAGGTCTCGTACTTGCACACTCGCCTATCACACCGCAACGAACCAACATGATGTTCAAACGTCTCTCTCGAACCCCCAACCCAACCCCCAACCCCAACATCGTTTCGACGACAAATTCGCTCAGTCACTCTTCGGCCACAGGCCGAGCCCCCCTTCTTCACATTACTTCACCGTCCCCCGAAGGCAACAAGATTTATCTTTCTCCTTGAGCATCTGTGACGCGGAAGCTATCAATCAAACCTTCGTGAAACAGCCCCAGTGTTGTGTGGTGGTGGTGGTGGTGGTGGTGGTGGTGGTGGTGGTGGTGTGCGGGCCGGTCACAATCGCGCAACAGCTATCAAACCTCC